AAGATTAAGGTGTTCTGTCCCTCCTGATTAAGGTGTTCTGTCTCTCAAGATTAAGGTGTTCTGTCTCTCAAGATTAAGATGTTCTGTCTCTCAAGATTAAGGTGTTCTGTCTCTCAAGATTGAGGTGTTCTGTCTCTCCTGATTAAGGTGTTGTGTCTCTCAAGATTAAGGTGTTCTGTCTCTCAAGATTGAGGTGTTCTGTCCCTCAAGATTAAGGTGTTCTGTCCCTCAAGATTAAGGTGTTCAGTCCCTCAAGATTAAGATGTTCTGTCCCTCCTTATTAAGGTGTTCTATCTCCTGATTAAGGTGTTCTGTCTCTCAAGATTTAGGTGTTCTATCTCCTGATTAAGGTGTTCTGTCTCTCCTGGTTAAGGTGTTCTCTCTCCTGATTAAGGTGTTCTGTCCCTCAAGATTAAGGTGTTCTGTCTCTCCTGGTTAAGGTGTTCTCTCTCCTGATTAAGGTGTTCTGTCCCTCAAGATTAAGGTGTTCTGTCTCTCCTGGTTAAGGTGTTCTCTCTCCTGATTAAGGTGTTCTGTCCCTCAAGATTAAGGTGTTCTGTCCCTCCTGATTAAGGTGTTCTGTCTCCTGATTAAGGTGTTCTGTCTCTCAAGATTAAGGTGTTCTGTCTCTCCTGATTAAGGTGTTCTGTCTCTCAAGATTAAGGTGTTCTGTCTCTCCTGATTAAGGTGTTCTCTCTCCTGATTAAGGTGTTCTCTCTCCTGATTAAGGTGTTCTGTCTCTCCTGATTAAGGTGTTCTCTCTCCTGATTAAGGTGTTCTCTCTCCAGATTAAGGTGTTCTGTCCCTCCTGATTAAGGTGTTCTCTCTCAAGATTAAGGTGTTATGTCTCTCCTGATTAAGGTGTTCTCTCTCCTGATTAAGGTGTTCTGTCTCCTGATTAAGGTGCTCTGTCTCTGCTGATTCATTAAGTTTAAGATCAGGGTCGCAGCAACCACGAAACAATCACGAATGTAACCGCTATTCCCCGTGTGTGATTTGTTTTTGGGGCGCATTTTACCTTACAGGTATGTTTGGTATGTCGGATATCTCCTTACAGGTATGTTTGGTATGTCGTATATCTCAGGTATGTTTGCTTTGTCGGACATCACAGTTATCTTTGGTATATCGGATATCTCAGGAATGTTTGGTATGTGGGATATCTCAGGTGTGTTTGGTATATCGGATTTATCAGGTATGTTTGGTATGTCGGATATATCAGGTATGTTTGGTATGTCGGATATATCAGGTATGTTTGGTATGTCGGATATATCAGGTATGTTTGGTATATCGGATATCTCAGGTATGTTTGGTATATCGGATACCTCTGGTATGTTTGGTATATCGGATATATCAGGTATATTTGGTATGTCGGATATATCATGTATCTTTGGTCTGTCGGATATCTCAGGTATGTTTGGTATATCGGATATCTCAGGTATGTTTGGTATATCGGATATCTCAGGTATGTTTGGTATATCGGATATCTCAGGTATGTTTGGTATATCGGATATATCAGGTATATTTGGTATGTCGGATATATCATGTATGTTTGGTCTGTCGGATATCTCAGGTATGTTTGGTATATCGGATATCTCAGGTATGTTTGGTAAGTCGTGTAAGCCGGGTATGAAAATCCATAGCATCATAACCAATCACCTGGGCACAAGAATGTATACACCTGGAAAATGGGTATTGTAATTGCGACCCCCAATGTGAAGTCAAGTGCACGTCACCTGTTGTGAGAAACTCATTGATATGATGCATGTAATATCGCGTATAATACCCGTATCAAATACATCCCCATCAAATGATTGCTTGTGTCATATCAGCCATCATCAAACATTGGTGTACACTCTCCTGTGCCCGGCAGTTCACTACAAATTTACATGTGTCGATAAGTTACATTTATGTGACTACAGTCTTGCAGATTGACATAAACAGAATGGTATTCGTGATCCCATCACGAGACATTAATGTTAACCACGTATGTCTTAAGTTTACGTCGTAGCAATCAAATACTGAAACATGTCCAACAAATTTATCCCATGTCTGCCAACTTCCAATATAACAGCCGTCGTGTTTCGTCCCCGAGGTTACTGTTCATGGTCCAGCCTGTGACATTCACGTGGTCCTCCGAGTCACATGCCTGTCCGGTGTAGAAACCTTTGTCCCCGACACACCACACAAACCATCACACCACACAAAGCATTTGATCATGTACCCTGCTTTATAGTGAGGTTATAATAGCTCCATATTACACGCATCGCTGAGCTCTGCGTCTTGAGGAAGCCCTCCAGTGGGCTACAAGGCTTGGTCGGAGACCCACTGTGTGAATGGAGAGCCGATGTTATGTCTCCAATACACTGATGTGCGTTTGGTACACGTCACCAGTTATTCCTCAGTTTACACAGAAACATGCAAATTCTAAACGTTCAGAATTGTCTACTGTGTGTGACAACGTCAGCTTCATATTAACATCACTGTCATCCCATACTGACATCACTATGTCCCAATACTGACATCACTGTCATCCCATACTGACATCACTGTCACGTCATAATGAAACCCAATAATGACATATTTCACCAATACTGACATCATTGTCATCCATACTAACATATGTGATCCCATACTGACATCACTGTCACCCCATACTGACATCACTGTCACCCCATACTAACATCACTGTCACCCTATACTGACATCACTGTCACCCCATACTAACATCACTGACACCACATACTGACATCACTGTCCCCACATACTGACATCACTGTCACCCATACTGACATCACTGTCACCCTATACTGACACCACTGTCATCCATACTAACTTATGTCATCCCATACTGACACCCCATACTAACATCACTGACACCACATACTGACATCACTGTCACCACATACTGACATCACTGTCACCACATACTGACATCACTGTCACCCCATACTAACATCACTGTCACCCAATACTAACATCACTGTCACCCATACTAACATCACTGTCACCCCATACTAACATCACTGTCATCCATACTAACTTATGTCATCCCATACTGACACCCCATACTAACATCACTGACACCACATACTGACATCACTGTCACCACATACTGACATCACTGTCACCACATACTGACATCACTGTCACCCCATACTAACATCACTGTCACCCAATACTAACATCACTGTCACCCATACTAACATCACTGTCACCCCATACTAACATCACTGTAATCCATACTAACATATGTCATCCCATACTGACATCACCGTCACCCCATACTAACATCACTGTCACCCCATACTAACATCCCTTTCACCCCATACTAACATCACTGTCATCCCATACTGACATCACTGTCACCCAATACTAACATCACTGTCACCCCATACTAACATCACTGTCACCCCATACTGACATCACTGGCACACCATACTAACATCACTGTCACCCCATACTAACATCACTGTCATCCCATACTGACATCACCGTCACCCCATACTAACATCACTGTCACCCCATACTAACATCACTGTCACCCCATACTGACATCACTGTCACCACATACTGACACCACTGTCACCCAATACTAACATCACTGTCACCACATACTAACATCACTGTCACCACATACTGACACCACTGTCACCACATACTGACACTACTGTCACCCAATACTAACATCACTGTCACCCAATACTAACATCACTGTCACCACATACTGACACCACTGTCACCCAATACTAACATCACTGTCACCACATACTAACCTCACTGTCACCACATACTGACACCACTGTCACTCTAAACTACCATCACGTACAGCCCTATACTTTTATCTGTTCTGGCTTTCTTTCGACATTCAGCTGTCAAGCAATAATGCAACTAAAATAATGCTGTTAAGAACGTACTCACTTAAAACAGTGTATAGATGTAGGTATATTTAGTTATGTTTTACCAGCGTGATCTTCCTCGCACGCAGAAACATTAACCGTAAATGTCTCTGTACTGTTGATGTTCTTGAATTATATTGTCTGGGTAAATGTTCGGGAAAGCTTGATGATTACTTTAATGCCAACAGGACGATCAAACTACAAAGACCTTGTTGCTCACTTGAACAGGGAAATAATACACAAGAAGGCAATGCGGCCAACACCCAGAAACACGCCCACCCAGTTGTTATCGGAGTGAATAGCAAGACAGCTGGTAAACACCCCACTGAACTCCGCTCCGCTGGAGTTGATTAACACAGTGTGTCTGCTGGGAGAGATTTCATTGTTTGATTTCAGAAGACACCGAGTTTTCTGTTTATTTTGATCATGATGGGAAAGCGTGGTTGATTGCGTGCAGGAACTCCCTCAACATCTTAGCTCCCATCACCGTCATACAGCTGCAGTACACTGAGCACGACGTCCAAGTTAACTCGCCCTGCCTTATTCCGATATACAACTCACATCTAAAAACACTAACGAAGATGTGATTTCGTAAGAATACATTAAAGAAGACAGTGGCTGTGGGTGTCATCGTTATCATAATCTAATTATTTGAAAAACTCTTTTCATATACACCACAACTTGTCAAAGAGATGGTGAAGTGCCAATGAGAAGTTGGCATGCCGAACAAGAGAGACAGTTCTATGGATGCACAACTTCTTTAAAGGAATGAATGCGACTTTTTGTAGATACTAACCCGTTATCAAGCATGTACTAGTATCTACACAGGAACGTCGTATTCATTGAAATAAAATAACCATATGTCCATAGAACTATCTCCCCTACTCGATGGCGGAGTTGAATAGAACATCGTCAATGTGAAAGTGAGTCAGGGTGTGCTCCAGATATACTGTCTTCCCGTTATATGTTGACGCCAGACACTTATACCCCTACTTACAAATGAACTTATCCGCCTTCTGCTGTTCATTATACAACTTGTTTGGTCTGTATGTTCACGAAATAATGCAGTCAATAACAATCATATTATACTTGTCTATATTTCAGAGTCGCGGCCAGACTACCCAGAAAATAGGCAACTTGACGCTCGTCTGTCCTCCAGGTGAGTAAGTGAGTGAGTTAGTATGGTTTTACGCCGCTGTTAGCAATATTCCGGCAATATCACGGCGGGGACACCAGACATGGGCTTTATACATTGTACCCATGTCGGGTCTTCGGCGTAACGAGCGAACGCTTTAAACACTAGCCAAATCCACGAGTGCCTTGCTCTGATGTCGGGTCTTCAGCGTAACGAGTGAACACTTTAAACACTATCTCTGATGTCGGGTCTTCAGCGTAACGAGTGAACACTTTAAACACTATCTCTGATGTCGGGTCTTCAGCGTAACGAGTGAACACTTTAAACACTATCTCTGATGTCGGGTCTTCAGCGTAACGAGTGAACACTTTAAACACTATCTCTGATGTCGGGTCAGTTGGATGCAAATGCATGCCTTCCGTGACAGCAGACGAGTCTCGCGGAGACGGTAACGCATTGTTATTTCTGAGTGTGATGGCAGTCACGAAGTGATGACGTCTTGCAGCAATCAGAAGGAACCTGTCTTCCCGCCATGTGGTGGAACGCTGCCGTCCACCTGTCTGTCTGGTCCAAACGTCTGGTATCATTTCATGCCCCGCTGATCACACTTTGCCTGACACCAAAGACGTTCCCAGCGTGACTTTGTGTTGACCCTGTTTCAAGCTTGCCGATGCATCTGCTTAATTCTTTGCTTGTCAGAAGACGTATTTGACACTGAGGTGCACTTAATTAATACACAGAATTAAATGTCCAAACACAGGTTTTAAAGCACCTCGTGCTTATCGTGCCCATGACTGCATGCCTCTGTCCTTTCATCAGGAAGTTCAGGTCCTGTAGGAGTTACCCAATCATTGTCTACCGGGACATTTCAATCTTAATTTTTGGATGATTTTTCATATCATCAAAATTTGATCCTCAGCAAACTTGGAATAGTATCTTTCATTTCAGTTCTTCAAAACCCGCAAACAATTGACTTTTAAAAAGAATATTTGTTTGTTAAAACATCCAAAACATCACTGAGTTAACCGGTAGGTCCCTTATTCACTAAGCACGCCTATTGGAGTTGGCAGAGGTGGGTCAAGTATTGACGAATACACTTATGGGAACACAGTTGGAGAAGCGCTGATGAGCTTAGCAATCATTTCCTTGATAGTTGAGGACGGCCATGGGTCACAAGACAAATGATTGCTTGTTGTAAAGTCAAGGAGGAAACACGATACCATCATGCATTTCTTTGTTATATTTTAAAATTCTACAGTACAAAATCTTCTAAAAGGTGACTCATGTGTTGTTGTTTCTAGTGTAGCATGTGTAGAAAGGCTTGGCCACAGAGTGACATGCCGTGTGTTTGAATCAAATGGCAAATGTCATATGCATAAACACGTTTTAAGCACACTGTGTACATCAGAATGTGAGATGGGATACGTCGAGGTTAGATGGATGGTTGGTAGCAAGTGAGCTTTCGTTTTCGTTCCACTAATGGTTTCCATTACGATTCAAATTATTCGTTTTAAGATTTGGGTTGAATAATTACAAGGAAGCTTTAGACTGTAGACCCCTATTGCAGACGTTTTACCTCTTTGCTGAAACTCATAAGAACGGTGCCGCAGACCTAAGTTTATAACTGGGGCTGATCTGGGATTTGCACCAACGACCAATTGATCCTGGACACAGCTAAGAGACGCGATAAGATGCGGGGTCATTTTACACCAGGCTGATATTGCATAAAACATGTGTGAGACCTTTCTTCTCTAAATCATAAAGCAGGGCAGACCACTTCTCCAGTGTAGAGTTTGTGCCTCTGCATGCTCTCTGGAACTTCGGTGTAGTAATGGATGGTCAGCAAAATAGGACACAGTTGTAAGACCAATCTCTCCCCCGTCCCTCTTTTATGGCAGTGACCGACAAAATATCCCCGCTCTTACAAACATTCCATTCAAAGATGAAATTCATTACTTCAAAGACGGAATGTATGTGCATAATTCGCATTATCAAAATTAAATAGCTACTTAATGCTCAGAGTCAAAAGAATACCGTCATTTTTTTTCTTAACAGGGTGGACTTTTTATGGAACCAGCTGTTATCTCAAAGTATCAAAGGCGATGGAATGGGAGGATGCCAAGGAACTGTGTATGAGGTATACATGCATGATCCTTTCGCCTTGAATACAATAGCAATCACCTCAAACGTGTATATATAGCAACGTTATTGATATTTATCTAGTGTTTGAATTCGTTTAAAGCTATACGGCACTGAAACATATCTTGAACTAAAGACAGTATGTAGTTAGTTATCACGGCATTTCAACGTCCCTTGAACTGTTTGTACAATGATACAGTTAGGGCAACGACGTTCATTACGTGCAGGAATGAACTGAGGGAGACAACTCCTTTTAATTTTTCAACACGTTTATATATTCCTGTACAATTAACACTGGTCCACTTCTTGATTACTGGTGCTGTGAATATTGAAGAACGTAATATTTTCTAATATGATTAAAGCTACATTGTGTCATTTTACGGAATTACTGGCCTGGAATCTTGGCACTGCATGAAATGTGTTTGGTTGATGTTAATGGCCGCACTCAATAATATTCCAGCTATAATACGTCGTCCTGTAAATAACCAAGTCTGACCCAGACATTCCAGTGATATATTAACCAATCAGCAGGCACGACCACCCTATCCATTTTGTCGCCTCTAATGACTAGAATATATTCCAACCTATTCCACCCCGGAATCCAAAAGGGGATAGACCTACTCTACCCTGGAATGCCTAAGCAGGGTAGATTACTAATATCAAGCTGTAGCATATGTGCTTTATAACAGAGAACAGGGAATGCCTTTGGACATACAAGATGAAGTCGAGAACGAGGCTTTGGCCGACATGGCAGGCTCATGGAATATGTTTTGGGTTGGAGACAAAATTAAAGGTAAGTAATAATGTCTACAAAATGACCAAAAGTATATTATGATGTTATATTACAGTATATTAATTTAGACCATGTCTTTTATTGTCTACAACGGATAAGCAATATGATATGAAGCTAGTATCGACAAGAGCCATTACATTCATATAAGAATTATCCTGTCTGTATCAGCGTAGAACGCTTTCGAAAAGAAGCATAGATTGTAGATTCAAGTAAACATGTCCATGTGTTCCCCTGACCTCAGATTCCTATGAGGGCTACTGGGAGGTTTAGTAAACATGGCTATGTGTTCCCCTGACCTCAGATTCCTGTGAGGGCTACTGGGAGGTTTAGTAAACATGGCTATGTGTTTCTACTGACCTCAGATTCCTGTAAGGGCTACTGGGAGGTTTAGTAAACATGGTTAACGTGTTTCTCCTGACCTCAGATCCCTGTAAGGGCTACTGGGAGGTTTAGTAAACATGGGTAACGTGTTTCCCCTGACCTCAGATTCCTGTGTAGGCTACTGGGAGGTTTAGTAAACATGGTTAACGTGTTTCCCCTGACCTCAGATTCCTGTAAGGGCTACTGAGCTGTTTAGTAAACATGGTTAACGTGTTTCTCCTGACCTCAGATTCCTGTGAGGGCTACTGGGAGGTTAAGTAAACATGGTTAACGTGTTTCCCCTGACCTCAGATTCCTGTAAGGGCTACTGAGCTGTTTAGTAAACATGGTTAACGTGTTTCTCCTGACCTCAGATCCCTGTGAGGGCTACTGGGACGTTAACGAGCCCCCAGCCAGTGTCAAGGCAGGAGATTGTGCAGCTGTACAGAAGAACGGTCGCTGGAAGGTTGTCCCATGTCAGAGTCGTCTTCCTTTCTTTTGCAAGAATCCATCATGTATAGAAGGTATGTTACTTTATTGAAGTTCTCTTTTGATTTTGATAACGATACATGAACATCAGGTACATAAGTACCATGCAAGGTTTTTTCAAATATAGTTTCCAAACACAAACCCATGATCATCATTTAGCTGTCTGTGAAGTTATTATTGTTGACGTATTTATTTATACGATTTGACTTCAGTAATTTTTCTTTTGCTTTTATGTAGGTATAAAGGTAAAACAGCGATGTTCATATATTGTGTAGCAGAGTTACGTACAACTCCATGGACACAAAATAATCACCATATTGAAATCAATTCGTATTAAGTAAAGCGTTAACAATAATAAGTTAACATACTTCTTATTTGACACACAGAAGACTGTAAACAACAATACGAATAAGTGACATCGTTCACAGCATAATGCAAGACAAGCCCCGCCTATTCCTTTATCGGCCAATCAAGAAACAGTGGTTTGGAGCTTAAACGAAAAATAACTTGCATGGTAAGCAACTCAAATGCCCCGGAATCATTTGCAATTTATCAATTTTTTTTTTTAAATTACCAGGTTCTTCCGACTGTGGACGTGGCAGCTGCCTGAACAACAAGTGGAAGTGTGACGGCATCAACGACTGCGACAACAACAGGGACGAGATGGACTGCAGTAAGTGACACTAACTGTAGAGGGAACTCCAATAAAACAAATCCAGAATTTGTTGCATTGTTGATAACAAGTACCTACACCCAGATACAGAAGCATTAGTTGTGTTGAAATGCTGTACATCCACATGCATTACTTGTTTATTTAAGCCACAGTTTGAGTTGAATTCACTTTTTACATGATATGTTCAGGTTCAAGATGCACATTTACAAAGACCGGCGCAAGTGGCAGCATCAACTATTTCAGCGGCTACGCCAACAACGCCGACTGCATGTGGACCATCATCTCACCCCCTGGAACACAGCTAGGTGTCACGGTAGGCAGGGGTTTAGGAAGTAACGTTCTCAGCACATCATGTATACACTCGGAATCAAACATAGATAATATCCCATACGCGTCCTCTCGCGACTGTTCCAGTGTGAACATGCTGCTGGTTAGGGAAGTATGATTCAGTGCAAGGGAGGGGACGATACTCTGCCACATTGTTCAATAATATCAGTGAAGTTGACATGCACTAATGTTCATATGTTTTTGAAGGGGAGATGGACAGCATGAGTGATTTGCATCCTGGTGTGTTTCATCCTTCAGTTCAGCTCTGTGCGCCTGGAAGACAAGGTGGATTTGCTGGAAGTGAGGGTTGGAGGCCAGACGATTCAGGATACCCGAGTGTTGGAGACACTGACAGGCAGTCTGGACAACAAGGTCATCTACAGCACCAACAACATGATGCTGCTGCGTCTTACATCTGACTCTTCTGTTACAAACTTTGGTTTCGACCTCACCTGGTCCTCGTGTAAGTCTTGTGTGGATAATTCGTCAAGGATTTGTACAGCAATGTGTATAGCATTCACACTACTATTGATTTATGTAATACTTGCGAGATCAACTGTACCAGAATTCTGAATTCTGTTCGCAGCAACCAGTGACCTCCCTACGGACGTCCGCCCTATCACAGCTGGGTCATCGTGGACAGACTTGACGTCCCCATTCTTCCCCAGCACCCCGCCCAGCGGCTTCCGACTGGAGTGGTTGGTGTCCAGCTCAGACAATACAATTGTCACTCTCATGGTAAAGTTTATCACATGTAAAACATTAAATGCAAGAAAACATACATATCTATGATAATTATAAAGCACATATAAAACTGCTGATGCGTGTATTGTATGTTTACATATCTTTTCGTGTAACGATGAAGCAATACTTTCTGTCTTTGTTGAATACTCTGCACATGATACTGTTATGCGCGGGACATGAGAGTATGGGTATATTGGTATGCGTTTCTTCCTGTAGAATACGCGAACAAACAAGTAATCGCACTTATTGTTTTGTTCAGGTGGAGGAAGTTGACCTCGCCCCTGACTGGATGTTGATGGTGTACAATGGTGAAGGGTATGACGATACTCTGCTGATGGCCTCCAGGCGTGCGGATCTCTCTTCACCAGCCATCTATTTCTCCACCGCCAGTAAAATACGGATTATCCTGAAAGGGAAAGACACATCTGGCGGAGGACGTGGCATCAAACTAAGGGTTAAGAATGGTAGGCTGTGTCCAGGATCACATCAAACATTGTGTGCATATCATTGACTACTGTAGACGTATACTACATTCACGACAATTGAATCTATTAACTACTCTATATCCGTATTCTGCAGGATGCATGGTTGAGACGCGAGCAGCTAATGGCACAATAGACACAGCATTGATTCAGTCATGTTCTAACCAAGAAGTAAACTCTAAATCTATATGACATTCATCTACAGGATGCAACGTTGAGATACAAGCAGCTAGTGGCACAATAGACACAGCATTGATTCAGTCATGTTCTAACCAAGAAGTAAACTCTAAATCTATATGACATTCATCTACAGGATGCAGCGTTGAGATACAAGCAGCTAGTGGCACAGTGTCCTCACCTGGATTCAGCAAGAAGAGGTATCCGACCTCAGTGACCTGTTCCTGGAAGATTCAGGCCCCGAGTGATGCAAACAGGAACCTGATGGTCAAATTCCTCTACCTTGTTCTGGAGACCGTTGGCAAGGATCTAATCGAGGTACGAATACAAATATCTTATGAAAGACACTTCAGAAAGAGGTAATATGGTAGAACAATATCTATGTATTGGGCATGTTACATTTGGAATGCCTGTAAGGCTATACCGTGAGTAGGGCTGATATTGAGATCACAATAAACCACATAGCGCAGTGAAACTGTTCTGATAAACTAAAGGTAATTTAAATTCCACTATACGCCAGATATACAATGGTTCAGACGCCTCGGCTGGAGTCCTCCATATGGGCAGCGGGTACACAGGGGATCTAACGTCATCCCTTCCCAGCGTCAACGGAGGCAACACTCTCTATGTCAGGTTCAAGTCTAGCCTCATTCAGGACATGGGAGGATTCCAGTTTGAGTTCTCTATAGGTGAGCATCATTTATAAGCATTACGTTTCTTACACACCTGTTGGCGAGAAACCCATTTGAGATGGCTGGTAACAAACATGTGTGAGATGTCCGTGATTGGCTGATGACCAGGTCAGATTTTTCGGAATACTGTCCTATTCACGTACGTCTGTGTATCTAGGTTGTATTAGACAAAATACGTTTCGATTCGATGCCAAAAAGTGTGATTTTAGGGTGTGCAAGAAACAGATATATACCATTTATCTTAAAACTTATGTAGTGATGTCTATGTATAGCTCGCCGATGAATATGAAACAAAGTTAGTTTCTGTATTTTAACTTATCTGTTTCCAACTATGGCATTGCCAAGAAAGTTCTTCCCGATGCAAAGAAGTTAAAGTCCAGTTTCCATCCTTGCCGATCTATGCTGGAATTTTGTGGTTCGATCGTAGCGCTACTTGGCTATTACGAGTTACGTCCCTCCTTTTGACCACTCAGAAACACTAGACACACCGCACTCTGTTGCCAAGGACTGACACAGAAAGTGCTGAGAGAGCTGGGTAACTTACCTATGAGGTAGATCAGGTCCGCTCCTTGGCATCTTCCCGAGGCAAGGGCGTTACCTGACTGGTCCCGTTTCCACCCTTGCCGAAGTGCGCTAGAGTCTCCAGGATCTACCAGTGGATATTACGAGTTATATCCCTTCTACGTCCATCCTATTGACCAATCAGATTCCACCTCTCTTATCACTTGCATTTGTTTCACGTAAAATGGCGGCACCCAGTGAAATCAATTTGATCGATAATCAACATCTTTGTTGCAATAAAACGGATCTTACCTCGCGAAGTGAGTCAAATCACCTCGCTTTTAAAGCACGAAAAGAGTTGAAAACTACCTGTTGACGGTAACACATGCTTTGCAACTCCCGAATCAACTGAAATATTTACGGCAGTCGCTACGTTATTTATGAACCAAATGTCGATCTTTTACGCGATTTGTATTAGCCTATGACACGTTAATATATATAACTATTTATCATATTCTTCCGTATGAAAGACTGATAATTCCGAAGTTGAGAAAAGTGAAATTTTCATTGCAGTGAACATTACACTTGATATTTCACTGTAGTGACCATATCACTCTGACAGAACTATTGCCTTACAAGAGTGACCTCCCCTTATATTGTCTCCTTTCGTCGTAAGTGACGAGCCCGTACACAAACTGTTGATGTTTGCTTTTACGTTAGGTCCACATTGACAAGGCAAAATAGTCGTTTATAAGCCTCTTCTTGCCTTTTGTTATTCACTTCATTTAACTCAGACTTTTCTTTTCGACAAGAACCATTTTTGTTACTTGACCGGCGTGTCTCCTAGTTTTCAAGAATATGCTTTGTTAAAGTTGATTTTGTATATAATCATATCTCAATATATGATAAAGAATTTTCGTGACCCTAAATATTTTTTGCATACTTTTTTTCAATATTTTTTGTAAGATTTTGTAAACACGAAACTACTTTTTAAATCGCAAAAACTATGAGTGGTGAACCATCCTTGTGTGCTAGATAGAGATAATTTACGTTTCAAGGTTTTACATTTGTAATGATATGTATTAATTTTCTGGTAGACAGCTACACGAAAAGTATATAATAAAATATCTCATTTTCCCCCGTCACGAGATGAGAGAAACATGCTTTTTCAACCGACACATGAAATATCCTCTATAACTCCAAAAGTCCAGTCTATTCCTCCAAGGGTAGAAACTGGACTTTTACAGTCTGTTACCTCTCTTGCCTCCGGAAGATGGGAAAGTAAATGAGCAGTACTCTATGTCATAATGATATTTGAGGGACAGTCAACAGAGGCTATTCCCCCCACATAGCATTGTGTGTATTTTTATTCAATGATACTTTTGTATTTTATCAGACTGCCCTTCTATTCCTGACTCCACAAACATGGCGAAATCATCTCCCGCCACAGCCTTCCTCAGCTCTGTGACTGTCAGCTGCACAACTGGATACTCGTTCGAACAGGAGGAATATTATCAAAAAGATACTGTTTCTTTCGTATGTGAGAAAGGAGGAAAATGGGACAAACCAAGATACCCCACCTGTCAGGGTAAGCATAACAGATTTCGGTCAATGTAAGCCACTTTGCACATTCGATTCCAAATTGTATTAAACGTGTATAAACCTAGGTAACTCAGATCTAGATATATTGAAAACACAATGTGTTTATCACCTAATTACCTACCAGGGTGTTAACACTAGAATCTGTGAGGGTAGAATCACACATTATACCGGTCAGGGTATTAACCTCCCAGCCTCTGAGGTTATAATCACATAATACCGGTCAGGGTATTAAGCCAAGAACATCTGAGGTTAGAATCATATATTACTGCTCAGGGTATTAAGCCAAGAACATCTGAGGTTAGGATCATATATTACCTGTCAGGGTATCAAGCCAAGAACATCTGAGGTTAGGATCATATATTACCGGTCAAGGTATTAAGCCAAGAACATCTGAGGTTGGGATCATATATTACCGGTCAAGTTATTAAGCCAAGAACATCTGAGGTTAGGATCATATATTACCGGTCAAGGTATTAAGCCAAGAACATCTGAGGTTAGGATCATATATTACCGGTCAAGGTATTAAGCCAAGAACATCTGTGGTTAGGATCATATATTACTGGTCAGGGTATTAAGCTAAGAACATCTGAGGTTAGGATCACAAAATAACGGTCAGGGTATTAAGCCAAGAACATCTGAGGTTAGGATCATATATTACCTGTCAGGGTATCAAGCCCTGAACATCTGAGGTTAGGATCATATATTATCGGTCGAGGTATTAACTCTTGAGCCTCAGACGTTAACTAACATAACCGCACTCCAAATCTTTATAACAGCCTACAGACAACACAATCAAAATGTATCCGAATCAATCGAACCAATCGACACAAATTAATTGTCTTCATGTAACTCAGGATAAACTACTTGGAATGAGTGGTCCAGCCAGACTTTCAAATCGTAGAAAGAGCTTTTCTTCCAATCACTGCATTTTCCTTCCTGTCATACATTCAGTGGTATACTGTGGGGCGCCGGATGCCATTGAGTTTGGTTTCGTGAAGAACTACAGTGGAGCTGTTACCTATAACAATAAAGCTGTCTATGAATGCTACAATGGATTCACTATGAAAGGGGCACCGGAAGTGACGTGTAGTACATCCGGAAAGTGGATGACGCTACCCACGTGTGAATGTAAGTAACCTAAGTATGTTAGCATAACCTTACTATGCAAGTATGTGTAAGGCCGCCTCCGTGATCTAGAGGCAGAGCGTCCACCTGGCGAGTGGAAGGTCCGAGGTTCGATCCCCGACCGCGTCATACCGAAAGACATTAAGTAAGTATCTGTAAGATTAACCTTACTATGTAAGTATCTGTTAGAATAACCTTGCTATGTAAGTATCAGTAAGAATATCATTACTATGAAGTATGATTAAAAATAACCTGTGACTGAAAGTGACTGTAAAATGACTTTAACTGTGATAGCCTAATTTATGTGATCCAAAGATCACAATCTTGCCTTGCAATCAGTTTGATGACGTTTAGTTCCAGATTGTGTATGAAACCAATGTTGTTGACTGTTGGTACGTTCAGGCACCCTTGTAGATGTTACGGTGACATTAACTCATGAGTAGGGCTCTATATCCATCGAGCAATGCAATTTGACTTTTATAACCAACACATATCTGACTCAGTCGTGTTCCCCCTCAGCTGCCAAGTGTGGTTCAGCTCCTCTTGTGACGGACGCTACATCTAAAATCATCACCAGCACAGAAGCAACCTCCTACGGGGCAATCGTGGAATACACGTGCAGGGCCGGCTATGAGATTAAAGGATCATCCCGCAGACTCTGCAACACCACCAACACGTGGACCAATACCGCCCCCACTTGTGAGAGTAAGTACAGTGTATATCAATACCGCCCCAACTTGTGAGAGTAAGTACAGAGTATAGCAATACCGCCCTCACTTGTGAGAGTAAGTACAGAGTATAGCAATACTACCCCCACTTGTGAGAGGAAGTACAGAGTATATCAATACCGCCCCCACTTGTGAGAGTAAGTACATAGTATAGCAATACCGCCCCCACTTTTGAGAGTAAGTACGGAGTATATCAATACCGCCCTCACGTGTGTGAGTAAGTACAGAGTTTATCAATACCGCCCCGACTTGTGAGAGTAAGTACGCGTATAGCAATACCGCCCCCACTTATGAGAGTAAGTGCGGAGTATATCAATACCGCCCCCACTTGTGAGAGTAAGTACAGAGTATATCAATACTGCCATCGTTTGTGAGAGTAAGTACAGAGTATAGCAATACTACCCCCACTTGTGAGAGGAAGTACAGAGTATATCAATACGGCCCCCACTTGTGAGAGTAAGTACATAGTATAGCAATACCGCCCCCACTTTTGAGAGTAAGTACGGAGTATATCAATACCGCCCTCACGTGTGTGAGTAAGTACAGAGTTTATCAATACCGCCCCGACTTGTGAGAGTAAGTACGCGTATAGCAATACCGCCCCCACTTATGAGAGTAAGTGCGGAGTATATCAATACCGCCCCCACTTGTGAGAGTAAGTACAGAGTATATCAATACTGCCATCGTTTGTGAGAGTAAGTACAGAGTATATCAATACCGCCCCCACTTGTGAGAGTAAGTACGGAGTATATCAATACCGCCCCCACTTGTGAGAGTAAGTACAGAGTATATCAATACCGCCCCCACTTGTGAGAGTAGGTACAGAGTATATCAATACCGACCCCACTTGTGAGAGTAAGTACGGAGTATATTAATACCGCCCCCACTTGTTAAAGTAAGGACAGATTATATCAATACCGCCCCCACTTGTGAGGGTAAGTACAGGGTATATCAATACCGCCCCCACTTGTGAGAGTAAGTACGGAGTATAGCAATACCGCCCCCACTTTTGAGAGTAAGTACAGAGTATATCAATACCGCCCCCACTTGTGAGAGTAAGTACAGAGTATATCAATACCGCCCCCACTTGTGAGAGTCAGTACGGTGTTTTTCAATACCTCCACCACCTGTGAGAGTAAATACAGAGTATATCAATACCGCCACCACCTGTGAGAGAAAGTACAGAGTAAATCAATACCGCCCCCACTTGTGAGAGTAAGTACAGAGTATATCAATACCGCCACCACCTGTGAGAGTAAGTACAGAGTATATCAATACCTCCACCACCTGTGAGGGTAAGTACAGAGTATATCAATACCGCCCCCACTTGTGAGAGTAAGTACAGAGTATATCAATACCGCCACCACCTGTGAGAGTAATTACAGAGTATATCAATACCGCCCCCACTTGTGAGAGTAAGTACAGAGTATATCAATACCGCCCCATCTCTGAGGGTAAGAAAGTGTATGAATAACGCTCCACTATTGAGAGTAAGTTCATACCATACCACATGTGAGAGTAAGTACAGAGTACATGAATACCCCCTCCACTAGTGAGAGTAAGAACATACAATCAACGTCTTCCCTTCATGTGAGGTTAAGTACAGAGTATATCAATACCCACCATCACTCATGACAGCAAGGTTATATGAATACTACCACCACTTGTGAAAGTATGTACATTGTGCACTAGTACCTCACACAATTGTGAGAGTCAGTAGAGAGTATATCAATACCGGTCCTAATTTGGAGAGTAAGTCCAGAGTGTATGAATACCGCCCCACTTGTGACAGTAAGCACGGGGTATTTCAATATCTCGACACATCTGATTGTTATTACAGAGTATAACAAGAGGAAACACTTATTCTTTCACGTGAAGACAAACGATTCGTGGTGTCCAAGTTGATCCACATTGTCACCTATGGAATTCAATTAGTAATCATTATGTCACATGTTGGGTAAGGAAGGGTTATGGACATCAGCCCGAGATGTGCTTGAAACATTTCATTAATCAGATGATATGTTATTGTGATGACGACAGACCACTGCTACATTTCATTGATACAATCTGGAAAGGATTTCACCATACAGCTACAAGTAATATTTTGCGGTATCCCTGATCCACAATACATGGTCCGAAGTAGGATACATTGTCACATCTATTATCATGGATGTGACGGTACATTTCGTTTCAGGGATAAAATGTCCTCTCCCACAAGTCCCAATGGCCTCGCTGAACGTGGACAAGCCAGCAGATTTCGAGGACAAGGTGACCTTGACGTGTTCCGACGGCTACTGGGCCTCCACAACAAACACAACAACCGCCCTTCTTACCTGTAACGCGGACGGCGCGTTTGATGCTGTCACATGTGTTGGTATGTATTGAGATTTGCGTTAAACTATTTAACCCTTTGAACATCAAACAGAAACATGAAATGGTGACTTAATTGATTGTGTGTCACCAAACACTGAATCATCGGGAATACCCCGGATTCCATACAACAAACGAACAAGTAAGCATCATTTCACTGATTTTAATGCCACATATATAGCACTTGGAAGCGTCATCAATATAACTAGTATCTTATACAAGCTGGGCCGTACGTTTATTGGCGTGTGATGAACATAACTGTCCTTCACGTTCATTTTGAAATTTATAACGACAAGTGTTAAGTTTTCCCGAAATATTAAGTCTACGTTTGAACATTAGTGGGATGTGTTTTCTCTCTCCAGATATAGACGAGTGTGCAGATGGGTCCCCGTGCCTATCTACACAGAAGTGTGTGAACACGATGGGCTCCCACAATTGTATATGCAGACCCGGCTACACGCCTGGAACTACCCTACAGTGTGAAGGTTCGTGTGCAACGGCGTGTACTAAATACAGTTATATCTGTTCAGCCCCAGCTCAGTAGATAAGGTTTGTTTTGTGTCCATTTCAGCGTAGTTTAAACACACTGCAATGCAGAGTGACATTTGTGAGACGAGTTTTGTCAAGGACTGTATAGATGGGGCATGCGATTTGTTTGTCGGGTTGTTGCATCATCAGTCAAGTGGAACATCCTCTAACCCGGATGACGCCGAGTAGTCATGCAGGATGTTCGAAGAAGAGAGCAGTAATTAACACTCACGACTGAACGTTTGCACTGTAGGGACTCACTCAAAACCTGAATACAAAATTAGTTTATAACTCAAACTCACTGCATACATTAACTAAATAAAAAGCTGAAATAATAAGTATTACTAAGAAATTGTTTCGTGCTGAGACATAACATCGTATTGAGGAACAACATCAAACTAACACCCACATCATATTAAGAACGAAAATCATCCTGAGAAAAAGATCATCCCTGTGAGGTAGAGTCAAACCTTCTCCATGGACGTCTTGACTTGTGCTGTGTTGCAGTGTGTATTCAGGTGAGACAGTGGCCAGCCTCTGTGTGTGTAGGTGACTGGTATCACCAGTGGGGCATGATACGCTCATTGTTTCGTGAACACCTGGAATCATTACTAATTAGTAGTGACTCATTAACATATGTTCATCATATGTCAGAAACAGCGGCACCAATGTCGCTATTAGCAGTGTCCTGAATGAACAACCAAAACACGCAACTCACGGGGTGGTGTGGCCACTCCAGGGGGTGGTTTGGGCACTCCACGGAGAGACACAACTTGTTCGCTATCGTCCCTTCACAAGTAGTCGGAATGCCAGAGTGCAAGACTCACATGACATTCTAATCAGACATCCAGTACAGTACACAAAGTTAGCACGTACACATACGTGTTACTCTGTTACTCGGGTAACGGATGCAGAATAAGATGAATAATAGATTGGAAATAAGAGCATAATGATGGACCTAATACTAGTAACTATTGCTAAGTCTTTTTTGATGAGATCAAGCCATGTACGTTCAAACTGCGCCGCAGCTGCTCTAATGGTTGTCTTTGATGCTACACAATCATCACCTCGGTCATGGCACCAGGAGGCACCTCGATTACATTCCAAGCTTCCTGGAATAATGGATGAGTTGCAAAGGAAGCACATCCAACCGATTTAACACTAGCCTAATCAGCCACATATATAGTAAACATAAATAAAACATAGAGAACATTCAAATAAAAAGCTGTTTGTGTCATGATGTTAGAATGTGTGACATAATGTGTATATCGACAGATATCAACGAGTGCAGTGACGGTAACGGCGGCTGCCAACACAACTGTCAGAACACTCCCTCGGGATCCTACACCTGTACCTGCAACCCCGGATTCAAACTGTTTCAAAATGGAACCAACTCGGTGTACATCGTGGAGGGCGAAACAGGCCTCATGCGACAAGACGTGTACCGTGTTGGCCACTCCTGTGTCCGTAAGTAGCTTCTCTGGCTGTTCATGCAACATCTCTGGTGGTATGTGGAATCACAACATTTGGACAATGAACTCATCATGATGATCAATTTGCTAGTACCTGTTTTTGAAGTGTTTGGAAGTTACTAACAGCATCAGTATCCGGAATGTTTTCTTATGTCCACATCTCCCGTGTTTCGTGGAACAAATGTCCTTGTTCGAGTGATATCAGCAATCGTCATACGCACTTTCTTTTATTTCCACATCATCCGTGTTTCAGGGAACACATGTCCTCGTCCAGGTAATATCAGCAATGGCGTCATACACACTTTCTTTTTTATATCCACATCATCCGTGTTTCAGGGAACACATGCCCTCGACCAAGTGATATCAGCAACGGTGTCATACACACTTTGAAGCAGACCTTCTTCTACGAGGATGAGATCATGTACAGCTGCAAGCTGGGGTTCTCCTTGGGCGGCAATGAGAAGAGGACATGTCAAGCATCTGGCACCTGGTCTGGATCTGATCCTACTTGCAATGGTGAGTAGTTGGTCTGAAAGCATAGCTGGGTGTCACAGTGTCACTGCCTCAAAGGTCAGAATATTGTCCAAAGTAATGCTGCCAATCCATGAATCTATTTTTCTCCCAGTTTAAACTGAATAAGTAACATCTCACATGGAGCGAAATATAATATACACTACTCAACGGAAGTTAAAGAACACCTGATGTTAATATATGACACTAGTTAATCTGTCATGGCTGCCCTCTATTGCAACACACGTCCTTATAATTGTGGATGTTCTTTAACTCGTTTTGAGTAGTTTATATGATGGCTCTTCCAACTCGATTACTCGATTACTTAAGAAGTGTGATGACTAAAGACAAAAGGAGTTTCGAAGTATGATGTCGACACATATTTACTACGTCATGAATAGCAAGACAACACTGAAAGGAACCTTAAGCCTTGGGTATTTTTTATGTCCGTATATTATCATCCTTAAAGCCTGATGTAAAGATACTGTATATGTCCGTCTACTTTCATCATTACAGCTATCACTTTCCTTGTGGAGGGATATTGTATTTATCATCCAAAACTGGCTCCCACAGGAGATATCGCTTGTATTAGATCAGGTGATATCTACACTGTAGATATCGCTGCAATGAAATTACATCACAATGCTTTGCAGACCATTGTGACGTCACGGGTTATCATGGCGTCACAATCAAATAACATCACTAATGGCTCTGCTACTGAAGCTGTTAGCAGTCCTTTTTACACCGAAGACACTGCTCATTACTGTCTACAAATTGGAAAAGTTGGAAGAATGATGTTTGATGATCAATAAAATCTCACCCGAGTGTCGTTTGATATCAAATATATCAGCACTCGTTGATAAGTGGAAAAATCCTCGGCAAGCCTCGGAATATTTCCACTTTTATCAACAAATACTTGATATCAAAAGATAGTCGGGTGAGATTCTCTATATATCCGTCTATTCTCACCCTTAAAGCTATCCCATGCCTTGTAGAGGGATATTGTTAAGATCCGTCTATTCTCAATCTTACAGCTATCACATGCCTTGTGGAGGGATATTGTATACATCCGTCTATTCTCATCTTTACAGCTATCACATGCCTTGTGTAGGGATGCTGCATATATCTGTCTATTCTCATTCTTACAGCTATCACATGCCTTGTGTAGGGATACTGCATATATCCGTCTATTCTCATCCTAACAGATTTCATATGCCTTTTGTAGGGATACTGCATATATCCGTCTATTCTCATCCTTATATCTATCACATGCCTTGTGTAGGGATACTTCATATATCTGTCTATTCTCATCCTAACAGCTTTCATATGCCTTGTGTAGGGATGCTGCATATATCTGTCTATTCTCATTCTTACAGCTATCACATGCCTTGTGTAGGGATACTGCATATATCCTTCTATTCTCATCCTTACAGCTTTCATATGCCTTTTGTAGGGATACTGCATATATCCGTCTATTCTCATCCTTATATCTATCACATGCCTTGTGTAGGGATACTGCATATATCTGTCTATTCTCATCCTAACAGCTTTCATATGCCTTGTGTAGGGATACTGCATATATCCTTCTATTCTCATCTTTATATCTATCACATGCCTTGTGTAGGGATACTGCATATATCCGGCTATTCTCATCCTTATATCTATCACATGCCTTGTGTAGGGATGCTGCATATATCTGTCTATTCTCATCCTAACAGCTTGCATATGCCTTGTGTAGGGATACTGCATATATCCTTCTATTCTCATCTTTATATCTATCACATGCCTTGTGTAGGGATACTGCATATATCCGTCTATTCTCATCCTTATATCTATCACATGCCTTGTGTAGGGATGCTGCATATATCTGTCTATTCTCATCCTAACAGCTTTCATATGCCTTGTGTAGGGATACTGCATATATCCGTCTATTCTCATCCTAACAGCTTTCATATTCCTTGTGTAGGGATGCTGCATACATCCGTCTATTCTCATCCTGATATCTATCACATGCCTTGTGTAGGGATACTGCATATATCTGTCTATTCTCATCCTTATATCTATCACATGCCTTGTGTAGAGATACTGCATATATCCGTCTATTCTCATCCTAACAGCTTTCATATGCCTTGTATAGGGATGCTGCATATATCCGTCTATTCTCATCCTTATATCTATCACATGCCTTGTGTAGGGATGCAGCATATATCCGTCTATTGTCATCATTATATCTATCACATACCTTGTGTAGGGATACTGCATATATCCGTCTATTCTCATCCTTATATCTATCACATGCCTTGTGTAGGGATACTGCATATATCCGTCTATTCTCATCATTATATCTATCACATGCCTTGTGTAGGGATACTGCATATATCCGTCTATTCTCATCCTAACAGCTTTCATATGCCTTTTGTAGGGATACTGCATATATCCGTCTATTCTCATCCTTACATCTATCACAGGCCTTGTGTAGAGGGGTATTGTATATACCTGTCTATTCTCATCCTTACATCTATCACACGTCTTGTGTAGGGGTATTGTATATATCCGTCTATTCTCATCCCTACAGCTATCACACGCCTTGTGTAGGGATACTGCATATATCCTTCTATTTTCATTCTTACAGCTTTCATATGCCTTGTGTAGGGATACTGCATATATCCGTATATTCTCGTCCTAACAGGTTTCACATGCCTTGTATAGGGATACTGCATATATCCGTCTAGTCTCAATCTTACAGCTATCACATACCTTGTATAGGGATATTGTATATATCCGACTATCCTCATTCTTACAGCTATCACATACCTTGTGTAGGGATATTGCATATATCCGTCTATTCTCATCCTTACATTGATCACATGCCTTGTGTAGGGATACTGCATATATCTGTCTATTCTCGTTCTTACAGGTATCACTTGCCTTGTGTAGGGAAACTGCATCTATCCGTTTATTCTCAATCTTACAGCTATCGCTTGCCTTGTGTAGGGATACTGCATATATCCGTCTATTCTCAATCTTACAGCTATCACATACCTTGTGTAGGGATGCTGCATATATCCTTCTATTCTCATTCTTACAGGTATCACATGCCTTGTGTAGGGATACTGCATATATCCTTCTATTCTCATCCTAACAGGTATCACATGCCTTGTGTAGGGATACTGCATATACCCGTCTATTCTCAACCTTACAGCTATCGCTTGCCTTGCGTAGGGATACTGCATATATCCGTCTATTCTCAATCTTACAGCTATCACATACCTTGTGTAGCGATGCTGCATATAACCTTCTATTCTCATTCTTACAGGTATCACATGCCTTGTGTAGGGATACTGCATATATCCTTCTATTCTCATCCTAGCAGGTATCACATGCCTTGTGTAGGGATACTGCATATACCCGTCTATTCTCAACCTTACAGCTATCTCTTGCCTTGCGTAGGGATACTGCATATATCCGTCTATTCTCAATCTTACAGCTATCACATACCTTGTGTAGCGATGCTGCATATATCTGTCTATTCTCATTCTTACAGGTATCACATGCCTTGTGTAGGTATACTGCATATATCCGTCTATTCTCATCCTAACAGCTTTCATATGCCTTTTGTAGGGATACTCCATATATCCGTCTATTCTCATCCTTATATCTATCACATGCCTTGTGTAGGGTTACTGCATATATCCGTCTATTCTCATCATTATATCTATCACATGCCTTGTGTAGAGATACTGCATATATCCGTCTATTCTCATCCTTATATCTATCACATGCCTTGTGTAGAGATACTGCATATATCCGTGTATTCTCAATCTTACAGCTATCGCTTTCCTTGTGTAGGGACACTGCATATATCCGTCTATTCCCATCCTAACAGCTATCACATGCCTTGTGTAGGGGTATTGTATATATCCGTCTATTCTCATCCTTACATCTATCACACGCCTTGTGTAGGGATACTGCATATATCCTTCTATTTTCATTCTTACAGCTTTCATATGCCTTGTGTAGGGATACTGCATATATCCGTTTATTCTCAATCTTACAGCTATCGCTTTCCTTGTGTAGGGACACTGCATATATCCGTCTATTCCCATCCTAACAGCTATCACATGCCTTGTGTAGGGGTATTGTATATATCCGTCTATTCTCATCCTTACATCTATCACACGCCTTGTGTAGGGATACTGCATATATCCTTCTATTTTCATTCTTACAGCTTTCATATGCCTTGTGTAGGGATACTGCATATATCCGTATATTCTCGTCCTAACAGGTTTCAAATGCCTTGTATAGGGATACTGCATATATCCGTCTAGTCTCAATCTTACAGCTATCACATGCCTTGTGTAGGGTTACTGCATATATCCGTCTATTCTCATCATTATATCTATCACATGCCTTGTGTAGAGATACTGCATATATCCGTCTATTCTCATCCTTATATCTATCACATGCCTTGTGTAGGGATACTGCATATATCTGTCTATTCTCGTTCTTACAGGTATCACTTGCCTTGTGTAGGGAAACTGCATATATCCGTTTATTCTCAATCTTACAGCTATCGCTTTCCTTGTGTAGGGACACTGCATATATCCGTCTATTCCCATCCTAACAGCTATCGCTTCCCTTATGTAGGGATACTGCATATATCCTTCTATTCTCATCTGTAAAGCTAGCTCTTGCCTTATATAGGGATATTGCTTGCATCTGTCTATTCTCATCCATACAGCTGTCACATACCTTGTGTAATAATACTGCATATATCCGTCTCTTCTCATCCTAACAGGCATCACATGCCTTGTGTAGGGATACTGCATATATCCGTCTATTCTCAACCTTACAGCTATCGCTTGCCTTGTGTAGGGATACTGCATATATCCGTCTATTCTCAATCTTACAGCTATCACATACCTTGTGTAGGGATGCTGCATATATCCTTCTATTCTCATCCTAACAGGTATCACATGCCTTGTGTAGGGATACTGCATATATCCGTCTATTCTCAACCTTACAGCTATCGCTTGCCTTGTGTAGGGATACTGCATATATCCGTCTATTCTCAATCTTACAGCTATCACATACCTTGTGTAGGGATGCTGCATATATCCTTCTATTCTCATTCTTACAGGTATCACATGCCTTGTGTAGGGATACTGCATATATCCTTCTATTCTCATCCTAACAGGTATCACATGCCTTGTGTAGGGATACTGCATATATCCGTCTATTCTCAACCTTACAGCTATCGCTTGCCTTGCGTAGGGATACTGCATATATCCGTTTATTCTCAATCTTACAGCTATCACATACCTTGTGTAGCGATGCTGCATATATCTGTCTATTCTCATTCTTACAGGTATCACATGCCTTGTGTAGGTATACTGCATATATCCGTCTATTCTCATCCTAACAGCTTTCATATGCCTTTTGTAGGGATACTCCATATATCCGTCTATTCTCATCCTTATATCTATCACATGCCTTGTGTAGGGTTACTGCATATATCCGTCTATTCTCATCATTATATCTATCACATGCCTTGTGTAGAGATACTGCATATATCCGTCTATTCTCATCCTTATATCTATCACATGCCTTGTGTAGAGATACTGCATATATCCGTGTATTCTCATCCTAACAGCTTTCATATGCCTTTTGTAGGGATACTGCATATATCCTTCTATTCTCATCCTTACATCTATCACAGGCCTTGTGTAGGGGTATTGTTTAGATCCGTCTATTCTCATCCTAACAGCTATCACATGCCTTGTGTAGGGGTATTGTATATATCTGTCTATTTTCATCCTTACATCTATCACACGCCTTGTGTAGGGGTATTGTATATATCCGTCTATTCTCATTCTTACAGCTATCACATGCCTTGTGTAGGGATACTGCATATATCCTTCTATTCTCATCCTAACAGGTATCACATGCCTTGTGTAGGGATACTGCATATATCCGTCTATTCTCAACCTTACAGCTATCGCTTGCCTTGCGTAGGGATACTGCATATATCCTTCTATTCTCAATCTTACAGCTATCACATACCTTGTGTAGGGATGCTGCATATATCTGTCTATTCTCATTCTTACAGGTATCACATGCCTTGTGTAGAGATACTGCATATATCCGTCTATTCTCATCCTAACAGCTTTCATATGCCTTTTGTAGGGATACTGCATATGTCCGTCTATTCTCATCCTTATATCTATCACATGCCTTGTGTAGGGTTACTGCATATATCCTTCTATTCTCATCATTATATCTATCACATGCCTTATGTAGAGATACTGCATATATCCGTCTATTCTCATCCTTATATCTATCACATGCCTTGTGTAGAGATACTGCATATATCCGTGTATTCTCATCCTAACAGCTTTCATATGCCTTTTGTAGGGATACTGCATATATCCTACTATTCTCATCCTTACATCTATCACAGGCCTTGTGTAGGGGTATTGTTTAGATCCGTCTATTCTCATCCTAACAGCTATCACATGCCTTGTGTAGGGGTATTGTATATATCTGTCTATTTTCATCCTTACATCTATCACACGCCTTGTGTAGGGGTATTGTATATATCCGTCTATTCTCATCCTTACAGCTAGCTCCTACCTTGTGTACGGATACTGCGTAAATCCTTCTATTCTCATCCTAACAGCTATCGCTTGCCTTATGTAGGGATACTGCTTATATCCTTCTATTCTCATCCTTAAAGCTAGCTCTTGCCTTATGTAGGGATATTGCTTACATCCGTCTATTCTCATTCTTACAGCTATCACAAACCTTCTGTAGGGATACTGCATATATCCGTCTATTCTCATCCTAACAGCTATCACATGCCTTGTGTAGGGATATTGTATATATCCGTCTATACTCATCCTTATATCTATCACATGCCTTGTGTAGGGATACTGCATATATCCGTCTATTCTCATCCTAACAGGTTTCACATGCCTTGTGTAGGGATACTGCATATATCCTTCTAGTCTCAATCTTACAGCTATCACATACCTTGTATAGGGATATTGTATATATCCGACTATCCTCATTCTTACAGCTATCACATACCTTGTTTAGGGATATTGCATATATCCGTCTATTCTCATCCTTACATTGATCACATGCCTTGTGTAGGGATACTGCATATATCTGTCTATTCTCATCCTAACAGGTATCACATGCCTTGTGTAGGGAAACTGCATATATCCGTTTATTCTCAACCTTACAGCTAACGCTTGCCTTGTGTAGGGATACTGCATATATCCGTCTATTCTCATCCTAACAGCTATCGCTTGCCTTATGTAGGGATACTGCATATATCCTTCTATTCTCATCTGTAAAGCTAGCTCTTGCCTTATATAGGGATATTGCTTGTATCCGTCTATTCTCATCCTTACAGCTGTCACATACCCTGTGTAAGGATACTGCATATATCCGTCTATTCTCATCCTAACAGGTATCACATGCCTTGTGTAGGGATACTGCATATATCCGTTTATTCTCAACCTTACAGCTATCGCTTGCCTTGTGTAGGGATACTGCATATATCCGTCTATTCTCAATCTTACAGCTATCACATACCTTGTGTAGGGATACTGCATATATCCGTCTAATCTCAATCTTACGGCTAGCACATGCCTTGTATAGGGATATTGTATATATCCGACTATCCTCATTCTTACAGCTAGCACATGCCTTGTGTAGGGATACTGCATATATCCTTCCATTCTCATCCTAACAGCTATCGCTTGCCTTATGTAGGGATACTGCATATATCCTTCTATTCTCATCCTTAAAGCTAGCTCTTGCCTTATATAGGGATACTGCATATATCCGTCTATTCTCATTCTTACAGCTATTACAAACCTTCTGTAGGGATACTGCATATATCCGTCTATTCTCATCCTAACAGCTATCACATACCTTGTTTAGGGATATTGTATATATCCGTCTAATCTCATCCCACTGCTTTAACATACCTTGTGTAGGGATATTGCATATATCCGTCTATTCTCATACTTACATTGATCACATGCCTTGTGTAGGGATACTGCAAATATCCGTCTGTTCTCATTCTTACAGCTATTACAAACCTTCTGTAGGGATACTGCATATATCCGTCTATTCTCATCCTAACAGCTATCACATGCCTTGTTTAGGGATATTGTATATATCCGTCTATTCTCATCCTAACAGCTTTCACATGCCTTGTGTAGGGATATTGTATATATCCATCTATTCTCATCCCACAGCTTTCACATACCTTGTGTAGGGATATTGCATATATCCGTCTATTCTCATACTTACATTGATCACATACCTTGTGTAGGGATACTGCAAATATCCGTCTATTCTCATCCTTACAGCTATCACATGTTCAGCTCAGACAAGACAGGGAACTGATGTCCAGAAGGAGAGGGTTGTTCGCATTATCCCTGCAACTCCAGTTGCGTTCAAGGAGAAGGTGGTTGTAGAGTGTAGAAAGGAGGATGACTCCACCTTCAACAAGACCCTCTACTGTGCTTATGACAGCAAGACGAAGAACTACGCCTTACAAGGCGACTCACCAATCTGCCCAGGTGAGATATAGCATTACAGTGAGAAGAACCCATATACCTTACAAGGGGACTCACCCATCTACCCAGGTGAGACATAGTATAACAGCGAGAAGAACCCATATACCTCACAAGGAGACTCACCCACCTGTCCAGGTGAGATACAGTATGGCAGTATGACAGTGACAGTGATGAGAACCCATATGCCTCACAAGGGGACTCACCCATCTGCCCAGGTGAGATATTGTATGGCAGTATGACAGTGACAGTGAGAAGAACCCATATACCTTTCAAGGGGACTCACCCATCTGCCCAGGTGAGATATTGTATGGCAGTATGACAGTGACAGTACCAGTGATGAGAACACATATACCTCACAAGGGGACTCACTCGTCTGCCCAGGTGAGATACAGTATGGCAGTATGACAGTGACAGTGATGAGAACACATATACCTCACAAGCAGACTCACCCGTCTGTCCAGGTGAGATACAGTATGGCAGTATGACAGTGACAGTGAGAAGAACCCATATACCTTTCAAGGGGACTCACCCATCTGCCCAGGTGAGATACAGTATGGCAGTATGACAGTGACAGTGAGAAGAACCCATATACCTCACAAGGGGACACACCCGTCTGTCCAGGTGAGATACAGTATGGCAGTATGACAGTGACAGTGAGAAGAACCCATATACCTCACAAAGGGACTCACCCATCTGCCCAGGTGAGATACAGTATGGCAGTATGACAGTGACAGTGATGAGAACACATATACCTCACAATGGGACTCACCCGTCTGTCCAGATGAGATACAGTATGGCAGTATGACAGTGACAGTGAGAAGAACCCATGGACCTCACAAGGAGACTCACCCATCTGTCCAGGTGAGATACAGTATGGCAGTATGACAGTGACAGTGATGAGAACCCATATACCTCACAAGGGGACTCACCCATCTGCCCAGGTGAGATATTGTATGGCAGTATGACAGTGACAGTACTAGTGATGATAACACATATACCTCACAAGGAGACTCACCCATCTGTACAAGTGAGATACAGTATGGCAGTATGACAGTGACAGTGATGAGAACCCATATACCTCACAAGGAGACTCACCCATCTGTCCAGGTGAGATACGGTATGGCAGTATGACAGTGATGAGAACCCATATACCTCACAAGGAGACTCACCCGTCTGTCCAGGTGAGATACAGTATGGCAGTATGACAGTGACAGTGATGAGAACCCATATACCTCACAAGGGGACTCACCCATCTGTCCAGGTGAGATACAGTATGGCAGTATGACAGTGACAGTGAGAAGAACCCATGTACCTTTCAAGGGGACTCACCCATCTGCCCAGGTTTGATATACTCTGACAATGAGAAGAACCCATATACCTTACAAGGGGACTCACCCATCTGCCCAGCTGTCACTCGCAATACGCCGGTACTTGTTCTGCATATTATGATTTCGGTAATAATAGTTTAATTTCTTCGTTGTCGTAAAACGATTATTGATACTTTCAATTCGGAGTTTAGATGGTTTCAAGCGAACATGTGATAATATAGGAGTACAAAAAGAAATATCATTAAATCGAATTCTTGATATATAATATACTATGTAAACAAAGAAGGGCATACACTACTACACAACTACAGGCATGTACACCAATGTTTGGCAATGAAAGTAAGTAATGTATGTGGCAAGCTGCGAAACACGACATTGTGACAGTCTTGAAGCATGTAACACTGACAGCACGTGCAAGGGGTGGTATGCCAGATTTAACATTGTCCTGATCACTCCGACCGCCACTCAGAGTAGGATCGGTTGCAAAGTTTCATCTTTCAAGATGACAATACAAGTGCTCATCGTGCTAGGATTGTGACCTAATTCCTCCAACAGCACAACACCCACCACATGGCCAGCACCCATTCTTGACCATTCCCTTACTTAACAAATATTGGACATCATTGGCAGACGTGTACGTCAACGTCAAAATCAACCCACCGCTCTCAATAAACTAGGTGTTGCTATCACTGATGAACGGAACAACTGGAGTAAAGCTGACATTGGTCGACTCATCAGAAGCATACCTCGAAATATTCGTGCATGTCTGGCAAATAGAGGTGGTTAAACCGATATCAGTAAGCGTACGTAGGCTGCAAAATGCAAATTGCGAATTTGACAGCCAACCTCTTTGACCCCATAGTGCGCCACAATCTCAACACACCAACCATGAGAACCCATAAGATCTCATGGCCTGGCCCCCAGCAAAGTATGTACATAGAGATTACTACACGAGTGTCTGTCAGATACCATTGATCTTACAACGAGTTGTTTCAAAACGTATCTAACGAGCGAAAGCGAGTTAGATACGATTTGTAACAACGAGTTGTAAGATCAATGGTATCTGATAGGCACGAGTGCAGTAATCTGTTTCTTACACACTCTAAAATCGCACCTTTTTAGCATCGAACCGTTGAATTTTGTCTATTCTCATGATTGTAGTAGCGCATTAATACATAACACCACTGTCATAAGTGACGTCATCCTATGTGCTGCTTACTTCTCATAAATAATGTGACCCTACACAAAAAGGTTTCCGTCTTATCGGTGGAATATCAAGGCGATGATGAAAATGCAAACTAGACAAAAACAAAGAACACGTTGGGTGCCAAGTTGAAAATTGACACCTCAAAGAAATTTCCAAATATGTACAACAGTGTTTACTTCCGTATGACATCACTACCGGTGACCGACGTTCACAATATGGCGTGTGCCATAGTTAGTGCAACGATACTCTTCCCATGAATATTCTCAAACGCGTGATCGAGCCAATGTATGCACCAATTAGACGAAGGTACCTCTACAAATGCTACAGTGTAAAATCTGAATTTTGCTTTGTTTACATTTACAAGTACAGTTTTCCGAGCACAGTTTTCGTTTCGATACCTAATTTATTTCGTATGATTTCATCTAGATAATTTGCATTGGTGACAAAGACCATTTATGCATTGTTTCGAAAATGTATGAGGAATTCAGGGGTGCATGTATAGCAGCTGAGTTTGAAATATACCTGATCGAATAGGCGTCTCATAATTTTGTAAACACAATCCAATCCAATATGGCAGAACGTACACTTCGGCGTTCGTGTATGCGTATTTTCCAAAACATTCTAAACGATTCTGGGCTTATCAGCGACGTTTCAGAATTATCAGTAGTGATTTGATACCCGTGATCGCTAATATGCTAGTTTTCTACTTTAATTATTCGAGTAAATATCCGATATTTAGATTCCTAAACACACAATATATATTTATATAACGCCGTGAATTGTGATTTGTCGAGGTTTACAATGTATCTAATTTTCAGAAGTCACTTTCAGTAATTTTGAATTGCCTAAAATGACAGTAAATGATAAACAGAAGGGGGAATTCAAAACTGTGCACATGAAGTGTATTAGTCTGCGTGATGTATTTTGAATTTTATTCGATTTCGAAGTGAGGGTTGAAGAGGAGGGACATATGTGTCGCTGTGGTATCCAGGGGGGTTACACTCTGAAAAAACCCGATAATGTTGACATAACAACAGATAATGTAACTGATAATAATACCAAACAAACTCGCAGACGAGGACGAGTTTGTTTATTTTTAAAATCAATTACACGGTCCTGTGGTTCAATACAGACGTAGGTGAAAATTCGACTGAAGCACGAGCAACTTATGAATGACTTACACTCAGGAAAGTAGTCCGTCATCATCTGACCTCAGGTCATCACCATGGAGTAGCCAATCACGGGCCTGGAATTCGATCTCACACATATGTTTGATACCAGTTATCTCAAATGGGTTTCTCACCCACAGGTGTGTAAGAAAAATATATAAATAAATGATCTTTAGGAGATCAGGAGGCGACTAACGGGGTCGGGTTGTCAGGTTCGCTGACTTTGTTGATGCATGTCATCGTATCCCAATTGTGTAGATCGATGCTCATGATATCAACCACTGGATTGTCTGGTCCAGACTCGATTTTTTACAGACCGTCGTCATATAGCTGGAGTATTGCTGAGTGCGGCGTTAAACAACAAACCAACCAACCTATCTGATATTTTGTATATTTCGCATATATTTCGGAAAACACAAATTAGGCCTTGTAAAAAGGTATGTATGTGTAAGGGGTATCCAATATCGCTTGTATGTCGGCTTATTGCAATACGGACGTAAGCAAAACACGCATCGCAATAAAAACCCTCGTATATCGATGTGTGTGTGCTTAATTCCAATATGTATTGTCTTTACTCATGGATTCTAATCACTGTCATGTGTGAAGAGGACTGACTTGTCATATTTGGCTACTGTCACGTATGAAGTGGACTGACTTGTCATATTTGGCTACTGTCATGTTGAAGAGGACTGACTTGCCATATCTATTTACTGTGACGTGTGAAGATGACTGACTTGCCATACTAAGTAACTGCTACGTGTGAAACGAACTGACTTGTCATATTTAGTTACTGTCACGTATGAAGTGGACTGACTTGTCATATTTATTTTCTGTCATTTGTGAAGAGGACTGACATGCCATATCTATTTACTGTCACGTGTGAAGAGGATTGACTATTCACATTTAGTTACTGTTACATATGAAGAGGGCTAACTTGTAATTGCTGTCACGTGTAACAGGGACTGACTTGACATATTTATTTACTGTCACGTGTAGAGAGGACTGACTTACCATGTCTAGTTACCGTCACGCGTGGAGAGGACTGACTTGTCATATTTACTTACTGTCACGTGTTAAGGGGACTGAGCTACCATGTCTAGTTACTGTCAGTCACGTGTGAAGAGGACTGAGCTACCATGTCTAGTTACTGTCAGTCACGTGTGAAGAGGACTGAGTTACCATGTCTAGTTACTGTCAGTCACGTGTGAAGAGGACTGAGTTACCATGTCTAGTTACTGTCAGTCAAGTGTGAAGAGGACTGAGTTACCATGTCTAGTTACTGTTTCGTGTGAAGAGGACTGACTTACCATGTCTAGTTACTGTTATATTTGAAGAGGATTGACCTGCTACATTTAATTTCCTTTGAATTCCTGAGAATGGTCAACGTCAGGTAACAATGTCAAGAGGAGTGTAAATATCCTATTCATTTGTGCATGTTTATTCATGTTTCAGTTGTTGACTGTGGACCTGTGGAAGACATCGCTGGATTTCAGAAACCAGACCTTGCTACGATAGGGTCAACGTTCGGGAAATCCTTTGCGTTCAGCTGCAGTACAGGGGCGACAGCATCAGGAGTATCGACTGACAATACCAACACTGTGAGGTGTCTGCAGAATGGTCGGTGGGGCTTTGGTAATCTCACCTGCATAGGTACGTGTTGCCCGTTAAGCGTTGGTTACTGCAGCTGGTTGCGGAGACCAAATCTGATCTAAATGTAAATATAAACAGTTCAAAATGATTAAAACGTTACACATGTTCACGATTGGTTGTTTACACCTAACGCGATGATGTCACAAGATGAAACTAGATGGGTGATAGACTATCTTCACTTCAGGACAACAAGCACATGTCCCAATGCTACAGGACTGTTGTGGCTAATCTGTTTTTGTTTGGATGTATACTAAGACATGTACAGGTATAAACACGTATGTTTATCATTGAATTTACCCTACCTTAGCATTTATAGTTGATTTATAATCAAGTGTGAGTTGTTAGTGTTGTGTGTTGTGTGGTTTGTGTGTTGTGTGTGTCAGTGAGTGATGTTAACGCCACGTCTAGCAATATTCCAGCCATATACCGCCAGTAATAACCACATCAACTTTATATATAAATCTTTGTTTATTCATCAGCTGCAAAGTGCCCGGATCCAGGCACCCCCGGGGGATCGGAGCAGATGTTTGACAGCTACGAGCAGGGGAAGGTTCTGGCTTACAGATGCACAAGACCTGGATTCACACCTGTTCCTGCTGACAACCGCACATGTGTCTACTCAGCCCCCACCAGCTCGGCATCCTGGACTGGAAGTGTTCCTGTTTGTGAAGGTAATCACTGGGTGGAAGTGTTCCTGTATGTGAAGGTAATCACTGTGTGGAAGTGTCCCTGTATGTGAAGGTAATCACTGGGTGGAAGTGTTCCTGTATGTGAAGGTAATCACTGGGTGGAAGGGTTCCTGTATGTGAAGGTAACCACTGGGTGGAAGTGTATGTGAAGGTAATCACTGGGTGGGAGTGTTCCTGTATGTGAAGGTAATCATTGGATGGAAGTGTTCCTGTATGTGAAGGTAATCACTGGATGGAAGTGTTCCTGTATGTGAAGGTAAACACTGGGTGGAAGTGTTCCTGTGTGTGAAGGTTATCACTTGGTGGAAGTGTTCCTGTATGTGAAGGTAATCACTGGATGGAAGTGTTCCTGCATGGGAAGGTAATCACTGGGTGGAGGTGTTCCCGTATGTGATGGTAATCACTGGGAGGAAGTGTTCCTGTATGTGAAGGTAATCACTGGGTGGGAGTGTTCCTGTATGTGAAGGTAATCATTGGATGGAAGTGTTCCTGTATGTGAAGGTAATCACTGGATGGAAGTGTTCCTGTATGTGAAGGTAATCACTGGATGGAAGTGATCCTGTATGTGAAGGTAATCACTGGGTGGAAGTGTTCCCGTATGTGAAGGTAATCACTGGTTAAAAGTGATCCTGTTTGTGAAGGTAATCACTGGGTGGAAGTGTTCCTGCATGTGAAGGTAATCACTGGTTGGAAGTGTTCCTGTATGTGAAGGTAATCACTGGGTGGAAGTGTCCCCTTATGTGAAGGTATTCACGGGTCGGAAGTGTTCCCGTATGTGAAGGTAATCACTGGATGGAGTTGTTCCTGTTTGTGAAGGTAATCACTGGGTGGAAGTGTTCCTGTATGTGAAGGTAATCACCGGGTGGAAGTGTTCCTGTATGTGAAGGTAATCACTGGGTGGAAGTGTTCTGTATGTGAAGGTACTCACGTGGTGGAGTGTTCCTGTGTGTGAAGTCACTAAGTGGAAGTTCCTTAGTACGACAAATTCCAAAGCTTTTTTTCTCACAATTAAGACATTTGTATCAGGAACTTGCACATACGTTAAAACAATTCAAGACACTCAACAACGTATTCTTCAGCAATCCCTAAATTTACTTCAGCACCCATTCGGCACCTCTTTATAACCACCTTCATGTACACGTATTTTGTCATTTGTTTAATGATAACATCTATTCGCCACACGTTCAGTGACATCCTTGGAATAACAATACATCCACAAAGGGTGCCAAGTTCCTGCATATATTCAACAGTGATTTTCGAAATATGTGTTGTGTTTCACCACCTTTGACAGTATTGAGCATCCTCTGAGTATGTTTTCAAGATCCGACGCTCACATGTTGTTCTCTTCACAAAAATCCATGAAGGTTTAAAAATCTTGGACTTAGAAAAAATGAAAGTAACTTCGTCTTAATTACATTTACACACTTCGATCAATAAGGTATTTTTCATTACTGTATATTTCCATACAGAGTGTGAGTGAGTTAAGATTCAACCTTTCATCGGCAATATGCTTTCAGCCATATCAGCTATTTCCTGACGTATATTGAATTACTGCATATTGTTATACAGACACACACTTCAGGTCCTTGTGTATATTGAATAACGGCATATTGCTATACATACACACGTGATGTCCTATTGCATATTGAATTGCTGTTTATTGTTATACAGATACACACTTCAATTCCTAGTGTATATTGAATTGCTATATTTTGTTATGCAGATACAAGTCCCCCGGTGTTTACCAACTGTGACGGTGACAGGAACATTACCATATACAAGATGCAGGCACCAAGCATCACAATCCCCTCAGTTCAAGACAACTCAGGCTTTCTGAGCATGAAAGGTTTCACCAACCCCACCGGGTTCAATCCTGCAGACCCAGTGTGGAAGAACACGGATGTCACATATCAAGCTACCGATGGTGCTGGCAGGAGTTCCCAGTGCCAGTTCAAGATCAGTGTCAGAGGTAGAATATCTGTACTTATATCTTCTTATGTGCTCGCATTTAATAATACCGGTCTCAAGCATTGGAGGTACACATATACAGTTACCATTAGCATTGTCTCAAGCATTAGAGATACACATATACAGTAACCGTTAGCATTGTCTCAAGCATTGGAGATACACATATACAGTAACGGTTAGCATTGTCTCAAGCATTGGAGATACACATATACAGTAACCGTTAGCATTGTCTCAAGCATAAGAGATACACATATACAGAAATCGTTAGCATTGTCTCAAGCATTGGAGATACACATATACAGTCACGGTTAGCATTGTCTCAAGCATTGGAGATACACATATACAGTAACCGTTAGCATTGTCTCAAGCATTGGAGATACACATATACAGTAACGGTTAGCATTGTCTCAAGCATTGGAGATACACATATACAGTAACCGTTAGCATTGTCTCAAGCATTCGAGATACACATATACAGAAACCGTTAGCATTGTCACAAGCATTCGAGATACACATATCCAGAAACCGTTAGCATTGTCTCAAGCATTGGAGATACACATATACAGAAACCGTTAGCATTGTATCAAGCATTAGAGATACACATATACAGTAACCGTTAGCATTGTCTCAAGCATTGGAGATACACATATACAGAAACCGTTAGCATTGTCTCAAGCATTAGAGATACACATATACAGAATCCGTTAGCATTGTCTCATCATTGGAGATACACATATACATAAACCGTTAGCATTGTCTCAAGCATTAGAGATACACATATACAGTAACCGTTAGCATTGTCTCAAGCATTAGAGATACACATATACAGAAATCGTTAGCATTGTCTCAAGCATTGGAGATACACATATACAGTAACCGTTAGCATTGTCTCAAACATTAGAGATACACATATACAGTAACCGTTAGCATTGTCTCAAGCATTAGAGATACACATATACAGAAACCGTTAGCATTGTCTCAAGCATTCGAGATACACATATACAGAAACCGTTAGCATTGTCTCAAGCATTAGAGATACACATATACAGAAACCGTTAGCATTGTCTCAAGCATTGGAGATACACATATACAGAAACCGTTAGCATTGTCTCAAGCATTAGAGATACACATATACAGTAACCGTTAGCATTGTCTCAAGCATTGGAGATACACATATACAGAAACCGTTAGCATTGTCTCAAGCATTGGAGATACACATATACAGTAACCGTTAGCATTGTCTCAAGCATTAGAGATACACATATACAGAAACCGTTCGCATTGTCACAAGCATTCGAGATACACATATACAGAAACCGTTAGCATTGTCTCAAGCATTAGAGATACACATATACAGAAACCGTTAGCATTGTCTCAAGCATTGGAGATACACATATACAGAAACCGTTAGCATTGTCTCAAGCATTGGAGATACACATATACAGAAACCGTTAGCATTGTCTCAAGCATTAGAGATACACATATACAGAAACCGTTAGCATTGTCTCAAGCATTAGAGATACACATATACAGAAACTGTTAGCATTGTCTCAAGCATTAAAGAGTTGCACATCTACAGTAACGGTTAGCATTGTCTCAAACTTTAGTGATGCACAGCTACAGTAACGGTTAGCATTGTCTCAAACTTAAGGGATACACAGCTACAGTAACGGTTAGCATTGTCTCAAACTTTAGTGATGCATAACTACAGTAACGGTTAGCATTGTCTCAACCATTAGTGATGCATATATACAGTAACGGTTAGCATTGTCTCAAACATTAGTGATGCATAACTACAGTAACGGTTAGCATTGTCTCAAACTTTAGTGATACACATCTACAGTAACGGTTAGCATTGTCTCAAACTTTAGTGATGCGCATCTACAGTAACGGTTAGCATTGTCTCAAACTTTAGTGATGCATAACTACAGTAACGGTTAGCATTGTCTCAAGCATTGGAGATACACATATACATAAACCGTTAGCATTGTCTCAAGCATTAGAGATACACATATACAGTAACCGTTAGCATTGTCTCAAGCATTAGAGATACACATATACAGTAACCGTTAGCATTGTCTCAAGCAGTGGAGATACACATATACAGAAATCGTTAGCATTGTCTCAAGCATTGGAGATACACATATACAGTAACCGTTAGCATTGTCTCAAACATTAGAGATACACATATACAGTAACCGTTAGCATTGTCTCAAGCATTAGAGATACACATATACAGAAACCGTTAGCATTGTCTCAAGCATTGGAGATACACATATACAGAAACCGTTAGCATTGTCTCAAGCATTAGAGATACACATATACAGAAACCGTTAGCATTGTCTCAAGCATTGGAGATACACATATACAGAAACCGTTAGCATTGTCTCAAGCATTAGAGATACACATATACAGTAACCGTTAGCATTGTCTCAAGCATTAGAGATACACATATACAGAAACTGTTAGCATTGTCTCAAGCATTGGAGATACACATATACAGTAACCGTTAGCATTGTCTCAAGCATTGGAGATACACATATACAGAAACCGTTAGCATTGTCTCAAGCATTGGAGATACACATATACAGTAACCGTTAGCATTGTCTCAAGCATTAGAGATACACATATACAGAAACCGTTCGCATTGTCACAAGCATTGGAGATACACATATACAGAAACCGTTAGCATTGTCTCAAGCATTAGAGATACACATATACAGAAACCGTTAGCATTGTCTCAAGCATTGGAGATACACATATACAGAAACCGTTAGCATTGTCTCAAGCATTGGAGATACACATATACAGAAACCGTTAGCATTGTCTCAAGCATTAGAGATACACATATACAGTAACCGTTAGCATTGTCTCAAGCATTAGAGATACACATATACAGAAACTGTTAGCATTGTCTCAAGCATTAAAGAGTTGCACATCTACAGTAACGGTTAGCATTGTCTCAAACTTTAGTGATGCACAGCTACAGTAACGGTTAGCATTGTCTCAAACTTAAGGGATACACAGCTACAGTAACGGTTAGCATTGTCTCAAACTTTAGTGATGCATAACTACAGTAACGGTTAGCATTGTCTCAACCATTAGTGATGCATATATACAGTAACGGTTAGCATTGTCTCAAACATTAGTGATGCATAACTACAGTAACGGTTAGCATTGTCTCAAACTTAAGTGATACACATCTACAGTAACGGTTAGCATTGTCTCAAACTTTAGTGATGCGCATCTACAGTAACGGTTAGCATTGTCTCAAACTTTAGTGATGCATAACTACAGTAACGGTTAGCATTGTCTCAAGCATTGGAGATACACATCTCCCGCTTTGATATTGATGGAATATTGCTAAAAGCTTCGTAAAACGATACTCACTCACTCATTAGTTAATATATATAGCAACATTACACGTGTGTTATCTCATATATTAGTATGTATTGCAACATTACATGTGTGTTATCTCATATATCAGTATGCATTGCAACATTACACGTGTTATCTCATATATCAGTATGTAGAGCAACATTAAACGTGTATTATCTCATATATCAGTATGTAGAGCAACATTAAACGTGTGTTATCTCACACATCAGTATGTATAGCAACGTTAAACGTGTGTTATCCCATATATCAGTATGTATAGCAACATTAAACATGTGTTATCTCACACATCAGTATGTATAGCAACGTTAAACGTGTGTTTTCTCATACATCAATATGTATAGCAACGTTAAACGTGTGTTTTCTCATACATCAGTATGTAAAGCAACATTAAACGTGTGTTATCCCACACATCAGTATGTATAGCAACGTTAAACGTGTGTTATCTCACACATCAGTATGTATAGCAACGTTAAACGTGTGTTATCTCACACATCAGTATGTATAGCAACGTTAAACGTGTGTTATCTCACACATCAGTATGTATAGCAACGTTAAACGTGTTATCTCATACATCAGTATGTATAGCAATATTAAACGTGTGTTATCTCATATATCAGTATGTGTGGCAACATTAAACATGTGTTATCTCACACATCAGTATGTATAGCAACGTTAAAGGTATGTTATCTCATACATCAGTATGTATTGCAACATTACACGTGTGTTATCTCATACATCAGTATGTATAGCAGCATTAAACGTGTATTATCTCATATATCAGTATGTATAGCAACATTAAACGTGTGTTATCCCATACATCAGTATGTATAGCAACGTTAAACGTGTGTTATCTCATATATCAGTGTGTATAGCAACATTACACGTGTGTTATCTCATATATCAGTATGTATAGCAACATTAAACGTGTGTTATCCAATACATTAGTATGCAGAGCAACATTACACGTGTGTTATCTCATACATCATTATGTATAGCAACATTAAACATGTGTTATCTCACACATCAGTATGTATACCAACGTTAAACGTGTGTTATCTCATACATCAGTATGTATAGCAACATTAAACGTATGTTATCTCATACACCAGTATATATAGCAATATTAAACGTGTGTTATCTCATATATCAGTATGTATAGCAACATTAAACATGTGTTATCTCACACATCAGTATGTATAGCAACATTAAACGTATGTTATCTCATACATCAGTATGTATAGCAACATTAAACGTGTGTTATCTCACACATCAGTATGTATAGCAACGTTAAACGTGTGTTATCTCATACATCAGTATGTATAGCAACATTACACGTGTGTTATCTCACACATCAGTATGTATAGCAACGTTAAACGTGTGTTATCTCACACATCAGTATGTATAGCAACGTTAAACGTGTGTTATCTCATACATCAGTATGTATAGCAACATTAAACGTGTGTTATCTCATACATCAGTATGTATAGCAACATTAAACGTGTGTTATCTCACACATCAGTATGTATAGCAACGTTAAACGTGTGTTATCTCATACATCAGTATGTATAGCAACATTAAACATGTGTTATCTCACACATCAGTATGTATAGCAACGTTAAACGTGTGTTATCTCATACACCAGTATGTATAGCAACATTAAACGTGTGTTATCTCACACATCAGTATGTATAGCAACATTAAACGTGTGTTATCTCACACATCAGTATGTATAGCAACGTTAAACGTGTGTTATCCCACACATCAGTATGTATAGCAACGTTAAACGTGTGTTATCTCACACATCAGTATGTATAGCAATGTTAAACGTGTGTTATCTCACACATCAGTATGTATAGCAACGTTAAACGTGTGTTATCTCACACATCAGTATGTATAGCAACGTTAAACGTGTGTTATCTCATATATCAGTGTGTATAGCAATATTAAACGTGTGTTATCTCATATATCAGTATGTGTGGCAACATTAAACATGTGTTATCTCACACATCAGTATGTATAGCAACGTTAAACGTGTGTTATCTCATACATTGTTATGTATTGCAACATTAAACGTGTGTTATCTCATACATCAGTATGTATAGCAAGATTAAACGTGTATTATCTCATATATCTGTATGTATAGCAACATTACACGTGTGTTATCTCATACATCAGTATGTATAGCAACGTTAAACGTGTGTTATCTCATATATCAGTATGTATAGCAACATTAAACGTGTGTTATCCCATACATCAGTATGTATAGCAACGTTTAACGTGTGTTATCTCATATATCAGTGTGTATAGCAACATTACACGTGTGTTATCTCATATATCAGTATGTATAGCAACATTAAACGTGTGTTATCTCACACATCAGTATGTATAGCAACGTTAAACGTGTGTTATCTCATACATTAGTATGTATAGCAACATTAAACGTGTGTTATCTCATACATCAGTATGTATAGCAACATTAAACGTGTATTATCTCATATATCAGTATGTATAGCAACATTAAACGTGTGTTATCCCATACATCAGTATGTATAGCAACGTTAAACGTGTGTTATCTCATATATCAGTATGTATAGCAACATTACACGTGTGTTATCTCATATATCAGTATGTATAGCAACATTAAACGTGTGTTATCTCATACATCAGTATGTATAGCAACGTTAAACGTGTATTATTTCATACATCAGTATGTATAGCAACATTAAACGTGTATTATCTCACATATCGGTATGTATGGCAACGTTAAACATGTGTCATCCCATACATTAGTATGTAGAGCAACATTACACTTGTGTTATCTCATATATCAGTATGTATAGCAACATTAAACGTGTGTTAACCCATATATTAGTATGTAGAGCAACATTACACGTGTGTTATCTCATATATCAGTATGTATAGCAACAACATTGAACATGTGTTATCTCACACATCAGTATGTATAGCAACGTTAAACGTGTGTTATCTCATACATCAGTATGTATAGCAACATTAAACGTGTGTTATCTCACACATCAGTATGTATAGCAACATTAAACGTGTGTTATCTCACACATCAGTATGTATAGCAACATTAAACGTGTGTTATTTCATACATCGGTATGTATAGTAACATTAAAAATGTGTTATCTCATACATTTCTAAGTATGGCAACATTAAACATGTGTTACTTTATACATTAGAATGTATAGCAACATTACACGTGTGTTATCTCATATATCAGTATGTATAGCAACATTAAACGTTTGTAATCTCATACATCAGTATGTATAGCAACATTAAACGTGTGTTATCTCATATATCAGTATGTATAGCAACACTAAACATGTATTATCTCATACATCGGTATGTATAGCAACATTAAACGTGTGTTATCTGTTACATCAGTATGTATAGCAACATTAAACGTGTGTTATCTGATACATCGGTATGTATGGCAAGATTAAACGTGTGTTATTTCATACATCGGTATGTATAGTAACATTAAAAATGTGTTATCTCATACATTTCTATGTATGGCAACATTACACATGTGTTACCTCATACACCAGCATGTATAGCAACCTTAAATGTGTGTTACCTCATACACTAGCATGTATAGCAACATTAAATGTGTGTTATTTATTCCATTAGCACGTATAACAACATTGTCAGTTTGTATTTTTTCCCTTTTAAGAAAGAGTTTAGGGAGTCAGCCTAAATTGTCCAGACCTAGAAATCAGTGTTATATCAACGACATCTACCACTCACAAGTTCACCGACTACATCAGACACACTCCCGGAACATTTTTTACATTTGATAGCTTTCTAAATGACATTGTATGTTCCTAATCACTAAATGTGTTCTTTCTTACACTAATATGTAAGACGAAGGTAGATGTAAGTTATTTTTTCATAAACTAGTTATGAAAGTTGAAAGATTAATTAAAATGTCTTATGACTTATCAGAAAGAGGTTCCACCACTCTGGACTGTCCTAATGTGACATACAAAGTGACATCAACGACATCTACTACTTACAACATCACCGGCAGCATCAACCACTCTGGCGGAACACTGATCCCCGTCCCTGCAATCACCGCCAGTTTGTCCAATGTGGGGACATTCCATGATTACAGAGTGACGCTACGAACCGACCAGGGATTTGAAGAAACATGTGCCTTCCAAGTTCTAATCAAAGGTAAACTCCCATCATGTTCTTTCATAGATGAACCTAAACTTATAATGTACTCAGATGAATGCATTTTAAAGTTGCAAACCGTATTAATTTTTTTATTCCAATGCATCTATGAATTACGCTTAGCACCTACCACGCCTCTTCACGGAGAATGAATTGTTGTTTAACCTGGGAATACAACCTGAAATTATTGAGTGAAGAATGGTGTGTTGTGTCATTCACTGAAACTGATGTATTTGATGTCAGCCCACAGCTCTGTGAGGGACGTTGATACACTTATCTTTAACAAATATGATCGTTGTTGCTATAACTGACAATTTACGGTGAAATATGACTTTAGAATTGTAGCCTAGAGTGACAACACTTTATCGCCTTGAGTTTCAGCCGCGAGAACGCGATAGAGTGATAACACAAGACGATAAAGCGATAACACGAGACGAGAAAACAAAAGCACAAGACGAGAGAGCGATAGGGCGAGAAAGCGATTGAGAGAATAGGCCGAGAAAACGATAGATCGAGCAAAGGAACAATAAAGCGAGAAAACGATAGATCAAGGCAAGGAGCAATAGAGCGAAAAAATGATAGATCGAGGCAAGGAGCAATAGAGCGAGAAAGCGATAGAGATAGGGAGAGACTGAGAAAACGATAGATCGAGGCGAGAAGCAATAAAGTGAGAAAGCGATAGAGATAGGGAGCGACTGAGAAAACGATAGATCGAGGCGAGAAGCAATAAAGTGAGAAAGCGATAGAGATAGGGAGAGACTGAGAAAACGATAGATCGAGGCGAGGAGCAATAGAGCGAGAAAGCTATAGAGATGGGGAGAGACTGAGAAAGCGATAGATCGAGGTGAGAAGCAATAAAGTGAGAAAGCTATAGAGATAGGGAGAGACTGAGAAAACGATAGAACGAGCCGAGAAGCAATAAAGTGAGAAAGCGATAGAGATAGGGAGAGACTGAGAAAACGATAGATCGAGGCGAGAAGCAATAAAGTGAGAAAGCTATAGAGATAGGGAGAGACTGAGAAAACGATAGATCGAGGCGAGAAGCAATAAAGTGAGAAAGCTATAAAGATAGGGAGGGACTGAGAAAACGATAGATCGAGGCGAGAAGCAATAAAGTGAGAAAGCGATAGAGATAGGGAGAGACTGAGAAAACGATAGATCGAGGCGAGAAGCAATAAAGTGAGAAAGCGATAGAGATAGGGAGAGACCGAGAAAACGATAGATCGAGGCGAGAAGCAATAAAGTGAGAAAGCGATAGAGATAGGGAGAGACAGAGAAAGCGATAGATCGAGGCGAGAAGCAATAAAGTGAGAAAGCGATAGAGATAGGGAGAGACCGAGAAAGTGATAGAACGAGGCGAGAAGCAATAAAGAGATAAAGCGAGAATGTCAATAGAGCGACAACTTTATAAAGCGAGAAATCAATAGAGCGAGAAGAGGATATAAGAAGAAAGCCATATTTCCCATAATACGAGGAGGCGATAGAGCAAAAGAACGAGATAGCGGTAGAGTGAGAAGACGATAGAGCGACCAAGCGATATATCCAAAAATGCCATCCGTTAAAAAGGGTTTTGCTGATTTTTTGGGAGCAATTCCCATAATTTCAAACGCTCCTTTCCCTTTTATTCTGAGAAAATTTCAACGTGATGTATTGAATAAATTTGTCAGATATGGATACAGGATGCCGTCTCGTTTGCATACACGCATGACTGTGCTGTACTGCAGTAAAATAGCAAGATTCACTTCACAACAACGGAAAAGAATCGTACTTTTCTACTTCATTTCACAAAGTCTCAACTGCAAGTCCGCCGATTATTGCGACTTTTTGCCAAACTGATTGGCTCTTTTATTTGCATTACTAGTTTTATGGCCCCGCGCGTCGACAAAAGCGTTGTATAGGTTGACAAGTTACATTCTACCAGTCCAAACCATTTTGGAAAGCCGGGATCCATGGCAGCACATTACTTAGTGTTCAGTCACTTGCAGCCACTGCCAAGTGAGACCAACATATTGACACGTTTCTCCTGCCACTAAAACTGCTTACCCATAACATGCAACCAATAAAGAGAAACGATATCCGATGAAATGTCCTGACTAGGCTTCCTCTTTCAGCTGGAAAATGTTTCAATGAACTCACGAACACTCCACAGAACGCCGACATTACTCGCTCCAACAACAGCGACAGCAGCATCCTCTCCTCCGTCGTCACCTGCAACAGTGGATATGCGTTTGCTGACGGCTCCACAAGTCGGACATACAACTGTTCGGGGGAAAATGTCTGGTCACCATCCCTCCCCCTAGAGGACTGTTTACGTAGGTGGAACTGCCATCATTGATACTCCTGTCAAACCCTTAACGAGGCCAGTGTAATCGTGATGATAAAGGTTTCAGTTGGATACATGTCAATTTTATTTGTGCTTTTCTGTAAATAAAGATTCAAATAAAGATTCAAAGTTCTGGATGGGTTTGACTAGGCAGCGATTCCTGGGAGATGTCCCATTCGCTATCTGGGCTGCGTGTAGAGGGGGCAAGGGTCCTAAGCTGATGATGAGCCTAACTAGCTTGACTGTGCCAGGATCACCCAAACCCTCTTCGCTGCATTTTGTAAATTTTAATCTATACATAATATAAATAATTAAAACAACAACAACACATTATGTACGCATTACTTTTTCAGCTTCCACATCTACTGAGTACACATACAAAGTCAGCCTAGATCTGAATTCCAAGGACCAGCTGCCCGCCAACAGCGCATGCCGTGACAACCTAAGACAGTTTTATAACGATGTGATATCCCCTGCATCAGCCGACATCAACAGGCAGTGTCAGATTCAGGGACAGCTAGGCGCGTTTTACCGCTTCACTGTCGCCGAGGCCATCTTTGTTGGTGCTGTCAGTCTCTTTGATGTATGTGAACATGTCTACAGGGTTTTTTTCTGTGTGCAAGTATTATATTATCATTTAGTAACTATCACAGTGTACAATATAAAGATACATGTTCAGTGCACTGATGCAATGACGGTGTACAATGTGAAGTTACATAATACGATGTTAAGTAAATGTTCAGTACACTGATACTATCGCGATGTACAATGTAAAGTATATGTTCAGTACACTGATGCTATCACAGTGTCCTATACATGTTCAGTACACTGTTCAGTGCACAGTGTATAATGTGAAGTTACATGTTACTATGGGAAGTACATGTTAAGTACACTGATGCTACCACAGTGTACAATGTGAAGTTACATGATACAATGTAAAGTACATGTTCAGTACGCTGATGCTATCGCGATGTATAATGTAAAGTATATGTTCAATACAATGATGCTATCACAGTGTACAATGTGAAGTTACATGATACAATGTAAAGTACATGTTCATTACACTGATGCTATAACGGTGTACAATGTTAAGTACATGTTCAGTACACTGATGCTATCTCGATGTACAATGTAAAGTACATGTTCAGTACACTGATGCTATCGCGATGTATAATGTAAAGTATATGTTCAATACAATGATGCTATCACAGTGTACAATGTGAAGTTACATGATACAATGTAAAGTACATGTTCATTACACTGATGCTATCTCGATATACAATGTAAAGTACATGTTCAGTACACTGATGCTATCACATTTTACAATGTAAAGTATATATTCAATACACTGATGCTATCACAGTGTACAATGTGAAGTTACATGATACAATGTAAAGTACATGTTCAGTTCACTGATGCTATAACGGTGTACAATGTAAAGTACATGTTCAGTACACTGATGCTATCTCGATGTACAATGTAAAGTACATGTTCAGTACACTGATGCTATCTCGATATACAATGTAAAGTACATGTTCAGTACACTGATGCTATCACATTTTACAATTTAAAGTATATATTCAATACACTGATGCTATCACAGTGTACTATGTGAAGTTACATGATACAACGTAAAGTACATGTTCAGTTCACTGATGCTATAACGGTGTACAATGTGAAGTACATTTTCAGTACACTGATGCTATCACGGTGTACAATGTGAACATACATTTTCAGTACACTGATGCTATGACGGTGTACAATGTGAAGTACATGTTCAGTACACTGATGCTATCACGGTGTACAATGTGAAGATACATGTTCTGCACACTGATGCTATCACAGTGTACAATGTGAAGTTACATGATACAATGTAAAGTACATGTTCAGTACACTGATGCTATCTCGATGTACAATGTAAAGTACATGTTCAGTACACTGATGCTATCACATTTTACAATGTACAGTATATATTCAATACACTGATGCTATCACAGTGTACAATGTGAAGTACATTTTCAGTACACTGATGCTATCACGGTGTACAATGTAAAGTATATAATTATTCAATACACTGATGCTATCACAGTGTACAATGTAAAGTACGTGTTCAGTACGCTGATGCTATAACGGTGTACAATGTGAAGTACATGTTCAGGACACTGATGCTATCACGGTGTACAATGTTAAGTACATGTTCAGGACACTGATGCTATAACGGTGTACAATGTGAAGTACATGTTCAGTACACTGATGCTATAACGGTGTACAATGTAAAGTACGTGTTCAGTACGCTGATGCTATAACGGTGTACAATGTGAAGTACCTGTTCAGGACACTGATGCTATAACGGTGTACAATGTGAAGTACATGTTCAGTACACTGATGCTATCACGGTGTACAATGTGAAGTACATTTTCAGTACACCTATGCTATCACGGTGTATAATGTGAACATACATTTTCAGTACACTGATGCTATCACGGTGTAGAAGTATGTGTTCACTTTAATTATGCTATGACAGTGTACAATGTGAAGCACATGTTGAGTACACTGATGCTATCACGGTGTATAATGTGAACATACATTTTCAGTATACTGATGCTATCACGGTGTATAATGTGAACATACATTTTCAGTATACTGATGCTATCACGGTGTATAATGTGAACATACATTTTCAGTATACTGATGCTATCACGGTGTATAATGTGAACATACATTTTCAGTATACTGATGCTATCACGGTGTATAATGTGAAGTACATTTTCAGTACACTGATGCTATCTTGGTGTACAATGTGAACATACATTTTCAGTACACTGATGCTATCACGGTGTAGAAGTATGTGTTCACTTTAATTATGCTATGACAGTGTACAATGTGAAGTACATGTTCAGTACACTGATGCTATCACGGTGTATAATGTGAACATACATTTTCAGTATACTGATGCTATCACGGTGTATAATGTGAACATACATTTTCAGTACACCTATGCTATCATGGTGTACAATGTGAACATACATTTTCAGTACACTGATGCTATCACGGTGTAGAAATATGTGTTCACTTTAATTATGCTATGACAGTGTACAATGTGAAGTACATGTTGAGTACACTGATGCTATCACGGTGTATAATGTGAACATACATTTTCAGTATACTGATGCTATCACGGTGTATAATGTGAACATACATTTTCAGTACACCTATGCTATCATGGTGTACAATGTGAACATACATTTTCAGTATACTGATGCTATCACGGTGTATAATGTGAAGTACATTTTCAGTATACTGATGCCATCACAGTCTACAATGTGAAGTACATGTTCAGTATACTGATGTGGAGAATACTGATGTGTAGAATGTGACGATTCATGGGAAGTACACTGATGCTATCACAGTGTACAATACAGAGATACATGTTTAGAACACTGATGCTATCACAGTGTGTAATGTGAAGATTTATGTTCAATACACTGATGCTATCACGATGTACAATGTGCAGTACATGTTTAGTAAATTGCTGCTATCACGGTGCATAATGTAACGATACCTGTTCAGTACACTGATGCTATCACACTGTACAATGTGAAGTACATCTTCAGTACACTGATGCTATCACAGTGTACAATGTGAGGCACATGTTCAGTACACTGATGCTATCACAGTGTACAATTTTAAGATACACCTTCAGCTATCACGGTGTATAATGTAGAGATAGATGATTAGCACATTGATATGACACTGTGTATAATGTGAAGATACCCTACATACTCAGGACACTGATGCTATCACGATGTACAATGTGAAGTACATGTTCAGTATACTGATGCTGTCACACTGTACAATGTGAAGTACATGTTCAGTATACTGATGCTATCACACTGTACAATGTGAAGTACATGTTCAGTACACTCATGCTATCACACTGTAGAATGTGAAGTACATGTTCAGTATACTGATGCTATCACACTGTACAATGTGAAGTACATGTTCAGTATACTGATGCTATCACACTGTACAATGTGAAGTACATGTTCAGTATACTGATGCTATCACACTGTACAATGTGAAGTACATGTTCAGTATACTGATGCTATCACACTGTACAATGTGAAGTACATGTTCAGTACACTCATGCTATCACACTGTAGAATGTGAAGTATATCTTCAGTTCATTGATGCTTTCTCGGTGTATAATTTGAAGGTACATGTTCACTATACTGATGCTATAACGTAGTACAATGTGAAGTACATGTTCAGTACACTCATGCTTTGACGGTGTACAAAGTATGTGTCAAGTACACTGATGCTATCAAACCATGCCTCCTTTTCAGCACAAGGTGGAACTGACACTTCAACTGGAGAATAACGATGGCCGGAACGCAGCCCTGGAACTTTGCGCGGGCAACATCAACCTGCAGAAGAAGGTGTTGTTTGGACTGGTAGCCGGAGGATGTAACTTCACTGTGCAGGACAGTTCCACAGGCGTTAATCTCACTCAGTCCGGACAATCGTGCAGTGTGGGATACCAGCTGAGGGACGTCGGGGGAAACAAGAAGTGTTGTAAGTGTGCTGGTTTACTACCGTGATGTTAACTGTCATGGAGCGATTTCACATCGCCTCTCTACTAAATGTTCTCCCTACTATGATAAAAGACTGACCTACCTGCACATGACCAGGCCAGGATGAATGTCTACAATGCCTTATTTCAAAACAAACTATTTGTATACATGTTTCAGTACCATGCCCCCACGGATACTCGTCCTCTCCCAGTGAAGGTTGTGTTGAATGCCCTGACGGTCAGTATCAGGACCAGTCCGGACAACCCTCTTGTAAGAACTGTGGAGACAACATGTACTCATTGACCCCGCGGTCCAGCAGAGCAAGATGTGTCAGTAAGTGCTTTGATTATGGCATGTCTTTAATATATCACACAACATTGAAAACGCTTGCCGTGATACTTCCTTAGATACTAACATGTTTATAATTGTGATTTATTGTTTCAGGTAAGTGCCGTCCTGGGTTCCAATCTGTAACAGGGCGACCCGAATGCACTAAATGCCTTAAAAATTATTACTGGGTGAACGCGTCTTACTGCGAAAGGTGTCCAGATGATGGCTCCACACTCTATCAAGAGGGCTCCACTAGCATATCAGAATGCAAAGGTAAGATATAGTGTGTAAGCGGTCATGGCATAGTGTCCATGTGGTTGTATCAGGTGTAGTGTCTGTGTGGTTGTGTCAGGTGTAGTTTCTTTGTGGTTTTCTCGGGTGTAGTGCCTATGTGTTGTGTCAGACGTAGTGTCTGTATGGTTGTATCATGTGTAATGTCTGTGTGGTTGTATCAGATACTGTGTCTATGTGGTTGTGTCAGACGTAGTGTCTGTATGGTTGTATCATGTGTAATGCCTGTGTGGTTGTATAAGATACTGTGTCTATGTGGTTGTGTTGGGTAAAGTTTATGTGTGGGTGCGTCAGGTGTAGTGCCTATGTGGCAGTGTCAGGTGTAGAGTCTGTGTCGTTGTATCAGATGATGTGTCTATTTCTTTCTGTTAAGTGTAGTGTACGTGTGGTTCTCTGAGATGTAGTCTATATGTGGTTGTGTCAGATGTAGTGCCAATGTAGTTGTGTCAGATGTAGTGTATGTGTGATTGTATCAGGTGGTGTATATATTTGGTTGTATCAGATGTAGTGTCTATGTGGTTGTGTCAGATGTAGTGTGTATGTGGTTGTATCAGATGTAGTGTATGTAGTTGTGTCAGATGTAGTGTGTATGTGGTTGTGTCAGATGTAGTGTATGTGTGGTTGTGTCAGATGTAGTGTATGTGTGGTTGCATCAGGTGGTGTTTATATGTAGTTGTATCAGGTGGTGTGTATATGTGGTTGTATCAGATGTAGTGTCTATGTGGTTGTGTCAGATGTATTGTCTATGTGGTTGTGTCAGATGTATTGTCTATGTGGTTGTGTGAGATGTAGTGTATGTGTGGTTGTCTCAGGTTGTGTGTTTATGTGGTTGTGTCAGATGTATTGTCTATGTGGTTGTATCAGATGTAGTGTACGTGTGGTTGTTTCAGGTGGTGTGTATATGTGGTTGTGTCAGATGTAGTATCTATCTGGTTGTATCAGATGTAGTGTCTATGTGGTTGTGTCAGATGTAGTGTCTATGCGGTTGTATCAGATGTAGTGTATGTGTAGTTGTTTCAGGTGGTGTGTATATGTGGTTGTATCAGATGTAGTGTCTATGTGGTTCTATCAGGTGTAGTGTCTATGTGGTTGTGTCAGATGTAGTGTCTATGTGGTTGTGTCAGATGTAGTGTATATGTGGTTGTGTCAGATGTAGTGTATGCGTGGTTGTGTCAGATGTAGTGTCTATCTGGTTGTATCAGATGTAGTGTCTATGTGGTTGTGTCAGATGTAGTGTCTATGCGGTTGTATCAGGTGGTGTTTATATGTAGTTGTATCAGGTGGTGTGTATATGTGGTTGTATCAGATGTAGTGTCTATGTGGTTGTGTCAGATGTATTGTCTATGTGGTTGTGTCAGATGTATTGTCTATGTGGTTGTGTGAGATGTAGTGTATGTGTGGTTGTCTCAGGTTGTGTGTTTATGTGGTTGTGTCAGATGTATTGTCTATGTGGTTGTATCAGATGTAATGTATGTGTAGTTGTTTCAGGTGGTGTGTATATGTGGTTGTATCAGATGTAGTGTCTATGTGGTTGTATCAGATGTAGTGTCTATGTGGTTGTATCAGGTGTAGTGTCTATGTGGTTTTGTCAGATGTAGTGTATATGTGGTTGTGTCAGATGTAGTGTATGCGTGGTTGTGTCAGATGTAGTGTCTATGTGGTTGTGTCAGATGTAGTGTCTATGCGGTTGTATCAGATGTAGTGTACGTGTGGTTGTTTCAGGTGGTGTGTATATGTGGTTGTGTCAGATGTAGTGTATATGTGGTTGCATCAGATATAGTATCTATGTGGTTGTGTCAGATGTAGTGTCTATGTAGTTGTGTCAGATGTAGTGTCTATGTAGTTGTGTCAGATGTAGTGTATATGTGGTTGTATCAGGTGTTGTATATATATGGTTGTGTCAGATGTAGTGTATATGTGGTTGTGTCAGATGTAGTGTATGTCTGGTTGTATCAGGTGGTGTATATATTTGGTTGTGTCAGATGTAGTGCCTATGTAGTTGTGTCAGATGTAGTGTATATGTGGTTGTATCAGGTGTTGTATATATATGGTTGTGTCAGATGTAGTGTATATGTGGTTGTATCAGATGTAGTGTATATGTGGTTGTGTCAGATGTAGTGTATGTGTGGTTGTATCAGATGTAGTGTCTATGTGGTTGTATCAGATGTAGTCTATGTGTGGTTGTATCAGATGTAGTGCCTATGTAGTTGTGTCAGATGTAGTGTATATGTGGTTGTATCAGGTGGTGTGTATATGTGGTTGTGTCAGATGTAGTGTACGTGTGGTTGTATCAGATGTAGTGTCTATGTGGTTGTCTCAGATGTAGTGTATATGTGGTTGTATCAGGTGGTGTGTATATGTGGTTGTGTCAGATGTAGTGTACGTGTGGTTGTGTCAGATGTAGTGTATGTGTGGTTGTATCATATGTAGTGTATGTGTGGTTGTATCAGATGTAGTGTATATGTGGTTGTATCAGATGTAGTGTATATGTGGTTGTATCATATGTAGTGTATGTGTGGTTGTATCAGGTGTAGTGTATGTGTGGTTGTGTCAGATGTAGTGTACGTGTGTTTGTATCAGATGTAGTGTATATGTGGTTGTATCAGATGTAGTGTATATGTGGTTGTGTCAGATGTAGTGTACGTGTGGTTGTCTCAGATGTAGTGTATATGTGGTTGTATCAGGTGGTGTGTATATGTGGTTGTATCAGGTGGTGTGTATATGTGGTTGTGTCAGATGTAGTGTACGTGTAGTTGTATCAGATGTAGTGTATATGTGGTTGTATCAGATGTAGTGTATATGTGGTTGTATCATTTGTAGTGTATGTGTGGTTGTATCAGGTGTAGTGTATGTGTGGTTGTGTCAGATGTAGTGTACGTGTGGTTGTATCAGATGTAGTGTATATGTGGTTGTATCAGATGTAGTGTATGTGTGGTTGTATCAGATGTAGTGTCTATGTGGTTGTGTCAGATGTAGTGTATATGTGGTTGTATCAGGTGGTGTGTATATGTGGTTGTGTCAGATGTAGTGTATGTGTGGTTGTATCAGGTGTAGTGTATGTGTGGTTGTGTCAGGTGTAGTGTACGTGCGGTTGTAGCAGATGTAGTGTCTATATGGTTGTATCAGATGTAGTGTACGTGTGGTTGTGTCAGATGTAGTGTATGTGTGGTTGTATCATTTGTAGTGTATGTGTGGTTGTATCAGGTGTAGTGTATATGTGGTTGTATCAGATGTAGTGTATATGTGGTTGTATCAGATGTAGTGTATATGTGGTTGTATCATATGTAGTGTATTTGTGGTTGTATCAGGTGTAGTGTATGTGTGGTTGTGTCAGATGTAGTGTACGTGTGGGTGTATCAGATGTAGTGTATATGTGGTTGTATCAGATGTAGTGTATGTGTGGTTGTATCAGATGTAGTGTCTATGTGGTTGTGTCAGATGTAGTGTATATGTGGTTGTATCAGGTGGTGTGTATATGTGGTTGTGTCAGATGTAGTGTACGTGTGGTTGTATCAGGTGTAGTGTATGTGTGGTTGTGTCAGATGTAGTGTACGTGCGGTTGTAGCAGATGTAGTGTCTATATGGTTGTATCAGATGTAGTGTACGTGTGGTTGTGTCAGATGTAGTGTATGTGTGGTTGTATCAGGTGAAGTGTATGTGTGGTTGTATCAGGTGTAGTGTATATGTGGTTGTATCATATGTAGTGTATGTGTGGTTGTATCAGGTGTAGTGTGTGTGTGGTTGTGTCAGATGTAGTGTACATGCGGTTGTAGCAGATGTAGTGTCTATATGGTTGTATCAGATGTAGTGTATTTGTGGTTGTCTCAGGTTGTGTGTTTATGTGGTTGTGTCAGATGTAGTGTATGTGTGGTTGTATCAGGTGGTGTGTATATGTGGTTGTGTCAGATGTAGTGTCTATGTGGTTGTGTCAGATGTAGTGTCTATATGGTTGTATCAGATGTAGTGTATTTGTGGTTGTCTCAGGTTGTGTGTTTATGTGGTTGTGTCAGATGTAGTGTATGTCTGGTTGTATCAGGTGGTGTGGATATGTGGTTGTGTCAGATGTAGTGCCTATGTAGTTGTGTCAGATGTAGTGTATATGTGGTTGTATCAGGTGGTGTGGATATGTGGTTGTGTCAGATGTAGTGCCTATGTAGTTGTGTCAGATGTAGTGTATGTGTGGTTGTATCAGGTGGTGTCTATATGTGGTTGTATCAGATGTAGTGTCTATGTGGTTGTGGCAGATGTAGTGTCTATATGGTTGTATCAGATGTAGTGTATGTGTGGTTGTGTCAGATGTAGTGCCTATGTAGTTGTGTCAGATGTAGTGTATATGTGGTTGTATCAGGTGGTGTCTATATGTGGTTGTATCAGATGTAGTGTCTATGTGGTTGTGTCAGATGTAGTGTCTATATGGTTATATCAGATGTAGTGTATGTGTGGTTGTTTCAGGTGGTGTGTATGTGTGGCAGTGTCAGGTGGTGTGTATATGTGGTTTTATCAGGTGGTGTGTATATGTGGTTGTGTCAGGTGGTGTGTATATGTGGTTGTGTCAGATGTAGTGTATGTGTAGTTGTATTAGGTGGTGTGCATGTGTGGCAGTGTCAGGTGGTGTGTATATGTGGTTGTATCAGGTGGTGTGTATATGTGGTTGTATCAGGTGGTGTGTATATGTGGTTGTATCAGGTGGTGTGTATATGTGGTTGTGTCAGGTGGAGTGTATATGTAGTTGTTTCAGGTGGTGTGTATATGTGGCAGTGTCAGATGTAGTGTATGTGTAGTTGTTTCAGGTTGTGTGTTTATGTGGTTGTGTCAGATGTAGTGTATATGTGGTTGTGTCAGATGTAGTGTATATGTAGTTGTATCAGATGTAGTGTATATGTGTTTGTATCAGGTAGGGTGTATATGTGGTTGTGACAGATGTAGTGTATGTGTGTTTCTGTAGTGTATATGTGTTTCTGTCAGGCGTTGTCTCTGTGCGGTTGTGTCAGGTGTAGTGTCAATTTGGTTGTAGTCGATGTTGTATATGTATGGTCACTTATAACGTTAACCTTCAAATTAGAGAACCCTCCTTGTTAGAAGTGTCATAACGTCCGATTTCGGCTAATTACCTTAGAGCCATATTGCCCATATGCCTCTCAACACTTGATTGCCGTTATTGCCAGGGTTAGGCTGGGTGCTCCGGGGCACCCAAACAGCAACCACTACCACTATGTGCTGACCTGGCACATAGTGTTTTTTGTATGTATATATCTACTTGTATAAGATAACATTGTAGTTACCGCAGGCCATCGTCTTCAAGTTGTCACTTCCTTCCGAGAACCATACGCCGACCCTTTGCATATACGAGTATACACGTATAAATTAGACAACGTCACACCAGCGCGTTGTTAGAAGCTGGGGCCGCATTCATGACAACCGATGCATGCCAGTGCCGTGAAACTTAGGTGCCTTATATTTGTTATTCCAGAATGTTCGAACTATTCAAACCATCTGCTGGTTTGTATCAAAATAAATAACCCACGTGACATGACTCGACCGTCGATGTCAGGCACCCCTCGCCAACACTGGACCGAAGCTGAGTTCATGTAGCAAGATTGTTCCATTGAATGTACACAGGTCCAGCTCGATTATATTTTTGATATCCCATTGTGTTCGCTTTCTGTTTCAGCACCATGTCCTATTGGTCAGTATTCAGTGACCGGCTACTTCCCATGTACCCCGTGTCCCCTCCATTTCTACCAAGACTCCAAGGCACAGGACCACTGCAAGGAGTGCAACACAGACCAGATCACAGAACAAACAGGCTCAACGAAACTTGGTGACTGCAAACCCGGAAGTAAGACATCGTCACCTTGTCATCTATAGTCGTCATGTATTGTGAACATACTGATAATTATTAAATCTTAATGCTTTTATTCCTGAACCAAATAGGTCAAGAAAGGTTTATGGGCAGCATTTTCACAAAAGTTACTGTTCATGCAGATTTTTTATTTAGATATTTATTTCAAGATGATCAATGAAGTTTTGCATATCTAATCGCAACGGTTCTATGCGAGATTGGTTCATTCATGATTATGCAATCGTTCTCGTCCTGTATATGTTGCAGACACAACAATATGTCCCAATGCTTGCTCAAATGAAGGCACGTCAACGTGTTCCTACATCTACCATAGACTCGTCTGTACCTGTAAAACAGGTGAGTGATTCAATTCTTGTCCTTATGACATACACTCATGTGTACCTGTAAAATGGGTCTGTTATCGATGCGTGTCTCAATATCCACCATACACTCAATGTTTACCTGTGAAATGAGTCTATTATCCACGCGTGTCTCAATAGCCACCATACACTAACGTGTACCTGTAAAACGGGTCTATTATCCACGCATGCTTCAATATCCACCATACACTCTTGTGTACCTGTAAAACGGGTCTCTTTTCAATGCGTACCTCAATATCCACACCACACTCATGTGTATCTGTAAAACGGGTCTATTATCCACGCGTGTCTCAATATCCACCATACACTCATGTGTACCTGTAAAATGGGCCTGTTGTCCATGCGTGTCTCAATATCCACCATACACTCATGTTTACCTGTAAATCGGTCTGTTATCAACGCGTCTCAATATCCACCATACACTCATGTGTACCCGTAAAATAGGTCTGTTATCCATGCGTGTCTCAATAACCACCATACACTCATGTGTACCTGTAAAATGGGTCTGTTATCTACGGGTCTAAATATCCACCATACACTCATGTGTACCTGTAAAATCGGTCTGTTATCCATGCATGTCTCAATATCCACCATGCACTCATGTCTACCCGTAAAATAGGTCTGTTATCCATGCGTGTCTCAATATCCACCATACACTCATGTATACCTGTAAACGGGTCTGTTATCCATTCGGGTCTCAATATCCACCATACACTCATGTGTACCTGTAAAATAGGTCTGTTTTCCGTGCGTGCCTCAATATCCACCATACAACTCATGTGTACCTGTAAAACGGGTCTGTTATCCATGCGTTTCTCATTATTCACCATACACTCATGTGGATCTGTAAAACGGGTCTGTTATCCACGCGTTTCTCAATATTTACCATACGCTCATGTGTACCTGTTAACGAGTTTGTTATCCATGCGTGTCTCAATATCTACAATAAACTCTTGTGTACCTGTAAAACGGGTCTGTTATCTACGCGTGTCTCAATAGCCACCATACACTCATGTGTACCTGTAAAACGGGTCTGTTATCCAAGCGTGTCTCAATATACACCATACACTCATGTGTAGCTGTAAAACGGGTCTGTTATCCACGCGTTCCTCAATATCCACCATACACTCATGTGTACCTGTAAAATAGGTCTATTATCCACGCCTGTCACAATATCCACCATACACTCATGTGCACCTGTAAAACGGGTCTGTTATCCACGTGTGTCATAATATCTATCATTCACTCATTTGTACCTGTAAAACAGGTGAGTAAGTCAGGCTCGGAGTCAGCATTCTGTGTCTCGTTGGGGTATTCATGTTAAACTGCGGCATGGTATCGTATACTGACAACCTGCTTCACAGTTATGTCCTTGTTCCTCGCTGAGTACGTCCGGGTTATATTAAATATCAATTTACACTCAGATATCCCACCTGTACCTACATTAAGATCTCACTCATGTCCTTGCTTTTCGCTCTCTATTTGCAGGCTATACCGGGGACAGGTGCGAGTCTGAGATCGACTACTGCAGATCTAACCCCTGTCTGAATGGTGCCACATGCAAACCCAAGCTTGGGGGATTCGACTGTGAATGTATCGCTGGTGAGTGGCCAAAGCAAACTATGTATTTTACCATAGGCATGGGTTAACACTAAATAAAACGCACTGTACTTGGAATCGTAAACTGAGGTACCATATCACTGACTGTGTTGATACATAGAAAACATACCCTTAATTCTTTGCAGTAGCGTATCGTGTGTAGCTGTACTGGTTCAGAAAAAAACATATAACCAGTCGAATCTAAACAGTTGTTTCAATTTTGACACTAAAGAACAAGATGTTGCAAGCGATACACAGCAAATTTCAAACTTGCAAGTTTGTGAAATATTGTCTGCAGGGTATTTAGCCTAGTTAAGACTTACCTCAATGTGTCAAGAATGTTCTTCCTTTCAGCCACGGTGTGTCAAATGGTGAAGAACGCAGTAAATTACAATCCTGGTATTGTCAACATCAGAAGCGTGTCCGGCATTAATGTTGCTGCCTGCAGTGCTGAATGCATTAGTACCTCGGCCTGTGTCGCTACTGGGTTCTTCACGAACAACAACTTATGTGTCTTACTCAATGAAGAACAAGCTGGAACGAAAAGTACAACGGGCGCAACTCAGGCATACTATGAGAAAAAGTGTGCAAACACGCCATGTACGTATTCAACTTGACGAAGATGATCACTGGTAGAACTTATTGGACTACCCCCTGAGCGACGCCACTATATTAGTAATTATAACACGGATAATTTTGTCTCCAGTGTATTGTTTACTTCTTGTAGGATCAATAAAGACAGCATTTGGATATATGAAGTCTTCAGTGTACAACGAAACCTGTGAATATGCGGGGTAGAATAGGTCTTCAGCAATCCAGCTTGCCATGAAAAGCGACTACGCTTGTCGTTAGAGGCGACAAACGGGATTGGGTCGCTGAATCGGTTGATGCATGATGCTCATGATGTCAATCACTGGAATGTCTGGTCCAAACTCGATTATTTTTCAAACCGCCGTCATATAGCTGGAATATTGCCGAGTGCGGTGTTAGACAACAAACAAACAAAACAGTTATACAACTGTCTCTTTGTATACTACAGTGAAGGTAGTGAAGAAATCAGTATGAGTATTAGTTATTGTTACAGTAAGAAATATTGAGTTTTTTGGTTGTTGTTTTTTTTAGTGTTTTCGTGTGGTAATCCGACGACATAGTAAAGGGATCAGTGTGTCGATATTGTTATAATACATAGTTCTCAGTATACCAATACCATCTGTGCAGACTACAGTGGCAAGTACTGCCAGACAGACCTGAGGGATGACTGTACCACCAACGACTGCCGCGACTACAGCGTGTGCCGGGATCTCCTTGGTGGATATAAGTGCGTGTGTCCCTCTGGTGGTCAGTACACACAACCCAGGTAGGCTGCCTAAGGCAATGTTTCTGTTCGGACATTAAACTTAAAATTACTGAACAGGGTGATAGTCGGTTTGAGAGTACAGCATGGGAAACTGATATGCTAGTATGTAAGCAATTATGTTTAACAACATAACGGGGTGAAGACAATATCTATAAAGGAAATATATTTATGAGAACGACCAGCCGCAAGACCTGCAAATGACCCGTCACAACGGCAAAACATATCCAAACTGACGCCATATGAATTTATGAAAGTTATGTGAACTTATGTCATGGCCTGCTTGTCTGTACACATTATCTACTCAAATGTACCTCAGGCCAATGGAAACCATTCTTCACAGGCCACCATGACTGAGAGAAGTAAATTTCAGCATTGTGCATTTCAGCATTGTTCCAAAATAACAATTAGTTTCATGTTTTACATAAATATGTTAATCTGTAATTTGAAACCACAATGCGGACACTGCTTGAATAGCACTGCCGACAGCAATGTTTGTTAGGTGACTGTCTTTGTTAACGCTTGGAACTGTTGACTACATATCCAGGTGAGCTACAATGTCAGTATATTATAGGGGTATCCGTGCTCAGTCACGTCACGTAACCAGTCACGTCACCGCGAAATAGGCATTCATGGAGCATGGACAACACTTGCATCGACATACATATATCAACATACCCCTAAGGAAAGCTGTCCACACCCACAATGTTCCACAGGACAAGTATCTGAATGAACTGTTTCAATCCACACGTATTTTAAGGATATTCACACTGTATTCAGAACTGCCCCTACCCAAAACATTTGGAAAACACAAATATATTGTTTCATTGTTTTGACACTGCATATATGTACAGGAAGGGTATTTTAGCATTGCTTCATGACACTTAATACTGCTAACAACGATGATTCAAGTATCATTGATACACTACTTTGTATCTCAGAACTATCATTGTTGAGTGTCGATTCCCAAATTGGAACAAAATGTTAACCCAGATATATGTACAAAAAGAACTCAGTGTGAAAACAATAAACAAACACATGGTATACATGTAACCGGGTTTTCTTGGCTTTTATCCATTATTTTAAACAGATGACACCAAGACGGCTACGGGGTGTGAGGCTTATGTTTATTTGGTGAATAATCACGATAGTCACCTTGTAATAAGAAACAACAGATAATATAGTATATGCATATTAAAAAACATAATATATATCATATCATCATCAAAGCAATACAATCATTTCTGTTACATTACTTACAACTAAGTATTATTAGATGATATGATAGAAAAGGCTTACAGTACATATTAAGTAAAATGGTTACACATACCCTATGTGTGGCGCAAAGGTGTAAAACGTGTTACCCTTGAAATGTCACCATTCATGATATGTCCTGCAGAAGAAAGAGCAGGAATAAATATGACAATTGTATTACACAATGAACTGGATTTACAAATCAATACACATTACTGCACAGCAATTACAATAGCAGTACACAGTAGAGTGGTAGTACACTGTTCAAAGGCGATACAAACTATGATGGCAGGGATCAGTATCAATCACAAAAACTGACAACGAATTCGAAAGTCAGTGGTAATAATATATACACCCAGTAGCAACAGTGGTCCTGCTGCCGAGATGGCCTAAGCTGGGAATCCGGGGTGATAAGTAATCCTGACACGAAAGCTGGCCTTGATGTTATGAAATGTGAACGATACGAGAGGCACGCTCTTGTCCCTTTATATACCAGTACATTTCAACACTGTGCCATCACATCACAGAATAGTTCTCATTTCTGTAACGCTCTATCTCAGTCCACGGTATTCCGGACATTTACAAATCACACAAGCATCTAAATATAGTAACGTCCTCACCTCTGCTTAAATTGAATAGTACTACATTTCTAAAACCTAATCATTGTCCAAATACAATGCAATGAACTTTAACCGAAACTCAACAGAAAAATATTATACAATTACAATTATTGTTAAACACTGCTTTATAACATCATTAAGTAGAAATATCAATACGATACCACCCACTGTTGATGAGTAAATCTAGCTCAAACTCGAACCACCCTCATATTTGATGGCATTTTATCTTTTATTGACAACTCTGTTCCAGATGTGATCGAGACAGCAATTTGTGCAGTCCTCAGCCCTGTCGGAACGGCGGCACCTGTAACTCCTGGGGGGATGTTCGGTATCAGTGCACCTGTCGCCCTGGCTTCACAGGGGTTAACTGTGAGACTGCCGTGGGTAAGTCTTGTGTAGACAGTGTAGTTACATGTATATAGGGTGTTAACTGTGAGATTGACGTGGGTAAGTCGTGTGTGGACAGTGTAGTGACATGTATATAGGGTGTTAACTGTGAGACTGCCGTTGGTAAGTCATGTGTAGACAGTGTAGTTACAGGTATTGTTGGTGTTAACGATTGGTTGTTAGCTATGGAACTGATGTGACTTGGTTCAATACTGTTTGCATACATTTGGTTATAGTATGCCTTCAGAAGTTGCTATCTCCATGAATTATCACTTGTGTAAATGTCGCTCCGTCTCCCCACAGATGAGTGTGAGCAGAACCCGGATGGCTGTCTGTACGACGGCAGGTGTGTCGATGGCTCCAACTCCTACTCCTGCTCGTGCAAACCCGGCTTCGGAGACGACCACTGTCAGAATGAGGCGATCTTGTGTACAGCGGGACGCTGCAGCAACGGTATCTGTATCAGCAATTACGACAACGTCACCGCTGACTGCGTCTGCGAGAAACCCTTTGTGAAAGGTAATTTGGGTTTGAATAGTATGATCGTAATGGATAAATTAAAGATATGTCTTCATGTTCTTTTTTAATGTAGTTAAAGTGAGTAATTGGTACTCTAAATGTGTGACCTTTATGATGATAATAAGAGCATAGTTTCTTGAATTAATTATGTTCTTTATCGATTTCTTAATAGGGCTTCAGTAGACCATGACATTGACAAGGTTATAGTTCGGTTTGTCCTTGAAACAATCATCACTACCTGGCATTATATGAAAGGCAATGTCTTCTGCTTTATCTCTCCAGATTCCAATGGCGAGTGTACCAGGATCAACTTCTGTTCCCCATCCCCCTGCACCACCAACAACACTGAACGCTGTGACAGTCTGACAGACGGCTACCGCTGTGTGTGCAAGTCCGGCTACGAGGGATCACTGTGTCAGCACAACATCGACGACTGTGCCAGTAGCCCGTGTGTGCATGGAACCTGTACAGACAAACTGACCACGTTCTCCTGCCAGTGTGACTCAGGCTGGACAGGTAAACTGACCACGTTCTCATGTTAGTGTGACGCTGGCTGGACAGGTACACTGACCACGTTCTCCTGCAAGTGTGATTCTGGCTGGACAGGTAAACTGACCACGTTCTCCTGTCAGTGTGACGCTGGCTGGACAGGTAAACTGACCTCGTTCTCCTGTCAGTGTGATTCTGGCTGAACAGGTAAACTGACCACGTTCTCCTGTCAGTGTGACGCTGGCTGGACAGGTAAACTGACCACGTTCTCCTGTCAGTGTGATTCTGGCTGGACAGGTAAACTGACCACGTTCTCATGTTAGTGTGACGCTGGCTGGACAGGTAAAATGACAACGTTCTCCAGTCAGTGTGACGATGTCTAGACCGGTAAAATGACATGTTCTCCGGTCAGTGTGACGCTGGCTAGACCGGTAAAATGACATGTTCTCCTGTCAGTGTGATGCTGGAAGGACAGGTAAAATGACAACGTTCTCTGGTCTGATGATGTATCTGGATAAAGACTGGAATACTGGCTGATGTGTCTGGGAAAAGACTTGAACAGTATGATGTCTCTGAGGGAAAATGTGAACATCAGATGGCGTATCTGGGTATAGACTGGAAAGGTTGATGCTGTTTTTATATATTGAATGAATCAGTGACTGACGCCGCTTTTAGCAATATTCCAGCAATTACATGCCAGGGGACGCCATGGCTTCACATATTGTACCTATGTCGGGAATCGAACCCGGGTCTTCGGCATGACGAGTGAACGAGGCTGCCTGACTACTCCGTACCACTTGTATTTGAAGTTGAGAACTTAATCATAGCCGCTATTCAAGGATCTAGAAGTGCACCAACAATGTTGCAATGAAATGAAATTCAAATGCAGGATTTGTTGTTCAGAGGACCACATTTTGTCATCAGATTCAGCTAACATGATAGAATCTGGTTCCAGGTCCTACATGTACTTCTGACATCGTGGACTGCAATAACCAATGTCCCCCGGAAAAGAGAGAACGATGCGTGGATCTGAACCAGGACTACAGGTGTGAGTGTAAGCCAGGATACACAGGTAAAAACTGCACAGTAAGTACAGACTTAACATTGCTCAACATTATGTTAACTAGACCACCCCTGTGTGGCCCTGCGCTCTATGTCGAGTTCCTTTTTTACATTAACAGGTTCCAACTTGGCAAGGATTAATGTACAGAGATAACATTATAATGACGAAGCCTATGGGATTAGGAGGAGAGGAGTAATGAAGTACACTGATGGTATAGGGCTGACAAGGATCTGGCTATTGTGACACAAGCTGTAACGTAATCACGATGTCCAGTTTGGAAGATGATGTGATGATATCACAGTGTCAAAAATTGTCTCTTTTTATAATAATCTGGAGCATAATAAGACATATGTGGATATGTCTTGTCCCTTTCGGCAAATTCGTTTTCATAGATGCTTGCTTTGCTTGTTTTGTTTCGCGCTTCGGTAACATTGATTTCTACCATTTCAATGTTTTCAGATTTGTCAGTCGTTTGGTTTCTCCATTAGGGCTACAAACATGTCTTGTACAACGTCTATGTTATCCCATAGGAGCTGATCAACGAGTGCGACTCCCTGCCCTGCATGCATGGTGGCACCTGTGTCGACCAACTGGCTGACTACTCGTGTAACTGTACACCTGGCTGGGAGGGCAAGAACTGCCAGAATATTAGCAACACGTGTACCGGCATCTCGTGTCAGAATGATGCCACCTGCTACCCTGTGTTTCAAGACTACTTCTGCAGGTGCGTATTGCTCAATAACATAGTGCCAGTCAATATTTTCAAAATGTGAGTATAACAATATTCTCTCATGTGTCGACTGAGACATGGACGGATGCACGGCTTCGTCGACGTATGTATTAAGTATATTTACATTTACAATTGATAAAATTGTGTCATCACTATCTGTTGTGGTTTATGAACCATGTCAAAGACACGGATGTTCAGGTAACCATCCAACTCGTGAGACATCATTTTAATTTAAGAATATGAGTTAGTTATATGAAAGCATCTGATACAAACATAGTTCTTCATTACCAGCAGGTTAAGTTAGAACACTTGGTGAATCAACCAATATGCCAACGAATACCAGATGCCTTGGACTTAAGAGTGACAAGTGTTGTCTGATAAAGTAAATTCATTTTGCAGAAATGAATGTAATTACAGAGCAGTTCAAATCCTTAAGCCAGCCTTACCATTTGATTTTCATGATATCAGAAGTAGCATTTTGATGACTTCAACTCGTCAGGGTTATTTGTCGCAGAAATGAAATGGATGTGAACGTCCTGAAAGGAAAGCGAAGCAAAAACAATCCTTCATGGAGAAGTAACAGAGTTCTAAACTGAGGTTTTAAAGAATTGTCAACGTGTATTTTGTTGTGATATAGAGAGGACACTCAGCATTCTCAGTTGTGTTAAGAACAGTAGCCAAAAAACAGTAATTACAAATACTGTGTTCTGTGTTATGGCCAAATGTAACCTTGGTGGGTTTTTTTATATGGCACTGGCATGTAAATCACCTATCCAAACATTCTGTCCTTCTGTGCTCATGTTAATGCATTTACTTCAGCTGCCAGAAGGGGACCCAGGGGCGTCTGTGTGAATCGTCCCCGAAGGTGTGTGATCTTGTCATGCCATGTACCACCCAGGGTACATGCCAGCAGTCGGGCGGGTCAGCAACGTGCAACTGTCAATCATGTAAGTGTCTGGTGGCATGTGTAGTCAATATTACCTCAACACTCTCTTCTTCATCTAAGTGTACATTTATATTTCTCTCTTTCAGTGTACAGTGGGGTGTCCTGTGAGCTGATCAAGGATGGTTGTTCCGACAATTTGTGTAGCAATGGTGGCAAATGTTCTCTCGTCCAGCCAAGAGGTCACAGTTGTGCCTGCCCAGAAGGTGGGTCTCCTGACACTTGACCCTCACTTCTACACTTCTATTTCTAAGTCATCCAAGATGGGACTACATTCCTCCAAACATTGAGCACATCTTCTACATCGAAGTCCCCCTAGATGAAAATACATAGAGTCAAGTCTCGTTAATGCGACACTTGTTTATCCGACAATCGGCTTTATCCGACACAAATGATGAGAACCGCTTTAATCAGTGTTATTTAGACCCGTTAATCCGACAGACTCACACTCCGACTCCGACACACTTAATTTGCAACGAATTGCTGTTATCTACCCGCGAGTACACAGACCCATGTTTTGATCCCATTACAGGTCACGTCAGAATGACCTTTCGCGAATTAACAGGAAGGCAACATTAGCCACTAATATAAAAAAGTATCTTTCTTTAGGATTGCGGCGCTTGTTTCAAATTAACGACTTCCATTCCAGACTATGCTTTAAAAAGTATTTTGAATCAGTCATGCAGTCCGTAATAGTAGTTTTGTGTTAAACTTTAGAGGTTGCATGATTAGAAAACATATTCTGCCAGCAATGTAACACAACAATATGATTATTTCCTTTTTCCTTTTTTATTACCTGTTCATGTCATTATCTATCGTGTAGTTGTCCAATTTTACATACCGACATACTCGTTAATCCGACATGATCATATGCAACCAACAATGTCGGATTAACGGGACTTGACTGTATATCTATACGTTGCTGACTTGACTCACACTTCTACACCCTTCTACACTATTATACCTTTGACCTTGGAGGTAGAAGCTATTAATGCTACAAGTGACAGTCGCGACTCAAATCCTACTTACTCCTACACACTCCTGGTGTAATTATAATCATATCACAAACATGGATGGGATTGATGACATATTATACAATTCTGAGAATATCCTCTCCAGGGAATTGATCATTTGATATTCTAGCTGGATTTTATGTCCATATTAGATATTTCTTCAGTAACAGGTCCAAAACCTTATATTTTTTGTATTTAGAACAATGAACCTGAATTTGTTTTAAGAAGACCACCTTGCAACAGTGTATTTTGGGTAGTGTGCAGTTTCCTTTTTGTTCAACAATCTGAAGCATAATTAGTTTTTCAAGAATCTTCGGGGGACATATTATTCCAATAAAATCCCATTGTCAGGCCCAAACCAAAGTCCCTTTAAAGGGGAACAAATCTGTCAGACGGGTGGTCAGACTTCATCAGGGATAAATGTTTTTGTCCGGTCTTTATTCAGGATTCAGCGGTGATAATTGCGAGACAAGGGACGATATTTGCAGTGGCAAGTGTCCATCTGGTACTACCTGCGTAAAAGAGGGACGCAAGACGTTCTGCCTGTGTCCGCCTCCCAAGATTCCCGCTGGATCAACATGTAAAGGTAGGGATGGACAAGAGAGACAACAACAAAATACAAAACTAATTACTTATCTGTTCATGCTTTATTCTCCATACATATTGTCAGTTGTTTTATTTATTTATTGGATTAATATTGCATGTTGAACAGCTACAAGGTTCTGTTTGATGTCTGCAAATTCTAAATTACATAACAGACACATCTCCTGACTTTGACCTGTACCTGGACAACCGTTTTGGGTCCATGGCCGTCAAGTCGTACAGCCCGTTCCAGCTATCAGGCGACCTGTCCATCATGTTCTGGATTGGCTACCTCAACTCCGGCAGATCGGTCGTAATATCTAACCTGTAAGTCTTTCAGATTTTCGTCGATGTGCTAACAATAAATATGGTATCTCGTTCAATAGTTAATGAGGGCGTAAAGTTGTTTAGTGGTGACAATATTAGGCAAAACTACCAAGTATAAGGTTAACACTCCAACTCACTTTATTGGGCATTGAAGGTCAGTCTGTCATCCTCCTGTTGTGTGGAATGACCACTGCAGAAAATAATCTGATCTGATCTGATCTGAACTACTGCTCAGGCAAACCGATTGAGCCTCTCTTCTGTGGTGTTCTTGAGACTTAATCTAATAAGTGAGTGTTAGTAATGTGACGTTAATGAAACCTCTTTTTCAGTGACGGCAGTGAAAAGTATTTCGAGCTGTTCCAAGACCGTATCCAGTTTTCTGCCGCTGGACAGGTGGTCAATAAGACGCTAGACAAAGCAGATCTGGAGACAGTCAAGGGTCAATGGGATCACGTGGCAGCCACGTGGACAAGAAACGGGTCAATCAGTGTGTATGTTAACGGAATAAAAGTCACATCAGGAGATATTAACGTCAATCTCACGGACAGCAACAGGTAGGTTAAATATACTCGATGTTGACTATTCAGTCAGAAAGTTATAAGCTGTGTTACAAGTTATGTGCTGAACTCTGACACATGTTGCCTGGAGGTTTTTTTGTGGGGTCTAGCAGAGACAGCCAGTAATCAGCATAACACAAGTTGCAAAGATAAACAGAAGTGTTTGAGTGTCTGATAAGATAACTAATAGGGACAGTTTCGTGTACCATGGGAACATGATTGATATGATCTGCCTTTGCCCGGCGACGAAAATGAAATACGACCGCCAGTGTAGCAGAATGCATTATTTCTAACTACCATTGTATTTTACTTTGACCTGACTCATAATAATTGCTTATCTCTTCACATTTCCTTAAGGTAGTTGAAACTTCCTGTTCTGTGTTCCCAAAGAGCAGAAAATATCTTCTCATCCATATGCATCCTTCAGCCGTGCAGGCACACCTGCACCGTACAGAACCACTTGACTCGTCACTATCTCATTCTTGCACGAAACGAGTATTTCGTTTTTTGTCTGTGCACTGTTATCTGAGCCATCCTGTCAAATTTAACCATTTTGAATTAGATAATGTACTTCGATTACATTCTTGAAACCATTATACATCATAACTTACCATTATTTTATTAGCCCCCTACCCTAATGCCTCGTATCAAGTCATCCCAATCTGAAGAATATCCTTCCATCTATGAAGGCCACGATCTAGGGATATGGTTAACAGATGGACTCCCCGTAGTTTCATACCCAGAGATCCTGTCCACTAACTCCTAGTTTCAAGTAGAATTTTTCCTTCAGTCGGAGCATTAATATTTTACTGAAGGCACTTCTTCTTTGGTATTTCATGTTCCTGCTCAGGGTGATTTTACATGTCACGTGTCAAGATTTCTCAGATATAGACAAATTTGATTACGCTGGAACTAGATCAGACACATCTTATGGGAGGCATGCAGTGTACTTCTGCAGTTGATTTGCATGATGATATGTAGGTAATGCTACAACCGCATGACCATACGTAAGATGCTATAGAGCAATGTGACATGATCTTTCAGTAGACCTTCGATGATGACACACGCAGAGTTGTCCACACTAAGGAGCAACTTTTCATCGTTGCCTTGATACAAGAATGGGAGTGCTTATGTACGACATCCAGGGGATGGATTCCATCGTTTTTTAAACATTTTGGTTGAGATTCAGGTTTCATTGTTAGTGTCATTCTTTGTCAACCTGACCCATCGGCATCACATTGTAATCCCAGATTCAAACTCCAAAGATAGTGTTTAGGTAGACGGTACTAAAAACGGTCTCTAGCAAGGACTTGTCTTGTAGTCTATATATGCGTGTCTCAGCTAACGTGTCCGGTTCACATAATATGCAGGTTATAAAGTGAACACTGTATGCAGTACTAACGTGGCATGATATATTTCAGCCTGAAGATTGTCTGGTTCGACCCCAACTTCAAAGGTTACATCTCCCGCCTTACTGTGTGGAGAAGCATCCTAACCCACAGTGATGTGTCCAGTGTTTTGGGGAACTTGAACTACCAACCTACTGGTGACCTTGCCCTTGGCTGGAACCTCTACAAGATGGCGGGAGGAAGTAGAACGTACTCCCCGAGCAAGGCAGGTCCCGGTGTTACACTGTGCGAGTCGGGACGTGTCATGGCAGAAAATTGCACTGGACAGCCAGGTAACAAAATATCTGAAGAAGTAAATTGTAGTACATTCATTGCATGCTTTATGGACATAACTGGGGTTTTATAAATGTCCCAACAAGATTAATGTGTTCAGAATGCATTGTCACACCATCTTTAAACATCTAACTTTGTTGTTAAGTATAAAATATATTGAAACATTTGTGATGAGGCGGCAAACAGACAGTATACAGATCAGAGATGTTCCAGAGAATATACTGTTTCAGATAATTGGGAGTATAGATGATGATGCGTAATGTTTGGGTCTTACATATGGCGCATCATCAATCATAGTGAAACATCGTGAACGAAAGGAAGGACGGCAGATAGCGAAACAGTATTTAGAAATATTTAGATGTATCAAGGCACAGTTACTAGAGCATGATAGCCATTGCGGTATGAGAAATAAGTACAAAGGGAAAACACAAAAGTAGAGAAATGTTACGCAACGAATTGAACACCCACACCAATGAAAATGACACAATATGAGCGTTTGAAGACCTTTTTTGAATGAACGGCGAAGGCAACAGTCGACAGTACTGAACCACTGATAGGAGAAAGTGATGTATGCATGACTAATATTGCTGTCAATGAAATCTTACCATTGATCCTTAATATCAAAAGCTGAATGCATCTGACGTTAAAAGTGTAGGCACAAGAATAAGTGGTCATTGACCTGTATGTAAATGTTAATGTTGATGTAAATATTGATATGTTGAGTAAATATTGATATGTTCATGTTAATATTGATATGTTCATGTAAATATTGATATGTTCATGTAAATATCAAAATGATTACATGTGTATGTAAATATGGATATCCTTATGTACATACGGATATGCTATATTAACTCATTTTTAAATGTTGACTGTGACATTATATTACAATAAACCAGTGTTGTGCCTTCCACAGACAAGACGAAGCCAATTCTGAATAACTGTCCTGCCAGTGACATCTTGTATAACGTGAGCACTCGCGTGGTGGAGGCAATTGCCGTCTACACAACGCCATCTACAGACGGTAACGCCACAGTATCAAGCACATTCACAGGTGAATGACACGTTTACAACTATTTCAATCAATGAAATGCCCATTTACTTCAGAAATTAAGTGATATGTGTAAACGCACACTTTTACTACATTTGTACCAATATGAGCAAACTAATATGTACACTTTCAAGTGATCTTGTCGATGTGGCTTAGATAGTATAAAAACCATTGAATACCATTAGTAAAACCTCGATAAAAAAATGTTAGCAAGGTGATTGGATATTCTATATCCCTTGCTCTGCATACACTAACACAGACCATCGAACACCAATATCGTTACTCTGGCAGAATAGCTGTTCTGTGTTTGTTACTGTTTAACGGATACAAGGAAACTGTCTCTATCGGTCTGTCCGTTCGTTCGTCCTATCCGTCTTTCGTTTCCGATGCCTCGTGAATGTTTACTATTTATCCTTGAAACTGTGCATGCACACATCAGGCATGCATTCTACTGGCCTTTTCTTATTTAGGATTAACATCGAATTTGCGTTTCCATGGCAACTAGTTGTGAGTTGGAGAGCATATCTCATGAACCGTTCAATAATTTAAGATGAACCTTTACACACACATCAGGCATGGATTATATATGTGGCCTGTCCTATTCAGATGCTTTTGTAATTTTTATAGTCTGCATGTCTAAGTCAATAACAAGTTGGATCAGGACTCCTTTTGCGGAGCATAGCTCGTTGACCATTCAGTATTTCTTGACGTAAACACGTCATATGTCAATGTCAAAACCGTTAGCACCTGTATGCAGCTTTGGTTGTATACTCCCCAGGGAGTTGAGAATGACAACACGAATCCATACAGATTCACTGGCCCTGGTACAAATCACCCGCATTTGAGCAGATGCTAGTACCTGGATAAGTGCTGTATTATAATATATAATGTTATAATATATAATATATACATTCCTGTTGGAATCCATAAACAAATCAGCCTATATTTGTTTTGACTTGGTGACTTGGTTGATTGCCATCCTATACTGAGCAGGTCATAATGTGTTGTATTTTGTAGTGGAATAGTGATGAAGAGTTTTGAAAATAGTATATGAAACATTGCTGTCAAAGCTCTATCTATTGAACAATACTAATACTTATTCACATCTTTAGAAGGTTTGGTGTTTAAAGTATAGAGGGACTCATTTGGTTTAGTTCAGTCAAAATGCCCTTGGTACTCACAAGCTCTTAGTTGTGATGAGGGATGTGACATATGTAGAGGGACGCCCAGCAGACAAGGCAGGTGTGACGATGTTAGAGTGTCTGTTCCAGATGAACTCATGATGCGAGGCAGGTATGACGTGGTGTATGCTACCAAGGACAGCCAAGGAAATCCTGGACTGTGCAGATTCAAGGTCTACATTAGAGGTAAGGTTCCTGTGTCCCCCACACACCTCGTGCCGTACTGCAGGTATCACCAGTTGTTACGTTGAACCATCCATATTCTCTCCTTCATCGATTTGAAATTAAGTCAACAACATTCACAAATAATGACACGACACGATTGTTTTCGTCTACATGTTTAAGTGTTATGTTCAGGGAGAAGACAGAACTGAAACATGTAGGAGAGCATTTCGTGTCATGTTTTTTTTGTGAATTTCTCTATATATGAGCTACTGTATACTTTATATACTATATATTTTGAACATTCACAGAAACACAACATGTCGAGTACTTGTTATTGCAAATATATCTTTCTGTTTATTTTAGGATCAAGCACGTGCAGCACAGAGGGCTTCTCGGCTTCCACACCTTGTGGAACGACAGCTTTTCGTGACTTCTGCCCCGCGGGCCAAGCCCCTTCCGTCCCAACGCCAAATATTCTTCGTTGTGGCAAACTTGGGTCATATAACCTCGAGAACCCGTTGGCATTGTACACACCGCCTGCTTGTGGAGGTGGGGGCATATTCAGAATGAAGTACACTTATTCTATTTTCCTTCAAGCTTTTAATACCACGTTTATAGAAATGCGCAGATTGGCCCTCTTACCACGCCTCCGCAGCAGCCTTTTTGTCCTCGTTATCCTGGAAGCGTCTTCCACTTGGTTGCAGATTCAATTATTAGGAACAGGAATTAGTCACTTGGGGCTAAGTCTGGGCTGTAGGGTGGGTGATTTAAATGTACAGCCCCGACTCAGCTTTGGCGTGGTTAGAGGGCTTATCTTTAAAATTTCTATAAAAGTGGTATTAAAAGCTTGGACAAATGTTTTGAGGTGAATGGAGATTATATTGAAAAAAAAAGTGCAAAAGATATTCTGCAACTTGGTCTTATATTAAAGTTGCAAAACCTCATATATCTCATGTCCAACATGTTCATGACCTGCACAATAAGTACTAACTATATAATCACGAAGGAAATAAGGAAATCAAGGGAAAGACGGAACGTATAAGCAATGGATATTGAATCATATGTGTTATGTTTTCAGCAACATCTATGCAAAAGTATTCAGTGGAGTTCAGCCTCATCTACCAGATGACATTAACCTGTTCCAACTTCCTGAAGGACGGCTTGTTGAGGGAGTTGAGGAGCAAGTTTGTGAATACCCTCTCTGTGCGGTGGCCGGGGCTGTGTGTTGATGCCTGCACAAACTTGGTTGCTACAGGACGTTGTGAAGCAACGAAAATACTTGTCAGTGCCACGTTGACAAAACTGGGGTGAGACGAAAACGGGGTGTTAAGAAATCTTAACAAATTGAATGTTTGTATCTGAATAACATATCTTATATATTAGTTAATGCATATTTATCAGTTTATTATTAAACAAGTTCATAAGTTGCGCCAAGGAAACACCTGTGATCATTATTGTTTGTATGAACTTACTATTAACAAGCAGAACAGATAGAAAATTGGATCCAAATGTATCCCATATTTCCTTTCAACAGAAACGTGATAGCCAAGCAAGACGGAACCATAACACTATCACCGGCCGAAATCATCAAGATTACAGCCATTGAGAGTAACGATTTGAGTGATTCAAAGTTCACGGTTAGTAAAAGCAAAATTAATGTCATTCGGTGAACACAACCCTTCCTTCCAGGAAAACACAGATACCTGTCCAGAGTGTCGTGAAAAAAACGTGTCATGATGCCGCTTCAGAGGTGGGCCTCTGTACACATGGATTAAACTGACTTCCACGGGGATAAAGTGTTCATACTCATGCATCCAGACAGACAGACTGAACAAGGGTACATTATGAACAGGTTGCTGTGACCTGTCTGAAAGGCAACATTAACTCACTCACAGGCCGAAAACAAAGCTGTGACGTTCATTTATCTTTATTGAAAAAACCTTTGTCAAGGTGCAGGAAATAACTGTGTGTGCAAGTGTCTATGCAAACCAGTCATTGCTGTACAGCTGCGGAGATCCTGATGGAGTAGGGGGTCATTGTGCATTCCTAACCAACTCGTGTTCTTCAGGGACAAGCCGAGTAGCGACTCGTGCCCCTCTCGCGGACATTTTTTGCGCCTGGGTTCCGTCTTAACGCCAACGGGCATAGTTTCGTAATGATTCACGTATATTTTATCCATGTTGTATATTTTCAGAAGCTTTGTAAAACACATCGGGACTTACAGTTTTTATAAAGTAAATTGAGAAACGTTTAACTGTATCTTTGGTATATTTTTAGATGTACGACATGCGTAAAATCAAACATTAGTCCTGAGTGATTCTTTGACCAAAGTACTTGAAGTCATACCCGCATTCAGATTGGTTCGTGGTAATGTCGCACATGACATTCGTCGATAGGGGTAAGAGTCTTCTTGCAGGTTACGGAAAAGGGGCGAGAGGTGACGAATGGGTAATTGCATTCTGCCGACATATAACTCGAATATAAGAGAGTGCAATTGGCATATGAAATAGACTGTCTTGCTAAACATGTCCAATGTTTACAGTATTTTGCCTGAGACCTCAAAAGCTTAGGACATTAGAAGACGATATGAAAATACATTTTCCTGAAGGTTTTATTTCTTTAAATTTGATGTCACTTTGGAATTGATTTTGTGATGACTGATATTTCGCGTGATTTTACCTGGTCAGTTGAGTATTTGTGGCTGTTTATTCATTATAATAATAGTTGCCCTACTTGGACGTGTAATTGATTAAGGAAATTAATCATTCTGTTATTCGCAAAATCTCTAATATTCCTTCTGGACATCGATCAGTCAATCATTTGCTTTATTATTGTGGTATTATTTGGGAACTCCACATTCCAACAGCTGCTACATCAGTGTGGACTTATGTAGACTGTATCATTCCGTTATTACCGTACTGTTGAGTTACTCAAACTATTACTGTCTACATCAATGTGGTGTTATTGAGGACATTCATTACTGTTATGATCTTACGCTGGTATTATTCAACGCATTTGTCAATCACTCAGTGGCATCATTACTTTAGTGTTATTCAATTAAGACCAGTGAAGATGCGGGATAGAATTGGTCTTCAGCAACCCTTCATGTCGTAACAGGCACCTAACGTGATCGGCTGTTCAGGATCGCTGACTTGGTTGACGCATGTCATCATATCCCAAGTGTGTAGATCAATGTTCATGCGTCACTCACTAGATTGTCTGTTCCAGACACGATGTTTTACAGACCGCCGTCATATAGCTGAAATGCTGAGTGCGGCATTGAACAACCAAAAATTCGTTGATTTCAGTCGTGATCATCATGTTCATCGGTTCAGTGTAGTTCTCAACTCTTGTGTTTTTCAGGACATCGGTCAGAGTGTGCTACAGAAGGACCTGGTGGTTGTTGTCCTCAAGGCATCCTGTGATGAAGCAGTCGGTACCAACAACTGTGGTGAGTAGCTGCATTGCATGTCTGTACCATTCTTAGCATCTGGTAGGGGAGAATGATCTAACTCCCACCTTATATTTGCGGGTTGCACGTATGTAGAGAATGACTGCCCATCTGTCTTCCAGTTGCCTGTGGTCCTGGGTCCTTCTTCAACTCCTCCCTCGGCATGTGTGTGCTGTGTCCAGTAGGCTCTTACTCAGACATGTCGTCACAGACCTCCTGCAAGTCCTGTGGAGTAAAGACCACTCTCCGACCTGGTGCAAAAGCTCTAGCCAGCTGTGTCGGTAAGTACCTTAAGCGATGATGCCAGGTTGTTGCGACAAGGTGAGTATATCCTGCGCCACTGGTGGCACCCGTCACAAACACAAAGTGGTAATCGTCAAAGACAAGCATTACTGCCGACTTTCCTCCAATATGAAACTGACATGCCGTGATATATCTGGAAAACTGTTCAAACCCAACTCACTCACTCACTCACTCACTCACATGCGCACACACACAAACAATAGCAAAAGCGAATTAAATGGTCAAATAAACCACGGGAACGTAACCGTGCGGGTAAATTCCGAGTAGGGACATTTTTGTGTTATTGATGCGTCAAATATGGCAAAACCTTCAAAATGTCTACCATAAAACGTTTTGAAATCTTGCTGAGGGCTGAATGTTGTTCAGCATTTTCCTTCATTTTTCACAATTTGTCAATATGTAGTTGCAACTATACTTGTGATCACCACAAAAGTAACAAATTCCCAATGGGTCAGGAATGAAGATGTTTCTCAAGTTTATCTTGACTTAACCCATTCAGAAAGATATTTACCAGGGTCCCAGTTTTAACCCAGTTTTGGCATATGGTTCAACAGCATCCATAATGATTTTCAAACTGTTATCCCAATTTGTAGGATGCTGCTCGCGATAAGTTGGTGACTATTTGAAGAACTGAATAGAGAAGTCACTTATGATTATATGATCAAGCTGTTGGTGGCAGTATGATGAGTTTGGGCAGCACCAACTAGTGGGATTTACATCATGGGCTGCCAAGTCCACGCTCTGCAAGACCTTCCTATAATTGAACGAATGGTGTTCGTACAGGACACTAAAACTACTGTTGGTTTGTATTTTTCAGACAAATGTCCGGCTGGTCAGTACTTCCAAGGCAGCAGCTGTAGCCCATGTCCACGTGACTACTACCAGGAGAAGGAGGGGCAGTCGTTCTGCTACCCATGTCCTCTACTCAAAAGAACCAGAGTGGTGGGAACAGACAATGAAACTAAATGTTTCAGTGAGTACAGTTTAATGTAAAAATAATACTATGCTGTGTAGACTACCGTCTGGAGACATGCTTGCCTTTGTTCGTGAATCACCGCTACCTACTATCGTGTGACGTTTTTCTCTACTAACTACTAAAGTTCGGGACTACATAGTCAGGACATTGTAATGTGACTGAGTACAATGAGCTATGCAAGTGACTCACAATGAATATTATCAATATATACATTCCAAACTTTGGTTAGCCTTTGACTAATAATAAATAGAATATGTTTGGTTTATATGTTGCATCCGTTGACATGTATGGTTTAGTTCCCTCCACCTGGGTGGAATGCAGACCAACGTATGCTGGAGTTTAGATATACAATATCAAAGTATATCAAAAACTTTTTGCTTGTGTTCAACCCCCATTCAGAAACAAAATATTCTGCAACTTCCTTTAAAAAAAGTACCAAAAGCAATCAAACTTCTTGTACCTACTTGCGTATTATTTTCCTAATGTTTGTCAATGGTCGGTGTGATCTCATCTGACTGAAAGTAGAACGAAATAGGATACATGTGTAATCAGTTGTGGAGCTCATACTATATGCTACGTTTTGCAATATTTTGAATTCTGATCAACATTTTACTTCTACACTTTGACCACTCTTGAAGCTAAAACATCTTATGTCCATTACTCAACCTTGTCTGTACAAATACAATGAGACCTGATAGGTGTACACTTTACAACATTTTCATTTAGGACCTTGTTTTTTTTCAAGCCCTTAATTTCTCTCAAAGGCTCTGTAAATTTCTTATCCATCTTACTGAGGATGTTTAACTTAGACTTGTTTCTCCTTTTGATGACATCATGGTTTGTTTAAATTAGGCATATCAGTGCTGACAGCAATTCATTACGAGTGTCTGTCTTGGTTGACACCATTTTATGGATAACAACTTCTTTAATACTGTAAAAATCGACGTTTCGGTATAGATCCGTATACCGTTGTCAAGCAAGACTGTTCACCATAGAAATCGAAAAAAAGAAAAACCAACTACCCTTCCTAGATGTCCTCGTCTCCAGAAGCCCAACAAACAGAATCTAAACCCGTGTCTACCGGAAATCCAACACACCGACCAGTATAACCACCCCCTAAGAACCAAGACTGGCATCATCTCCACCCTCACCACACGAGCCATCAACCATTCTTCTGTTTACCCCGAAACCGAGATCGAACACCTCAGCTATGTCTTCACCCACCTCAACTATTATCCACCCAATCTCGTTGACAAAGTCATCACCACTGTACTCCATCCCACACCCAGACCTGCGACCCTTAAACCCGAATCAGCGCCCTTCCGCATCGCCCTCCCGTCCATAGGAAAAGCCTCCCACATCATCAGCCACCTCCTCAAACAGCAAGCCAACATCGACACCCACTTCACCAGCTCCAACTCCCTCAAGATCCTGCTAAGAGCCAACGGCAGGAACACAACTAAACCCCAAGAGCCTAAAGGTGTAGTTTACAATATTTACTGTAACTATGGACAATCTTTCGTAGGTGAAACATCCCGTCCATTAAATACCAGAATGAAAGAGCATAAAACCTCCACCAATAAATCCGACACAAAATCAGCCATTTTGGACCATATCAGCAACTGTCCTAATCACAACAACAACTGGGACAACGTCCAAATCCTCTCCGACAACCTCCATGATTTCACTAAAAGAAAACTAACAGAAGCAGTCCACATTCGCCGCCACAAGCCATCAATCAACAGAGATCAAGGCTATTTCATCCCATCCGCCATCTATGAACTCATAATAATCACCTATCCTGTTTAATTGGCTAAATAACATTCTTGCTTGACAACGGTATAAGGATCTATACCCAAACGTCAATTTTTAAAGTATTAAACGGGTTGTTATCCATAAAACTGTGTCTACCTTGTCATCCGTCAACTTCTAAGTAATGCCAATCAAACAATTTAGAGTGTCTGTCTTTGTTGACATTTTAAACTGTTGATGAAATAGAGGAATCTGCTTAGCTACAGTAGCAGTGACACTACTGATTATGAATTCGAGTGATAATGTTGATCAACGTCGGTATGTTTTCACAATGAAACCTTGGTCACACAAACGATTTCCAATTCGTACCATCATGTTAAAATGTTTTAATGTTATTTCATTTTCTTCTTTAGACATTCCGAGAAGTAAGTAATGATATGTGGCTGATTTTGTTATTGTCTCATTGTTGCCATTGTGTCTCTTTTTGGGTCATGATTTGTCAAGGAACATCTAAGGATAGCTCGATCACGTATCTCAATCAGCGCTCTCAAGGGAATGTCTGTAACACGTCTGTATATGTGTATATGTTTCCCATGCGACATGTTGAATTATAAAGGTCATTGCACCAAGTGTTCTCACAGTATTGTTGTCAATACTTCTGCAGTCTATGCATCTACTTGCATCTGATATGCTCCTTTCGAACATAACACGGATTATTTTAGCAATATCAGGTATTTAGTGCATTGTTTTTTAAATCTTTTGTATTTTTCCACAGAGTGTTATATGTACAATGTGCTTCGATTGATAATCTGATTAGGAAGCCGGAAGTAGAATTTATGTCTTGGTTTGAGCATAGCCTATTTTAACAAAAATATCAGGCCAAAATATATTTTTCCAATATAGGAGGAGAAGAAACCAAAATACACGTCAAGCTTTTCATTAATTATCTTTCCAAAGACCGTATTTGCAGCAGATTTGAAATACTGTTTAAGATAATACTTGTTGTTTTCATAAGAAGATCAAAGTAAGATTAGATAAGATTTTCATAGATACGAGGTACATTGTATATCATATAGATCTAATGTGTTCATCATGTGAGCGTGCTGTGTGGATCTAATACACTTTGAGCTGCACGATGTATTGTTGGTATTTTGTACGTGAACAATTAGAATATGTGATTGCGTCCCCCTATTAAGTACCTCACGTGACTGTCATGAACACTTTGAGTAGTCGAGATCCTACTAATATAGGTCACATAACTTTGTGATATGTTTCTCTATCCATAAACTAAAATCATTTGAATATGTTGATGCAAGGTCACAAACACAACGATCCTTTTTATTGGATGATGCAAATTACAGTGTATTTTCCACGTTGCAGATGGCTGTCCTTCCGGCACTGAGTTGCAGGATGACGGATCATGCAAGGATTGTGCTCAAGGTTACTTCAGGACGCGCAATTTACAAGACAACTGTCAGAGATGTCCGAGAGGACGAACCACTGAAGGAACCAAGACAACCTCGTCGTCCGGCTGTAATTTACGTCAGTATCACGTTGTGGTAGATTTATTTTAAAACCAAAAGCAAATAGTTTTTATGTTAAAAGGTTATATTACCTTTTCGTCAACCTGGATGTGCTTGTTTATCTTCTTTTATTTTGGTATCTGGTATCAAATCAATATTCTTTTTGACAGCTGAATGTCCCCCAGGCAGATACATCGACATCAGCAAAGTATGTAGGATATGTCCGATAGGGGAGTTCCAGCCGATGAAATGGCAGAGATCTTGCATTACCTGTAACAACAGCTACACAACTGCAGCTGAAGGATCTATAAATGCTGCTGATTGTAAATGTAAGTGCTGGGAAACAACAACATCAATAATAATAGTAATGATAATCATAAGCGACATGATGGAGTGGCTCGATGATTTTATTACCGTCCTTGCCATGCTTGTGGCTTTGACACAGATGTCCATCTATGGTAAGACCAGGAATATGTCGAAAGGGTCATGGAAAATGATAAATACTAATTCTTTGGAATAGGCCCGTATATAGCCTCAGACGTATCCAGGCCAACAAACCCGATCTTGTCTTTTTTTTTAAATTCAATGAAATCATTTATATTATAGAATTTTCTGCCCGACTCCCCATTGTTCTCGGTGACTTAGGTTTGGTACCTCCCAATCTGTTGACTGACATTTGGAGAGTACCCGGGTGAGTTGCCAGGAATACAGCCCTTCTTACAATCTGGGTAAGGCAGAAGGCTGGAGTATTATGGAGTCTTTACATTCTCCCATTCACTGTTTGGGCTGTGTGTAGAGGGGCAACCGCCCTTAGGCTAACCATTCTGACAGTGCCAGGATCACCTAAACCCTCGTTGCTGCATTTTTTATGTTAATCTGTACATCATAATCTTAAGTGGAAGAAGAAGAAGGAAAATCATTCACTAATGCATCAATGCATTAAACAAAGTAATTATCTATTGCGCAACAGTATCATTTCCCCGGCCAATGGATCAGAATGCACTCCCTGAGGAGCATACAACCCCAAGCTAAGAAGGTTAACAGTAACCATCTCAAATACATATGTCGTGTGTCAAAATTGGTACCTGTTTTTCTGTGACACAACAGGCAGACGGACTTCATTTAGAAATTACATATCTTTAATCTGAAATGCCACATTTGATAATGGATGTTCTTGCAATATGATAGTATATTCATTTGTGGATGCCACTAGTGTGTGACACTGTACTCAAGCAATAGTCAGGAATGGTCTTTGTTCTCATACCACAGGATAAACATATAAGTGGATACATATATCTGTGGCAAGGTAACAACGCTGGGCATTACAATACACAAGGAGGAAACACTATCACAAATAGGGACGACATCAGGAAGGATGTACAAAAAGACTTACACATCACTTGGCATTTACAATTCTGTAATTGTTTTCGAGAACATGAGTGTGAATGAAATGTATCAATGTGCACATAGGCATATTTCCATCACATGGCTTGGTTAAATAGGGACATTGATGTATATACTATATGTATATACTGCTCGTGTATAATATTTACAGCAATATGTTCCTGTGTGAGTGGGTAGCATCTCAACTCAGTGTTGTATGATAACAGATGATGATTCTAGGTCAAGTGTGACATCAAAGAAACAAAGGTTTGGAACGAACTGAAACCTTTAATTATATAACTTAACGTAACATAGCACATTGTCTATTGCAGTCTTTTGTCAAGAAGGACGTGAAGAGTCTCCAGTAGGTTCCAAAACATGTTCACTTTGTCCAAGAGGCAAATACAGAGATAACACTATGCCTCTGAGATTCCTACCATGTCAAGCATGCGATACTGGATTCACCACCCAGACGGATGGATCTACAAATATAACCGACTGTTCCATCAGTAAGAACTTTGATATATCTGATCATCAGTAGACCGGCATCCTTGTTGTATTTACTTCAATAAGTTCATTCAAATCAATAGTACTATGTGTAAGGGTTGACCGGAATTGTGTGATGTCTTTGCCAAGATTAACATCAGATAGAGCCACCTGTTAAGAATAATGTAGTGAGCTTTAAAATGGTAAGGGTCGCTGTATATCAAGTGATCACATTGTTTCATGGTAGCATGACGTAACAGCTATCCAGTTAGTTCCTCATCACATGGACTCATCTCATCAAATGAAAGATACAAACCCCTCTCAATATATCAATCTTTATTTCTAAATTCTGAGAAAGTCGTGGGCATATAGGACATGTATACAAAGTAGTATTGTACATGTATGCAATAGAAGATACATAAATAGCAAAGATAACTGTCAAATTACATCAAGTCGTTAAGTAAGCGCATGCTTTCTAAGATTCATGGCAGGGAATATGAATATATAAAGTTGTTTACTGTGACAGTAGTTTTAGTTTTCATTACTGAGTAACATTTGTGCAAGTGAGGATCCTTGAGAAAATAGATCTTGATTAATCGTTTCTAATGTCAACATAAAATTTGAAACAAACAAGTAAAAAATGATATATGATATCTTCTATGTTATTACAACTACACAGTAAACAGATTCTGTCTTCTCTTTAAATTCTGCTGTGTCAACCAGATTCAATAAGAAGATCGGGAAAGTTGCATATGAGTCGGGCTAACGCCACTCTGAATTTCTTTACATCTTTTTATTACAAAAAGCCTTTCCAAAGTAATAAGCAATCTTCAAAGTACATTGTACGATTCCGACAAAAGCATTAGCATGTGTTGATGGCTAACTATCAAATAATGATGATGGCATGTGTTAGCGAAATGATGAGCGTATCCTGCCCCACCGGTGGCATCTGTCACAAACTCGTGCAAAGGCAAGTCAAATGTTCACAACCTTCCATATATGACTTGATATGTTTTACTGGCTCCAAACATGTTCATTTTGTATATTTGCCTAAATGGTATCTTCAACATTGACAAGTAGCTTATTTAGTTTTGTTTCAGACTATATAAAATCCAATTATTTATGTCCATACTGTGAACAGGGATATGCACAGCAGGAAACTACAGGAACACGACTGACAATATGTGCTACCAATGTCCTATTGGGGAATATCAACCTTTGGATCTCCAGGAACAGTGTCTATCATGCAATACCAGCTACAGTACCAAGAGCACTGGAACCATCAACGCCACTGAATGCATCTGTGAGTTGACAGTTATGAATACTCATCAAATCAATGGTAACACTTAATCATATGGCACTTGAGAGTTCCAAAACTCTGTCTTTGCGAACGGGATGTTAGGTACCTGAGCAACGCGAGTCAATCCAAATATAGAACATTTGTAGGCGCAATTGTCGCAATGGTGCATTTCTTTCTCGCATATCAACTCTATTGATAGGGCCGAGCGTATTGCGAATCCAATATTCTTTCAGTTTCCGATGACCATTGTACCAGTAAGAATTTACTTCTGCCAAACATTTACCCATGCTAATTTCCTTACCAAAGTAAATTAAAGAAGACCATGCCTTTGGGTATTTTTTGCAGTCTTCTGCCCAGATGGCAAAGAACAGAAAACACCTGGCACCAAGAACTGTACGCCCTGTTCCCGAGGAACTTACCGCTCCAACACAGACCTACTAAGATTTAAGACCTGTCAAGCATGTGCTGATAGCACAAAATCAACAGACGACGTTGGCTCTAAATTTCCAGAGGATTGTAAAATTAGTAAGTTTTCTGTTTTAACCTTTCAAGCAATTGAGTGAATGAGTTAAAAAAAACTTACCTCTCATCGGCACTATTACTGCCAAAAAGCGATTAGATAAGTTAATTATTTTTAAATACCAAAAACAGTAAAAAGAAAGATACGTATCATAGTTTAGGTATAAAATAAACCAGATCAAAATAAAGAAAATTCATTTTTCTGTAGGTTAGTTAGTATGTGTAGACTACTAGCGAAACAAACCTTAGTGGGCATCATGGAACTAACGGTGCTTCTGTTCTCCATATGATTCCCCAGCAGGATTTATGCTGTCACTTTGGTCACCAGTTGGCCACTATCTGAGGGACAATAATTTCACACTACCGTAACAGCCTGAATGGCACCGGCTTCAAACTCTCAGTTGATAATAATATTACACTGTTCTAAAACAATTCAAAATGTTCAAAATGTATCAGATATCTTTAAAAAGCAAGACTTAAACAAGCACTGACATTAGTAAAACATTCTAAACGATAATAACTATCCCTCGCGACAACCAAGACATGATTCACAGTGATCCTTTCATCGCAAGGGTTAAGCAATTAGAGCTATATAGAAAACAAATGTGAACAGAATTTATCATCAAAAACTGGCTCCCACAGGAGATATCACTTGGGTGAGATCAAGCGATATCTACATTGTAGATGCTTTGAAAACCATTGTGACATCATTGGTTACCATTTCAATCAAATGACATCACTTATTGCTCTGCAACTGAAGCTGTTACCAGTGCTTTTTACACTGGGCCTACAATTTCGAAACGATCGTTGCCCTAAAGTTATCGTAAAGCTACCGTAAGGACATCGTAGGCTATCGTAGCCTATTTTCGAAACTATCGTAGCTCTGAGATATCTGTGTAAATCTAAGACAGCCCCATACCTGTCGTAAGTTTATTTTATCCAAGATGGCGGCATACTTTGCCATAGACATTTTGCGAAACAAGAAGTCTGCTTTACGGTCAAACATTGACATTTCATTTTGTTAAACTGGGTGATTCAAACTGACGCTTCGAAAACACGAAGAACCCATCAATGATTTCACATCAGATGTGTTCTTAATCGCGACAGCGATCCACATAACTATGGAGTGTGAAACAACGTACCTTTAGGATAATTTGGGAAGGATAAAAATGGAAGGTGTCGGTAGACAGTAGTAATGACCGTGACCTTATTGATAACTCAGGGCCAGGTAATCTTAGTTCATACTCTACTCGAGACTTTGCTAAATATGAAAGGTTTGATAAAGCGCAGAGTTCCCCAGTTATATTGTCTAAATCGCATTTGTGTTACTGCTTTAGTCTTTATTTTCACAATTTATAAAATTATATCAATCTACATATGTAAAAAAACATAAATGTTTCGCATCAGTTTTTACATCTAAAATTTTGTGGGTCGAGCGGTTTTAACAATTGAATTTAACTATACAGTGTAGTATTTATTGACTTAACATGAAAATTCTTGTGATCAAAATATTTGGATGGTATATTTAATATTTTTAATGCAAAAGTAATTGTATTTTGTTTCGTTTTAATACCTAGGTTATCTATACTATTGAACGACACATATTTGATAAGAAGTGAGTAAAAACTGTCTGTTCAACAATTGCATTCTTCAAAAACAGGGGATTAAAGGCACATAGCTGTATTCCATTAAATATAACAATTTAATGAAATTTTGACAGCAAAAGTTAAGCACAGATTTTCGTATCAAAATCAAATAAAAAATGGGTTACCATGCTCGGTCGTGTTTAAAATATCGTCAAAAAGTAGAACAGTTTGAACATCGTCCAAAATTCACTTTCAAATATATGTTCGCAGAAAACGTTTGCTGAATTAAATTTACTGATCAATATATAATAGACATCTTTAACAAATGGACAAATAATGGTAAATGATCCTCAGCAATGCTGTCAGACAAGCTAAACATCATCGAACTACGTTCTGGAATAGATTTGACACATTTACAATGTATTTCGCTCCTCAGCCAGATTAAATGAAATCAGTTTATTAGCTCTACTTAATTTTCTGTCAGAGTTACGATAGCTATGGTATCATTCTGCCATCTGCAACAGGTTTACGATTGTTTCGAAAATCTATCTTATCTTAAATTTCAGATGTCTAAACTTTGAACGTCAGTTGTTAAGATTAATCGTAGCTAAGATCGTTTCGAAAATATAATCCCTTCTTTTTACTGTCTTCAAACTGAAAAAGTTGGAAGAATGATGTTGGATAATAAATAAAATATCACCTCTTGTCTTTTGACAAACCCTCGTAACTCGTTGATAAACACTCGCCGATGAACACTCCTTGGCAATCTGGAGTTTTTCCAGTCTTATCAACTCGGTTTGATATATTTGATATAAAAAAACATTCTCAATACGTCAAGATTCTCTACTTGTGCAGTCAATGTTGTTACAATGTTTGTTACAATAGAGGTATGCACTGCTGGACAGAAGCTGACAAGTAACATGTTGGGATGTGTGGACTGCCCTGTAGACACATATCAACCAGAGGAGCTTCCCAGAACCACAACGCAGTGTCTAAACTGCTCCACAAACCAAGGCACAAAGCAGCCCCAAAGTGGAAATAGTTCCGCCTGTCTTCGTAAGTAGAGTGAGTGAGTTTGTTTTACGCCGCTTTTAGCAATATTCCAGCAATATCACGGCGGGGGACACCAGAAATTGGCTTCACACATTGTACCCTTTTCGGGAATCGAACCCGGGTCTTCGGCGTGACGGGCGAACGCTTTAACTATAAGGCTACTTGACCGCCCCTCGTACGTAGAGACCACAAACAGATATACCGCGGGAAACAAATAAGGGAACACCATTTCATTAAAGTGTCCCTATGTTTATTCCCCGATTTTTACCCACATTGACATCCCTAGCCTGGGAACAATAAAGGAGCACTTGTATTTTCATGTGTTCCCTTATTTGTTTCCCTCAGTGTATATTCTAATCTTATCAGCAAGAGTCCGCTACAAATACAGCCGACAAAGCCATGTATGTGAATGCTTGGTGAGGTGGACGTTCTTAACGATCATATGTTTATTCCATAAGCATTCTGTGCTGCGGGCCAGCAGGTCAATGGCACTCAATGTGAGCCATGTCCTAGAGGGACCTGGAACGATGGATCATCCCAGAGGAGGTTTTCGGCCTGTGAGTCGTGTTCTAATGCTGATTTTACCACAGAAACAACTGGTGCCACCGATGCTACACAGTGCACACTAAGTAAGTCCATTTTCATAACGATCTTAGCCGGCTGTACGTAATAAATATATCAATTATTTACATTAATTTATATGGAATTTACCCATCAGTTGTTTTTCTGTAAGAATAATTGTTGTAATTAATAACTTTAGGAAACTGTCAGCCTGGGTACAAAATTGGTGGCAGTGCCTGCGAGCCATGTGGATATGGAGAGTATCAACCACTTCGGGCACAGGTCAAATGTGAAAGTTGTGGCGTCGATCTGAATACGTCTTCAACTGCCTCCACTTCCAGAGCTCAGTGCACAAGTAAGTGGGCATTCGATTAAAACATCCACTCTTAAACCTAATACAGACTAGGTCAGTGTACAAATATAGTGCCATCAACTGTAAAATATGGTTCAAACCAGGTCAGTGTTTTGTTATGTGTTGACTTTTTTAACTGAACACCGGCAAAGCCAAGAGTCTAAATAGTATCAATAAGTCCAGGCACTTGACAGTACACTCAAGAATGTTAAGTATTTGTCACAGTTGAATGTCGTTCATAAGGCACGTAATGCGTTTTTGAATCCAGGAATCAGGGTTGGAAACAGACAGCGATGTTTTGCTTCAGGTTTTCCAACAGGTTAAGTTGTTATCCGAAATATGGCCTTCTGGAAATATATGCATCTGATTAAGTTGTTGTCGTCTGTCTTATTATATGTTGTAGTTTAAACTCCACATCTTTTACAGTTTCTTGTGCTCCTGGAAAACAGGGTCAGAATAACGTATGCTCCCCTTGTCCTGAAGACACGTTTAAAGACGAGGCCGGATTTGCTGTGTGCACCCCATGTTCAGGCAGCAAGACGTCAGACGCAGCGAGAATCACCTGTAGTGTCAGTAAGTAGGAGATCCGAGATACTTCAGTGTAACATAATCTCCTGTAGTGTCAGTAAGTAGGAGATCCCAGATACGTCAGTGTTACAGAAACTCCTGTAGTGTCAGTAAGTAGGAGATCCCAGATACGCCAGTGTTACAGAATGTCCTGTAGTGTCAGTAGGTAGGAGATCCCAGATACTTCAGTGTAACATAATCTCCTGTAGTGTCAGTAGGTAGGAGATCCAAGATACGTCAGTGTTACAGAAACTCCTGTAGTGTCAGTAAGTAGGAGATCCCAGATACGCCAGTGTTACAGAATCTCCTGTAGTGTCAGTAAGTAGGAGATCCCAGATACGCCAGTGTTACAGAAACTCCTGTAGTGTCAGTAAGTAGGAGATCCCAGATACGTCAGTGTTACAGAATGTCCTGTAGTGTCTGTAAGTAGGAGATCCCAGATACGTCAGTGTAACATAATCTCCTGTAGTGTCAGTAAGTAGGAGATCCCAGATACGTCAGTGTAACATAATCTCCTGTGGTGTCAGTAAGTAGGAGATCCCAGATACTTCAGTGTAACATAATCTCCTGTAGTGTCAGTAGGTAGGAGATCCAAGATACGTCAGTGTTACAGAAACTCCTGTAGTGTCAGTAAGTAGGAGATCCCAGATACGTCAGTGTAACATAATCTCCTGTAGTGTCAGTAAGTAGGAGATCCCAGATACGTCAGCTTCAGTGTTACAGAAACTCCTGAGTGTCAATTCTGTAACACTGTGCATATTCTGTAATGTCAGTAAGTATATGACAATTGATACTAGAAAATCCGGAGATTAAAAAAAGAAGCTGATTATGCCAACAGTCTTACAACAACAAACACATTCTGTGTACAAGAAGGATTTTCTATAATGTATTGGGTACTACCCTAACGGTAATTTTGACACAACTGCACCGTCATGTTTCAGCGTTCTGTGACGTTGGCGTTGGTTATGACGCGGCTGCGAAGACGTGCACTGTCTGTCCCGAGGGGCTCTACAAGGACACCAGGGGCAATACTGCCTGCACGCCGTGTCCCATGAACTACACCACTGCAGGCACCAATGCCACAGACTCAGCAGACTGTAACATATGTAGGTAGTTTCGACTATACATTGTAGCGTGCATGTACAAGGAAATAACAATAATTATAGTTAATTGTTTATGCTATTAATTGCTGAATTTAACCTCACAGTGACACACAGCTCATTGAACTTAACCAGATCAGAGACATATTGCATATTGCAACATGTAATTTAGTTTAATTTATTATACCATTTTGTATAACTGCTGAACGTTGGACATATGGTCAGTGATCACATAAAGTTGTGTTAAACCTTCAGGTATTTTTAGTGCTTTGTGCTCAGAATGGTGGTATTCACCCTACGACATTGTGTATAACGTTGCCGAGAATTCCTGGTGGTGATATACACCTCTAGTTATCAGAGATATTGTCATTTCTGTTTTTTTGGTTAGTATAGAACTAGCCTTTGTCCGGGAATATAAGTTATTAGAAATCTTATCAGAAAAGAGCATTGTCGTTTACTCACAAACCTTCAAAAAGGAACATTTCTTTATCAAACGAGGTGTATCGTCATAAATATCTTTTAGACATTGTGTTGTCAGCTGAAACGATAAACTTAAAACCATCAGCAGCATCTTTCAACAAATAATCACCATTTCTCAAAGGGAGGGTGGTGATTCATAAAGGTCTTTGAATGAATTAAATTTCTATGTGAACTTAAATGTATTTAATTGTCTTTTATGCATTTCTTAGTTGCTTGTGCATTCTGAACTGCTTTCGGTCTTGCTTGGTCGAATGTACCAGTTTATCAGGGGGCATTATCGCTTTTTTATTTCTTGTTATTTTTTACCTTTACACCACATACAATTATTCATTCCTTTGTTCCTGGCCTGTAGATATAAAGCGTTATATTTCGCAATACGTACCATTCACGTGAAGGTGGACATACGCTACGGTGTATATGTTGTATTTCTTACCCTATAGTATGAGAGCTCTGTTATATTCCAGTGAACTGTGAGCCGGGATTCTTCGCCCATAATACAGAGACGTGCACAGCGTGTCCTAAAGGTTACTACAAGGCCAGTGTTGGAACGGAGAACTGCACCAAGTGTGATGCTGACAAGACCACACAAGCAGAAGCTTCCACAAACCAGAGCGCCTGTTCTCTTGGTAAGGGTTCTATAAAATGGCAATTGGCTTAACTGCATATGCCTGAACTGACCAATAGTTGTGAGAGTGAGAGGAGTGAGCTACTTCTTACCATCTATAATCTCGAACGGTTGCGCAACCCATGCTAACCGGATCGGGTGGTCAGGTTCGCTGACTTGGTTGATGCATGTCATCGTATCCCAATTGCATGGATCGATGCTCATGGCGTTAAACAGCAAACAAACAAAAAAGGTAAAACATTCCTTGTTGATATGACAATTGATATATCGGCCACGAACAGTAATCATTCAGTGCGTGCGTGCGTGCGTGTGTGTGTTGTGTATGTGCACGTGCACACGTGTATTAGTAGATTATGGGATGTGATCCTGAAATTTTATTTAAAGCAGCACTAAATTCGACCAGCCACCCTTCAGTTCGTCTGTAAAACAGTCAGTATTCAGTAATTTTGTTTCAGGATGATAATGGAGTCAAAGTCAAAGTCGATATTTATACAAACAGGATGAGACTTATAGCAGCTGTTGGTGTATTTCAGCGGTGTGTCCTGCTGGGCAGTACCGGTCAGCGGACAACACCTGCCAGATGTGTGCAGTCGGGGAGTACCAGCCGGCGTCAGGGCAGACAAACTGTACAAAATGTGACACTGGATTTACCACAAAAGCGACAGGATCAAATATGACAACAGATTGCTTAAGTATGTGTCAGAGAGATACGCCAGTAGAAGTTCCGCCATATTCCTTCTGTGGTTTTATTATCACAGAGAGCGTCATTATCCTGTAGAGCGCCATTATCATGTTACTGACTGACTGACTGAGTATGGTTTTAAGCCGCTTTTAGCAATTTTCCAGCGATATCACCGCGGGGGACACAAGAAATGGGCTTCACACATTGTACCCATGTCGGGAATCGACATTAACATGTTAAGTGTCATTATTATGAAGAATGCCATTATCATGTATCATGATTATCATACAGAGATAATTCCATTATCCTGTATCATGATTATCATACAGAGTGTCATTATCATGAAGCATGACAGTATCCTGCACAGCGTCATTATTATTTAGAGCGCCGATTTCTTGTAGAATGTCATTATCATGAGGAGCATCATTATCATGACTGTACAATGTCATGAAGAGCGTCATTATCATATAAAGGGTCATTACCACCTAGAACGTCATAATCATGTAGAGCATCATAATCATGTAGACTGTCATTATAATGTAGGGCTTCATCCCCATGTAGAATATCATTATCAGGTAGCGCGTCATTATCATCTTAAACCTCCTAATCATATAGACCGTCAATATCATGTAGAGCGTCATTACCATGTAGAGCATCATTATCATGTTAAGTGTCATTATCATATAGAGCGTCATTTTTATATAGAGTGTCATTATCATGTAGAGCGTCATTATTATATAGAGCGTCATTATCATGTAGAGCATCATTATCATATAGAGCGCCATTACCATGTAGAGCATCATTATCATGTTAAGTGTCATTATCACATAGAGCGTCATTATCATGTAGAGCATCATTATCATATAGAGCACCATTACCACGTAGAGCGTCATTAGCATGTAGAGCGTCATTATCATGTAGGGCATCATAATCAGGTAGAGTGTCATTATCATGTGATTGTCATTATCATGGAGAGCATCATTATCGTATAGAGCATCATAATCATATAGAGCGTAATCCCCATGCAGAGCATCATTATCATATAGAGCGCCATAACCATGTAGAGCATCAGAATCAGGTAGAGCGTCATTATCATGTAGAATGTTATTACCATAAGGAGCATCATGATGATGTATGGCGTCATAATCATGAAGAGAGTCATTATCATTTTAAGTTTCATTATCATATAGAGCGTCATTATCAAGTAGAGCATCATTATTATATAGAGCCACATTACCATGTAGAGCATCATCATAATGTATGGCGTCTTAATCATGAAGAGAGTCATTATCATGTAGAAATTATCATTATCAGGTAGAGCGTCATTATCACCTGAAGCGTCATTACCATGTAGAGCATCATTATCATGTAGGGTATCATTATCAGGTAGAGCGTCATTATCACCTGAAGCGTCATTACCATGTAGAGCTTCATTATCATGTAGGGTATCATTATCAGGTAGAGCGTCATTATCATGTAGAATGTCATTATCATGGAGAGCATCATTTTCGTGTAAAGCGTCATTACCACGTAGAGCATCATCATAATGTATGGCGTCATAACCATGAAGAGAGTCATTATCATGTAGAATGTCATTATCATATAGAGCACCATTACCACGTAGAGCGTCATTACCATGTAGAGCGTCATTATCATGTAGGGCATCATAATCAGGTAGAGTGTCATTATCATGTAGAATGTCATTATCATCGAGAGCATCATTTTCGTGTAAAGCGTCATTACCATGTAGAGCATCATCATAATGTATGGCGTCATAATCATGAAGAGAGTCATTATCATGTAGAATGTCATTATCATGGGGAGCATCATTTTCGTGTAGAGCGTCATTACCACGTAGAGCATCATCATAATGTATGGCGTCATAATCATGAAGAGAGTCATTATCATGTAGAATGTCATTATCATGGAGAGCATCATTTTCGTGTAGAGCGTCATTATCATATAGAGCGTAATCCCCATGTAGAGCATCATTATCATAAAGAGCGTCATAACCATGTAGGGCGTTATAATAAGGTAGAACGTCATTATCATTGAGAGCATCATTATCATGTAGAGCGTCATAATCATGAAGAGAGTCGTTTTCATGTAGAGCGTCATTATCATGTACACATGTAGGGCGTCATTATCAGGTAGAGCTTCATTAACAGGTAGAGCGTCATAATCATGAAGAGAGTCGTTTTCATGTAGAGCGTCATTATCACCTGAAGCGTCATAATCATGTAGAACGTCATTATCATGTAGGGCGTCATTATCGGGTAGAGCTTCATTATCAGGTAGAGCATCGTGGAGAGTGTCACGGTGCATTATTTAGTAAACCAGACTCAAGTCACTTACAATAATGGTATCCTGACCATGTCAAAACGATGTTCACAATGTGCTGTTGCAGTCGTGTGTTCCGCGGGGAAGTATCGGAGTTCCCGCACTGTCTGCAGCGTCTGTGACGTAGGAACATACCAGCCCAACACCGGGGCCGAGTCCTGCATCAACTGTACCACTGGCTTCATCACCTCCAACAACGCCTCGACGGCGGAAAGTGACTGTTATAGTAAGTAGAACATGCAGCCACCGCTCCACCCACCTTTTCCCTCGCACCGGAAAGGTTGTTGTTGTTGTTGTTTAACGCTGGACTCAGCAATATTCCAGCTATGTGACGGCGGCCTGTAAATAAGCCTAGACCACACAATCCAGTGATTGATATAATGAGCATCAAACCATGAAATTGGGACACGAAGGCATGCATCAACCACGTCAGCGCCCCTGACCACTCGGTCCCGCCTGTTGCCTCTAACGACTAGCGTGGGTTGCTGAAGACCTATCCTAACCCGGATCTTCACAGGTCGCACGTGGAAGGATATACGTAGGAATATAATAATGGCAAATCGATCAAATGTTATGAACCACGACACTAAAAAAAGATACGCGTTCCCAAACAACACAAATATCGTCTCATTCATGAATAAGTTTACTTCATGGCCAATTATGTATTGAGTGAATAAACACAGATGTTGGCATTCTCACCTGGCAGGTGTAAAACGAGCACCCTGAATGCATTAATGGTACAGTCCGAAACTAACGGTGCCCAATGAAGGTCTGTCTTTGTGCCACAGGTGATAGATCGCTTACGTAGCCTGGTGCATGGGCCGCCTGCCCAGAGAGTGGTAGATCGGTGGTTCGATCCCCGTACCGAAAGATGTTAAAAATAATATTTTCTCCCTGGCGATAGGCGTTAAGGGGATAAAACAAGTACTGGTCGGCTCAGAGTCAGCATACTTTCTCTGAGTGTTGTATTCATGTCAAACTGCGGCATGGTATCTGAGTGGGATAGTACTATGAATCCGTCATTAACTGGTACAAGCAACCACACACACAAGTGCATGCACGTCGATGATATAAGTGCAATAATCCCGAACACGACGTAAAACCCCATTTCACCTCAACTTCATATGTGATACACTTGCCTTCATTTCAAACGTTTTATTACACAATTATGTACGCATCGTTTGGTGGCAGATCGTGTGATAATGTCAGTGATGACAGCTTTGTCTTCATCGGATGATAATACATCTTTGTCATGTCTTAATCTTTGTCAATTGCTTCCAGGGCTGTGTCCGGCTGGTCAGTACCGTCCAGCCAGTGACCGCAGAGCGTGCAATGAATGTATGCTGGGCACCTACCAGCCGTCAAGTGGCAAGACGAGGTGCATCACCTGCACGCCCGCTGGTTACATCACATTACAGAATGCCTCTACCAAGGCGGACGACTGCATGCGTGAGTGTTTCTCCTCCAACTGTGCAGCAGTCGTATAATTTGTATAAGTTGTAGTCATGGTGTATGAGAAGCATACGGGATATATTTTAACAAAGTGAAACTTTAGAAAAAATATTGTTATAACTATCTTCTCCTATAGACAAAGAGCTGGTAAGTACGTCATTCACATATATAGCATTACACATTTTGATATAAGCATAAGGAAATTTTGTTTTCATCAATAAATGTCGTTATGTCAAAATAGTTTTGTAGGACATGTTTAAATACTAACACAGCCATTCACAAACCTTGATTGACACTTTTCAAGATCAAATGTTGAAAAAAAAATGTATGATGAATCAATTGCCCAAATCCATTGTGATGTCCTTCCAGCTTCGTGTGGCGCAGGGAAATACCTTAATGTGACGTCACGCTCGTGTATCCCGTGTCCCCTTGGCACCTTCTTGCCCACAGCAGGAACCACCACTCAGTGTCGCCTGTGCCCCACCGGCAGAACAACGACCTTGACGGGTGCAACTCAAGAAGCCAACTGTGACCTTGGTACATCCCCATCAATCAATACTTGCTTCATATTATGGCATTATGTCGTCATCCAATAACGTTGATCGACCAGAACATTTACAAAATGTGCCACAAATGTAACATATGTTATATTCGGGGTAACACTTTCCTGGTAAAATACACATTCTCGTCCTTGTTTTGTGTTGAGTCCAGTCCGGGATTCGAAACCACACCGCCAGAGTGAAGCACCTAATCGCACACAAAGTCAGCGATCTAACTCACTCACCCACCGAGGCTTCCACAAAAAATTGAAGTCCGACAACTGGTAGTCTAGATCAGTACTTTGTGTACCCCTCTTACAAGTGTACTTTACATGTGTTACTTTTGACCACTTTCTAAATGGCATTGTGTGATCATATGCAACAGATGTTATATTCCAACATATACTATTCAAAGGAAGTTAAAGAACCCCCGATGTATTGTCACATTACCTTAATTAATATGTCAAGCCATGACAAATTATTAATAGTAATCCTAAAAAATAGGGTGTTCTTTTACCTTTTTGGAGTCATAACGTAGGATGCAACAGCCAAAGCACTCAGCAAATCAGCCTCATTAGACCACCAGCAGAAATTCCCCAGCCATCCAGTTCAGTTTGACAAAGTCCAAAATCCATCTACCAATCATCAGGACTTCACAAAAGGAAAACTCCCAGAAGCTTTAAAAATACGTTGTCACAAGCCGTCGATCAGCAGAGATCAAGGGTATTACACATCGTATGCCTGTGGAGCGCTTATCAAGCAATAGGCCTTTGTAATCAGCTTGTCTTGTTAATCCTTATCCTAACTGTACATCTGGCTTCATTACCTGTCTGTTACTCATTAAGCAGTTATTCACGTCAATCTACTGCTGATCATAACACATCATGTTCATGACATAGTTAACTACTTTTGATTAGTATATATTGTCCTCTTTTCATAAAGTTAAAAAAAATACATTTACTTTGGATTGTTTAACTATTCTTTGTAGCCAAAACAAAGTTATATGACAAGAAATGCATAAGGTTGTTTATGTCGCCTGTTAATCTGCATGATACGAGTGGCATGCAGAAAACTCTTGTGGCTCCATGTACTTGCTTGAGAAACCAGAGCAATAAAGTCTCAGTTTTATTAAAAAATTATATTATTAAAGGTATTGTACTTATCATTCAAGTATTAGAAGGACACATTTGCCATATATTGCCACATATGGAATGTTCTGTTCTGTTTTAGTTGACTGTCAGCCAGGTTACTTCAGAAAAGAGAACCAGGGTTGTCAGGCATGTGGCAAGGGGTTCTACCAGCCGACCAGAGGACAGACATCTTGTATAAAGTGTGACGTGAACACGACTACATTTCTCTCTGTTACTAATGCCACAGACAAAGCCCAGTGTATCGGTAAGAATTAACCACATGTAACCCATGTAGATATGTAAGTATTCACTGAAGGGGGTTTCCAACTGTCGAGTTCTTTCATTGATATATTGTTTGAAGCGGCCGTTAGTTTCATTTGTTATTGCAATGTTATGATCACACTGCCACTGCTAGTTTTTAGTATTTCTGTAGCTGTCAATATATGATCACACTTCCATCATACTGACTATGGCATAATGCAATATTGCTGCCTATATTGTCCAATTTTCCATGATCTTACCCTCTCAGATTGACACCCTCTAGGGGGTCACTCGTCCTCATATAGTGGTTGTTTGTTTGTTTGTTTGTTGTTTAACGCCGCAATCAGCAGTATTCCAGCTATATGACATGATCTGTAAAAAATCGAGTCTGGACTAGACAATCCAGTGATTACATAATGCGCATCGATCATATAGTGGTACTTCCGGTATACAAGAAGCAGGTGGCCTCGAGATCTTGTAATTACGGTTCATTGTTTACACAGCTGTATCTTAATAGGTTCTTACATTTTGCCAATTCCATTGCAAAACAAGCTATAATGAACATTAAGACGGATCTTATATTTCGCTCATGAAGATACTTGTGCAGAAAACGCTGAAATCTGCCATAAAACATATTGGCAATTCCATCCTCTTGGCTGTTTCATGAATGTTAGCGCCTTTCATCTGACCCTTCAATCTTGCTGGGAAAGGTTGTACTTCAGTCACTTTGTAAATTAATGTCTAGAATTTCACATATATTATACAATCATAATCAGGATTATGTTTGAAAAGAATCTACTTAACATTTAGTTCCTATATGTCATTAAACACAATTTTAAATTAGCCCCAAACTCACCATATAATCACGATGGTCTCTTCTTCAGCTGACTGCGCTGAGGGAACTGGATATAATCGACTAACAAAAGCATGTGACTCCTGCCCAATCGGTCAGATCCGGAAACCCAACATCAGCGACTACTGCTACTTCTGTCCTACTGGTCAGACTACGGCATTTGCAGGATCAAAGACATGCTTGGCTTTCCAAGGTGAGATATGGAAGTTGGCTCTACACAATTTCCTTAGATTTGACATAGAGTGTTTAGCTTCTCCATAAAGATCTATTTTCTTACACTTACTTTATCGTATTGTGTATACTGTCGTAATCTGTGTTTTCTTCCTCTTGAAGCGACTACACGGGCACCTGTGTTCAGGACAGTGACAGTACGGATGTCATTCTTTGTAACGTCATGCCAGAACCCGACTTTGATTCATAACACGATCACAGCACAGATCAGGTTCTTAATCACAATCCGTGCAAGCGTGTTCCCGGGCCTCTGTCAGGGCAGTTCCTGTGGTAACATTGCGATCATCATCATAGTTCCGTGCGGAGGGACCCGCAGGAAGAGGCAAACAGGAGAAACAATCACTGCTGAAGTAAAAGCGTCAAATCTCCCGTAAGTGAAAAACACTCAACCTCCAATTATTATTTTTGCAAATGTATGAGGACAATTGTAAATATCCAATTACTCTACGGCTTTGAATAGATATTATGTCATGTCCTTTTTCATACAACACGTGAGTTCCACAGCAACACATGCTTGTCATGAGAGGCGATTACATGGATCGTTGCTCAAGCTCGGTGACCTGGCTGATTGTGCGGTAAAGAATCCCTGTAGCATGAATCGAAGCCTGTGATGTCAGTCGCTGACAGAATCGATTATTTACAGCCATCCGTCATGTGTTGCTGAAACCGACAGACAAACAAACAATAATATAGTTGTATTTTGGCGACAGAGAGCAAATACCCAACACAGACAACACTATTTCAAGAAGTCCTGAATCGCTGCTGGTGCAGGCTCTGGACGATAACGCTGCTGCCACCCCGGTCCTGGTAAGTCTGTACATGTTTCAGGTTCAGTGATCACCTTGGTGTGTGAGATCGTCGTGCATTCATGATAATCTGTCTCATTGCATTGCATGCAAGATAATTTATCAACCTTCAGGGATAAATATTCTTTATAAGGTTGAAATGTACCCGGCTTAAAAATGTAAATAAAAGCCATAAAACGTTTACCAAAATCAGAGTCCAGTGTACGAGTGGATTATCACTACCTACTATCACTAATGTGGTTGAAGCTGTCACAGACTCAATTCAGTACGTAGAAACTGCAGTGTTTTATGAACTCACATGTTGGTCTGGTGCTTCAATGTAAAAAGTGGAATGTTTTGGCCTTTAATACTCCAAATTTCTTTTGATTGTTACTTTGATAAACAGATGACAAGTAAAAGGTAATGTTACTCACAGGTACCCAGCTATTGTCTAACTGTTCTTACTGATAAATTATATGTGTTGCTTCCTGAGAATTAGCGTGTTCGTGACTGTTGTTCTCTCACTGATTCATTGCGCCGGATGCCATAGGTGTCGTTATGTTAAAACAACAGATGCGCTTACCATATCATCCCCCTTTGCTATTCTGATGTTATCATCTGACTGTGTAATTTAGAGAGTGACCGACCCTGTTGGGACTTACGTGTTGTCCGTACGACAGGTCCTCTCCTTCACATTTCCCAAAATAATTCCACGATAATCTGTAAATCCTCGTATTTTCAGAATGTAAAAAACAAATGGTTTTAGTCACGTGTTTGTTACCTCAACAGTACTCAAATGCCTTTGTCATTCTTTCAAATATATGACCAGAAAAAATCCCGGATGCATGATATCAAGTGACTTAAAATGTTGGAGGCAATGGTGGGTAATAAAGTGGAGTAAGGACAGTGCATGTGCCCATGAGATAGGGGTGTAAGTGTATATCAGTGTAAAGGGATGATATACATACATTGTAGCAGAATTACCTCCTGACCTCTGTATTGTGTTTTAGGCTCCGACTGGCATAACACCCGGTCCGATCAATCTTGAAGGTTCATCGACGTCGTGCGCACCGGGCTCAGTGATGAAGTCTGGATCTTGTGGTCAGTACACATCAAAACTGTATATTCCAGACACAGTGGTGGCTGAAGATTTCTGGACATCTATTTTACCTTATCATACAAATTACTTACCTTATCCCATTTCCAAAGGTAGTGGAAACGTCCTTTGCCGTGTTCCCGGAGAAGAGAAACATATATCTCACCCTAATGCACCCCGAGCTGCACATGCGCACCTGAACCACGTCACTTTGCCGGTAACTCGTCTCTCTTTCATTTTCGCGGCAACGGAATAATTAGGAATGTTTGCTTGGTGCTCTGTCATCCGAGAGATCGTGTCAAAATTAACCGTTTGAAAAAAATACAATAAAGAAGTTCGTTCCTAAGAGTTCATCACAATCTTCGTCATCCTCATGACGTGAGGTAACACCAATGCCTCCTTCAGAGGAAGCGGGGGCCACGGGTGGCCCAGTCGTCTAAGGCGCCGCGATTCGCTGTGCAGAGTTGCGTCCCTTGGGCACGCCAGAAACCTGTGATTGTGGGTTCGAATCCCGGTTTGCCCCAATTATGTTGCTAGGTTTGTCAGCACCATACCCGTGCTCGTGGGTTTCACCGAAGTGGTAAACGTCTGGGACCTGCATCACTTCGGGCTTTCCTCCCACACCAAGCTGACACGCCGCGATATAACTGGAATACTGTTAAAAGCGGCGTAAATACCCAACTCACTCACTCACTCAGAGGAAGCGAGGAATTTTGACATGATATTTCTACCTGAACTTCAACCAGTCAACCAAGTCATGCCCACAAGGTGTTCTCATGGCAACAGAAGTGTTGACGCCGTTAAAGGGTTCATCCAGTTCTAAGAAGAAATATTTTGCTGTCTCCTCCCTTCACAGTAAGAACCTACAGACCTTAGTGTAGAAGAATAGCATCTCTCCCGCCTGATCAAAGTCGTCTCCAGTCACGTGAGAGCATGTCTTTGCTAAGTTGATCATCACCACAGAGCTGATTGCAACATTATCCTGTGAAGGGGTCCATTTGAAAGATTTCTGCACTCAGCCGTCAACTCTCACGTAGCTTAAGACAGTGGTGAACGCAGTCATGCATGACCTTCATGCATCGTAACACCTTCGCACAGATTCAGGCCTTCACACAGCCACAGACTTACATGCAGACTTAGGGCTTCTTTCACCACCCTACCTACTCTTAGCCTCCATTGTTCACGCATTATCCAACATCCATGCATCCAGCATTCTTCCAGCAGGGTACGATAAATACTTAATCTTCAAATACCGATTTTATAGCTAGTGAGTGAGTTTGGTTTTACGCCGCATTTTGCAATATTCCAGCAGTATCACGGCGGGGGACACCAGAAATGGGCTTCACACATTACCAATGTCGGGAATCGAACCCGGGTCTTCGGCGTGACGAGCGAACGCTTTAACCACCAGGCTGCCCAACCGCCCGATTTTATAGCTAGAATCTCACTGCGTGTTCTACTTTCTATACAGCAGCATCAGACGATGAATAAAGGTTCAACGTCATTTCTGAAGCAAATTCTCAGACCTCGCTCTGTTCAACCATGGCTCCCAAACCTAATGCTTCTTTCCAAGAAGAGTGTGTGTTTGAGGTTGTATATGAAACAAGTCATCCCAATCTGAAGACCATGAGTGAATGGCTTGGTTCACAGATGAAATCCCATCTTTTCACCCCTATCCCGCATAACGGGATCGGGTGGTCAGACTCGCTGACTTGGTTGATACATGTCATCGACCCCAATTGCGTGGATCGATGCTCAGGGTGTCAATCACTATTATTAGTTTACAGAACGCCGTGATATAGCTGGAATATTGATGATGTCAATCACTGGTTCGTCTGGTCCAGACTCGATTATTTTACAGACAGCCGTGATATAGCTGGTATATTGCTGAGTGCGCGTTGAACAACAAACAAACAAACAGAAATTCTTCCCCAAGGATACTTATTGTATAAAGGGTGAAGGCACTGACACCTTAACCATCCAACCTGTCAATCAAGTTTCAATCAAGACTTCTTCCCTCAGCAGGAGCATTGACTTGTTACTGAAGGGCATATCCAAAATCCAAGAAGAGCAAGTCGTTAATTTCATCTTCAGACCTTGCTAAAATCTGAAGATGCATACCTACATGAAGGCTCTCAACTCCATGAAGACAAATGTATCATTGACAAAGGGTTCACTAAACCTCCCTCCTCTGAGAAATAAGACACGTGTGGGCAACCCTTCACGTTCACAGCAACAGACGGTTACCACAACTTCCGACCCGTGAAGATTCCGGGGTAGAATAGCTCTTCAGCAACCCATGCTTGCCGTAAAAGGCTACTATGCTTGTCGTAAAAGGCGACTAACGGGATCGGGTGGTCAGGCTCGCTGACTTGGTTGATGCATGTCATCGATCCCAATTGCGTGGATCGATGCTCATGATATTAATCACTGGATTGTCTGGTTCAGACTCGATTATTTACAGACCGCCGTCATATAGCTGGAATATTTCTGAGTGCGGCGTAAACAACAAACCAACCAACCAACCAACCACAACTTCCACGGTATCAAAACTTCTCGAATTCACTCAGACACAGACCTTTGCACAGGCACAGAAAACTGCGCATACACAGTGTTTCACGCAGACCCGGAATTCATCCAGCCTCTGACATGTGTGCAGTCTCCAACTAACTGCCTTCACGCAACCTTCAACGTCTGTGCAGCCTGTCCTTTTCCCACAGAATAATGTACCTGCTTCGTCACCAAACAGCTAGAGTTATGCAACAGCATCACCTTTCAGCATATCCTGCCCACAGTCTAACCCGTTCTTCTGAAAAGATTTTTCAGTCATCTCGTCGACTGTGATCCTTGCTAATTAATCTCATTGGTTCTGAGACTTTAGTCGTCTAAAGCGCCGCGATTCGCTGTGCAGAGTTGGGTCCCTTGGGCACGGCAAGCATGGGTTGGTTCTGGGGCGCGATTGCGACTAAGGGGTGCGTTTGGGTGACATGTTTTTCTGTTCTCCAGGAACAGCATAGAGCAGAAAGTTTCCACTACCTTTCGAAAATGAGATGAAATAAGCAATCAGTATGACGACACACGATAGCTATAAATGATATTTTTACTCTATAAACCTATCTTATTATTGTTGTTGTTGTTGTTATTGATATTATTACCAGGATTGATAATTATAATAATAATAATAATAGCATGGTCCTGATGATATTTGGAAAAGAGAGAAAAACAGTTTTCAGGTTTTATTTCGGACATACACCTTATATTGACACATAGATGATGTCTGTGGGGTTCCATATACTATATGACACATAGATGATGGCTGTGGGATTCCATATACTATATGACACATAGACGATGACTGTGAGATTCCATATACTATATGACACATAGATGATGACTGTGGGATTCCATATACTATATGACACATAGATGATGACTGTGAGATTCCATATACTATATGACACATAGATGATGACTGTGGGATTCCATATACTATATGACACATAGACGATGACTGTGAGATTCCATATACTATATGACACATAGATGATGACTGTGGGATTCCATATACTATATGACACATAGATGATGACTGTGGGATTCCATATACTATATGACACATAGATGATGACTGTGGGATTCCATATACTATATGACACATAGATGATGCCTGTGGGATTCCATATACTATATGACACATAGATGATGACTGTGGGATTCCATATACTATATGACACATAGATGATGACTGTGGGATTCCATATACTATATGACAAGTAGATGATGTCTGTGGGATTCCATATACTATATGACACATAGATGATGGCTGTGGGATTCCATATACTATATGACACATAGACGATGACTGTGAGATTCCATATACTATATGACACATAGATGATGACTGTGGGATTCCATATACTATATGACACATAGATGATGACTGTGGGATTCCATATACTATATGACACATAGATGATGACTGTGGGATTCCATATACTATATGACACATAGATGATGACTGTGGGATTCCATATACTATATGACACATAGATGATGACTGTGGGATTCCATATACTATATGACACATAGATGATGACTGTGGGATTCCATATACTATATGACACATAGATGATGTCTGTGGGATTCCATATACTATATGACACATAGATGATGACTGTGGGATTCCATATACTATATGACACATAGATGATGACTGTGGGATTCCATATACTATATGACACATAGATCATGTCTGTAGGATTCTATATACTTTATGACACATAGACGATGGCTGTGAGATTCCATATACTATATGACACATAGATGATGACTGTGGGATTCTATATACTTTATGACACATAGATGATGACTGTGGGATTCCATATACTATTTGACCCATAGATGATGGCTGTGAGATTCCATATACTTAATGACACACAGACGATGGCTGTGAGATTCCATATACTATATGACAAGTAGATGATGGCTGTGGGATTCAGTAATATCAGTAATATTCAAATGTGAATGGATTACATGGAGATAGTATATGGAATCCCGCAGCTATCATATATGTGTCTATGTAAGGTGTATGTCCGAAATAAAACCTGAAAATTGTTTCATCTATCATCCTGAATCGGCGATAGTGATACCTACGATATGGTTATGCTACTACTTGTCGTATCACAGTGGATGTGGTCTTGTTACAGAACCCTGCCCAGCAGGCACAAGACACGACGCATCCACAGACGCCTGCAAGGACTGTGACATCGGTCAGTACCAGGACCAGACAGGACAAACCTCCTGCATGGCCTGTGCAGGCAAGCTCTCTACCAGCGCAAAGAAGAGCACCAACGTGTCCTTTTGTGTTTGTAAGTTAATATTGTTAACATTACTTCTTCTTCTAGAGCACCTACGAAAGTTTTCTCTAATTTTTCAATGGTATTGGGGGCGGTCGGGTAGCCTGGTGGTTAAAGCGTTCGCTCACGCCGAAGACCCTGGTTCGATTCCGCCGTGATATTGCTGGAACATTGCTAAATGCGGCGTAAAACCATATTCACTCACTCACTCACTCAATGGTATTGGATAAAATAGTACAAAGCAAATGTTCACGTTGTATGTATTTATAGGACTGTACATTAACATTACGGTCAAGTTTTGGTTCTTGTGGGACACACGATTGATCCTTAAAGACAACACTGTGTTATGTAATGGTTGATAAACATGGAGAACCATGTAATTTTTACCTTCTACGATGATTTTGGGGCAATATAGTTTCATAGTAAAATGTTCTGTTTCTCGAAATTATTTATAAAGTATTGATGTACATATGCCATATGTACATTATCTGCCCACAACCTAGATTGTTTTAAAAACCAAACTATATGACACCTCCTTATCCTTGCAGCCAAGTGTAAACTAGAGACCGGATATTGTAGAAACAGCGGCATCTGTAGGGACGGTAGTGATGGATCAGTAAGCTGCGACTGCAGTGAATACTACACCGGTGACACCTGCACTGTCCGGCGATGTGAGTAACTGTTGAACACACCGCACATAGAACATACTACACCAGTGACACCTGCACTGGCCGGCGATGTGAGTAACTGTTGAACACACCACACATAGAACATACTACCCTGGTGACACCTGCACTGTCCGGCGATGTGAGTAACTGTTGAACACACCACACATAGAACACACCACACTGGTGACACCTGCACTGTCCGGCGATGTGAGTAACTGTTGAACACACCACACATAGAACACACCACACTGGTGACACCTGCACTGTCCGGCGATGTGAGTAACTGTTGAACACACCACACATAGAACATACTACTCCGGTGATACCTGCACTGTCCGGCGATGTGAGTAACTGTTGAACACACCACACATAGAACACACTACACCGGTGACACCTGCACTGTCCGGCGATGTGAGTAACTGTTGAACACACCACACATAGAACACACCACACATAGACCACACTACACCGGTGACACCTGCACTGTCTGGCGATGTGAGTAACTGTTGAACACACCACACATAGAACATACTACACGGGTGACACTTGCACTGTCTGGCGATGTGAGTAACTGTTGAACACACCACACATAGAACATACTACACCGGTGACACCTGCACTGTCCGGCGATGAGAGTAGCCATACATGACACATGGTACAAAGCCACACAAGGGATACTATTTATACCAAATTCATTGTCAGAAATAATCATAGAATAGCCATAAGTGGCAACACTTTAATTTTTTCATTTGTTGTTGAACGTCAACCTTCGATGTTCAAGAGAGCAAGTATATCCCTATCCATTGCGATGAACAATATATTTCTTAACTGTAATACTTGAACATGGCCTATGCTTATTTAAGGAATGGTAAAACAATGACAGAGTCGTAAAATCCCTCACTTGTGATGACATAGGATGCTGTGGTGCTATTGTTCTATTTGTTTTACCCCTCATGTTCCCTGTGTCCCGCTGGGAGAATACTCATCAGTAGGTAGAGGGAGCCTTTCTGCACTCGGAGGTTAACACATGTTTCAGTAAGCTGTGTCTTGAAACAATCTTATGTTGGCTTTGTGATTAACCTTCCAGCTCTTGAGTCAAACCTGCCTTGGGTCATCATCGGCGTCTGCATTGGCATCTTCGTCCTGCTCGTCGCCGTGCTAGCTATAGGTTGCTGTTGCTGCCGCAGGTAAGTTTTCAATAGATGAACACTCTGGCTGGCTAATGGAAATACACCAATGACTGCATATAGGTTTTTCCGCGATGTTTCTTTCATTGTTCATATGCGATAATAAATTTATGTTGATGAGAGAATTTTTCGGATTCCATAACTTAAACAGTGACTTTCTCTAATTTAATGAAACAGATATAGTTCACCACAAATGTCACCACACACTTTTAAATTTAAACTATTAACAGATTTCCCTCCTTAGCACATAACTCAAGTGAAAAAAGACAAGTTATATATTTACGACAATTTTGCCTTCGTAAAGGTATGTCCTGTAAGTCATATGTAGATCATCACAATACGTATAGGTATAACATCTTATCAAAGATGGGGTTGTCACTTTGGAAACTTTCATACACACAAAATGCTCTTTTGTGACAAGGTTTGTTGGCTCATTGCCAAAACATTCCAAATGAAGTTCATGTCGCCTCTCCAAGCCACTCGTGTTTTCTGTTTTCACACCAGGCGGTCCAGCAACAGCGTCAGTAAAGACAAGCACTCAATCATTGACCAGTCCTCAAACTACCACGACTACATGAGGTCGCCATTTGCAGCACCCCAGGGATACATGCAGTATCCCAACCCCGAGTTTAATGAGGCCTACGACTTCTATAATTCAGGGGGCAGATTTTCAGACCAATAGAGTGATTCAACCTCTCTATACATATTTCTTGCTGCATCATCCTGCTATTGTATTTAATACATACGGGTGTATACATACGCTAGTGTAATGTTCGTTTTCAGTTTACTTATTCTGTAAATATAACTGCGAAACCTTGATTATGATGGAAAATAAATACACTTTAGAGGCTGAGAGTCACTGCAGGCACTGCGTGTGGCTGTACACATACGTCCATCAGTCACTACATACTGTCATTGTAGATAACATGCAAGTATATATACCCACGATGCCTCCCATATAGCATTTCTCACGTATGTTCCATTTATATCCTATAGAATAATCTTGATACAAATAGGATAATAGCCTGTCTGGCTGGTATGGCAGCCATCCCTGTACCGTACGTCCTATCCTGAATATCCATAGCCGGTTGTCATTGTATTCAATCAATGACAGTCATGAGTCTGCCAGCGGTTCAGTATCCAGATTTGCAACAGATTAAACTACATACAACAATATACCATGCAATGTAGCCTTTTGACACTTTTATCCTCTATTTTTGTATATTATTCATAATCCGTATATGTTGTTTCTCTTTTTTCTAAGTTTTGCGGAGTTTTAACCTAGCCCTTGAATCTTCCAACTGGGCAGATTGTAGTTTCATTGTGGAAATGTACATGTGTTCTCTGCTGTTAAAAAGCCTGCATATTTTATCAAAAGTTATAAAGATGATATATATTTTGTACTGACACAGTGTTTGTTTTACTTTATTACATATTACCATAGCTACATCCTGTATACGTAAAGGTGACTATGCTGGTCGTAAGAGGCGACTAACGGGATCGGGTGGTCAGGTTCGCTGACCTGGTTGATACATGTCACCCATCCCACTTCGAAGCTCATGATGTCATTCACTGGATTGTCTGGTACAGCCTCGATTATTTCCAGACCGCATAACATAGCTGGAATATTGCTGCGTGCAGCGTTTAACAACAAACAAACAAATCGTCCTGAATCCATCAGTAGCTTTTTTTTCTTCTTTTTTTTCTCAGAATTTTAAAATACCCACAGGGCTTTGTATTTGAACAACACTATTAATGGACTTCTCAGGGTTATCATATCAAGTATTCATCACGATAGAATCCCAATGGCCAAGGACATCCTCAGGGTCATAAAGAAAAGTCCGTTTTTTTATTCAAACTCAATCATCATTTATAGGTCTATGAAAGTACATGCCGTCTTTGGGACGGGTATGATTGACCACAGTCAAAGGTCATAAAGAAGGTCATTTGTAAAGTAGGTTTGAAATTGTAGCCAAAGTATTGTACAAAGTTCTACTTAATAGGCATTGCCTTTCCCAAACCTGAAGTACATGTAACTATTAAGATAGCTGCAGTTTTCGGACATGACATGGTATTTACCCAAATGGATGAGATTCATTCAACCGGAAATTGTTATAACTTTCAGCAAGGGGCACATATCTTTCTTGTTTATAACGCTGCTGCATTGGGCATGTGTTATCCAAACTAGAAATTATGCCATTATACCAGAAGAGATGTTCTTAGAGCCGAAATGCGTTTAAGTTCCTTGTGCTACCTGGAGTTAACGTTGAAACAAACACATCTACAGTAGAATGCAATGATCGGATTTGCTTATGATTCCCGACATAAACTAACTTAACATATACTGGTATATCCAAGTAACTCATCCTCGTAAAGTATTTTCAAATGCATTCCATTTGCTTGTTATAGGTTAGAGTGAGTGAGTGAGTATGGTTTTACGCCGCTTTTAGCAATATTCCAGCAATATCACGGCGGGGGACACCAGAAATGGGCTTCACTCATTGTACCCATGTCGGGAATCGAACCCGGGTCTTCGGCGTGACGAGCGAACGCTTTAACCACTAGGCTACCCGACCGCCCCTAAAGGCAATATGAAGATGAGGAAAAGCAAGCATTTATTCAATACTCCCCGACTGTAAACGAATGTTATGATGGTATCCTATGATTTTAACAGGGGCGTAGCTGAGACTAAATACTGGAGTAGGCACCACCAACGTGAATACTGTTAATATGAGACGTCAGTGCCTGAGTTAACTAGGGGGATCTGGGGGCATCTATGTTGCACTCCCCAATGAAAAGTTTCAAGTTGTGTTCAGTGATATATTGAAGAGCAAGCTTAAATTGAGACATGATTCTTTGGCCTCAACATACCGACTTTCGATAGAAGTGAATGCACCTAAACACAACCTCAGACCCTGATGGAGAATACTATCAATTTCCAGTAAATATGATTTACGAGCTGAACAATAAATAAACATCCATGGTCCACCTTAGATTTGACTAATACTCTTTAGAGATTCAGACATGTTTCCTTATCCCCGCCCCAATGAGCATTTGACAACTTTCAAGAATATCAAGCGCCTTTAAATATTTGGTTTCAATATTTTTAATATGGGGAATAAGTGACAGTAAGCTATCAATGTTATAACTAAAAGCTGTGTCACCTTAATTATTTTCCTCTGATTACTAAAACGCAGACAACATGTCTTGGTCTGTGAAAACTTAAAACCACTCTCCTGAGACCACTCATGAATTTTATTCAGACACATCTGCAGCTGTCCCTCAATAGTATGCATGTTAGTTCCTTGACAAGACACATTAAAGTCATTAACAAACAAATAACCATATATGTTTTCATTAAGCACTTTGGCGAGACTGTTGATCTTAATGCTAAACCAGCTAACTGATGGAATACTCCCCTGTGGCACACCCGTTTCTTGATCAAACATATCTAATAGAGTCGATCAAACACGAACTTGGAATTGTCTTTTGTCAAGGAATCGAAAATATAATCAGGCATGCGCCCATGGAATCACATAGTATAAATATAGCGACAAAACCCTTTCCATATCCAACATAAATCTCAGGAAAAAGCAGGGTCGATTGTTGAAAGATCATTCAATATACCATATTTCCATGTGGTATCGTAGGCCTTCTATAAGTCAAAGAATATAGAAACTGCATGTTGTTTATTTTTGAAGGCATTACGAACACATCCCTCAAGTCGTACAAGATGAACAACAAGTTATGACAAAGCCACCTTGTATATCTCTTATGAAGTTAAAAGATTGAAGATGCAGAACAAGTCTACATTTAATTATTTTTTTCATCGTTTCACTAGCACAGCTAGTCAAGGCACTTGAACATTAATTTGTTGAATTATTATCTTTGCCTGGCTTAGGAATAGGAATGATGATTGTTTTGTGCCAGGAATCTGGGAATTTACCACGTTCCCATATGTATACTAAGAAATACTAACTATTTGTAATGGATCACATCAGGCCTAGTTGCAGTGTCATGGGATTTAAGAGCCAGAGAGTTCATCAAGAGAAAAGGATTCATAATAATTTTCCATGACTGACTGAGAAATGGGATAGCCTATTTCAAGGGGGAAAATTTACTGACCAATGGTAAGCTATGGTTTAGATGGGTATGGTATAGGAACCTGGATTTTTTACAAGGAACGGGCCTTATGTTAGTCAATGTGGTGCGCGCCTTCTCTTGTCTAGTTGCCACCATCCTTCCTACATGAACCTGATCTAAGGCATCATCAGTATTTCGATAGAGATTGAAGCCTTGCGACCAAAGTCTTTTAACTAAATGGCAACCAGTTCAGGTAAAGGTACGGCCGTAAATCAGGTGCCGGTGTCCCGGTATAAACTCTCCCCCGTACAAATTCTCCCCCCGGAGATTTTATACCGATACAGATTCTCCCCCGGTGAATCTGTTCTGAAATAAAATCTCCCCCGGGCGGTTATATTTCGCGCCCCCCTCAGAATAAAGTCTCCCCCCTGATTATTCGGTTTGTTGCAATGTCTTTAAGTACTATATTCTTTAAATAGTTATCTTTAATGTAAGGAGGGTTACTTTAAAAAATAGATTATGAAATATGGTCATAATGAATTGATATTTCAGAATATTTTATTTGGTAACTGTACCTTCCATCCTAAAATAATTACAAGACATAATCATACCAAACAAAGGATGGGAGACAAGAGTCTCTACAGAGTTTGTTGTTTCTAATACAGTTGTTGTCTGTATACATTTTTTTAATATACCAGTATGAGTCTACATGTGAACACAATCGGTGGTTGAAATGTTAGTCTAAGAACAAAACATGAACTAATTCTCAAGAACTCTGATGTATAAAGTTACAGTAAACTTCGGTAATAACGAACACGGTTATAACGAACTAACGGATATAACGAACTAACTTTTTAGTCCCGACTATATGCTGTAATTATGCTGTATATATGCTTATAACGATTTACGGTTATAACGAACTAAAATTAGTAGTCCCTTTGAGTTCGTTATAACCGTAGTTTACTGTACCTTCATCTTTGATTGACTGATGTATTTTCAATCTTTATTCAGCACTGAAGAGGACACAGGCCTATAGTACGAAGCATTAAATTTATGAATAATCAGCATTGATTTTGACTTCATAAACTGTTATATAGTATTCATAAAGTATCAGGGGTCATTTCAACTTGCAAAATGATTGACATAGTCCTTTATAGAGCGAGGATTGGGCTGTTTTCCCACCCGATTGACTGACATTACAACATTCACATGGTTCAGAATGGTACAATGAATGGTAAAGCATGCAAATTACACTAATACGCGATATTTCATAAGAAAATATCATATCTCCGTTGAATGGCCTGGCCGGGCCCGTGTGCGAAATACGCTGCAGTAGGAAAGCGCACGTAAAATCTCCAATATAAGTAAGTAAGGAAGTAATATCTACCTATATACCACTTTATTGTCTCATATTGCGGTAGTTAAGGAAAACACAGTGCTCAAAGTGAAGCCCTTTTCACTCCACATTCTCAGCATCGTCTCTATCAGAAGTGTTTGGCAACTATTGAACTGCATGGCAAGTATTTATAATACGACCGAGGGAGGAAATATTCTTGGGGGAGATTTTATTTCGTGGGGTGGGGGAGAGTTTATTTCGAGAGAGGCGGAACTGTACCAGTATAAATTCGCCGGGGGGAGATTTTATTCTGGGGGCGAATATATTTCGTGACACCGGCTATTTCTGAGCCAGAACCCAAACGTAAGATACTGTAAAATGACCACCAAAATAACGTTTGATATTGAATGCTAGGTTTGCATTAAAACCAAGTTACACGCATTTCATACACTTTTACAGAGGGCAAACAAAGTGATCAAATAGCCTACATCAGCATGTACGGCTTACATAAGGATTTATTCATTCATTTAAACCTTCATCATTCATTTTCTTCTTTTAAGATTCCGTTACATTGCTTGTGGGATTCATCCATTCTGCATTCGCCTCATGCGCCAAGGCACAGTTCCTCACTACGTACGTTCATACTAAGCCCGGGGGCACGGGTGGCCCAGTCGTCTAAGGCGCCGCGATTCGCTGTGCAGAGTTGCGTCCCTTGGGCACGCCAGAAACCTATAATTGTGATTCAAATCCCGGTTCGCCCCAATTATGTTTCTAGGTTTGTCAGCACCATACCCATGCTCGTGGGTTTCACTGAAGTGGTGGGCGGTCGGGTAGCCTAGTGGTTAACGCGTTCGCTCGTCACGCCGAAGACCCGGGTTCGATTCCCGACATGGGTACAATGTGTGAAGCTCATTTCTGGTGTCCCCCGCCGTGATATTGCTGGAATATTGCTAAAAGCGGCGTAAAACCATACTCACTCACTCACTCA